TTTTTGTGTGAAATAAAATTTCGGAATAGTATAAATGTGGACCCCTTAAAAAAAACCCTTGCCACCCCCTGGCCACCCTCTGTTTAAAAGTCTGGCTCCGCCACTGACTGAGCCAGGACTGAACCAGGACAACCAGGACTGAGTCAGAACAACCAGGACAACCAGGACTGAACCAAGACTGAGCCAGGACTGAACCAGGATTGAGCCAGGACAACCAGGACTGTGCCAGGACAACCAGGACGGAACTAGGACAAAGCCAGGACTGAGCCAGGGCTGTACCAGGTCAGAGCCAGGACAACCAGGACTGAACTAGGACTGAGCCAGGACAACCAGGACTGAGCTAGGACTGAGCCAGGACAACCAGGACTGAACTAGGACTGAGCCAGGACTGAACCTGTTTAGGATAAACCAGTTTACCCCAAGTTTAACAACCCCTTCGATTATTAGACTGAAATTAATATATAAAAATTGAACTTGAGAAGATGAAATCCTAATCCTTTTTTTAATATATATATATTTGGAGAAAGTAACTTAAAAGTAATGCAGTAGTAGTGTAATGCATTACAATTCAGATACAGTAATATTATAGTGTAATACATTATTTTGAAATAACAGTAATAAGTGAAACAAAATGTATTACGTTTTTGAAGTAACTTGCCCAACACTGATCAACAGCAGGTTGCTCCTTTAGGCGGTTTCTTACATAAAAGTGGAAAGAGAAGCCGCGGGAATGAGCCGCCAAAATGCACATTTTAAAGGTTTGTGACTACATTCACAGGACGCTTGTTCACTGCGATGCCCTCTACAAGTGGGCAAGGGGCCCCATAATGTATTTTCGCCTGATGACCTAGGGCCGACAGTAGCTCAGTTGGTAGAGCATTGGCCTTTAGGCCAGAAGGTCGTGGGTTCAATTCCCACCTCTGCACCTTCTCCAACTCACTGATGACTGCTGCCGTTGTGTCCTTGGGCAAGACACTTAACCCCACTTTGCCCAAAGCCCCCACTGAAAGATCAAGGCTATGCTCACACTCAGAGAGCAGCCGTCCTCCTGTGGACTCACCACCTGCAGAGGGTCAGTGAGGGGCTGGTGCTATGAGACTTGGGTGGCATCTCTGACTGCCACCCCCCTGACCCAGAAATGGATTAAAGGGTAGAAAATGGATGGATGCTAGGACCTAGGGCCGGCCCTGCATGAGAGCCACACACACGTATTTGGTGCAACACATCATGGGAGCTCATCAACTGCGCAGAACCGGGAGGACCAGACGATACCCAGATATAGGCGAGTTCTGCTACTGTAAATGTGCTCAGTGGCACATGCGCCACTGAGCACAAACCATTCATTAGAATACGGCGCCATCTTGGATCGCAGAGGCTTGATGTAGATGATGTTCTTCCCACACAACCTTCTTTGGAAGAGAGCTTCAAAATGGAGCCGTGAGAGTTTTGTCACTTCTTTGGGCCGCCTTCCCCGAACGCAGGGAGGTAGAGGTCTTATCAGAGCAGAGGAAGGGTAGTATACAAAGGGGTAATTTCCATACACCCTACAATAGTTTTAGATCATTTTCAAGTTTATTATTGACAATGTATAATTCAACAATCAGATTAAGTTTGGAGTTAGTCCCATACAGTCAACTTTTTTAATATTAGGGTTTTGGAAAAGGTATTCAAGGTCCTGGCAGAAGTGCGTCAGGGGGAAAATACAGCTTTGTCCTTTGTGAGTGGAACTTACTCACTCATTTCCTGTTCCTCCCCACTGGTGCACCAGTAAGGCATGAGAATGGAGAGCCACTCAATCTAGGATTCTAAGATGGTACAAATCTGAAAAACAAAGGAGGCTGAAAAATTTACATAGATAGATGAAACTTTTTGAACATTGAAATGAAGATATCATTTACAGTATTCAGTAAATCTAGAGGTAGTTATGTTCACTGTGAAGGCCATACCTTCATGTGAAAGCCAGATCCCGTCAGACCTTTGGTTACTACTCTGATGGGAGACCTCTGGAAACACAGAGGTCTTTACGCTTTGGCTGTAAAGTGCCAAACAGTTGTTTGTGTCCTTAGGCAAGGCACTTGACACATGTTGAGTGGATGGTGGTGGTCGGAGGGGCAGATAGTTGCCTCACTACTTTCAGGGTGCCCCAGGGCAGCTACCACTACTACAGCAGTGGTAGTCTATGGAGCGAATTAGTAAGTAATGTTTATTTATGTACTGCCTTTCACAGACAGAGTCACAAAGCGGTTTACAATTGTTATTTTTTTGGCATTTTGTCCTCTCACTCCACACAGAGATGGGAGCGGGGGCGCCAGTACAGGAGGCACATGCCAGACCTATTGTACATATTTTTAGTGGTAGGGGAAACCGGAGTACCCGGAGGAAACCTACGCAGACACGGAGAGAACATGCAAACTCCACTCAGAAAGGCCCTGGTCCGACCGGGATTCAAACCCAGAACCTTCTTGCTGAGAGGCGAGAGTGCTATCCACAAGGCCACCGTGCCGCCCACTGGCCTTAGCCATAGCCTTAGCCATCCGTACACTCCGCTCCATTTTCATTTCCCTGCATGTAACATCTGGGTCTAGTCCGTGTTTGCGATTACAATCCGTTGAATTCCATCCGACCAATCAGCGAGCGCGGGGGGCGGGCATTGTAGTTAGTTGTGGGTGACGTCAAGAGTTTACTTTTTAGTAAAGTAATCCGGTTTGGTTCTATCAAGAAATTCAACCCGGCGCAATAGGAATGTTTAGCAAATGTAATCGCTGGAAAAATTGTGGCACTATTCCCCACGGGCTCTTTTAGCGGCAAAGGAAATGGCTAGGCTAAATGCTAACAATCGTTTTAATCTGCAAAAGGAGTTACATCCATTGAGCACCTCCAGACCTCAGTACGAAATGTAATGTATACTATGGTGTGGTACGACCAGGCAAGGAGCGAATGAGTAATGACAAATAATGTGAAACGTCAAGTGTCCAAAAAAGCACTGTGTAAAACGAATGCATTATTATTTATATCATTATTATTATTATAAAACTGCCATTATCTATCAACTACAAAATCAGGGTTCTGGGTATGGCTATCATGGTTTACATAGGAAAGGTGCAAAGGGTAACATGTGAAGTCAAAATGAAGTGAAACTGTTGCTATAATTTAAAACTTTATTACATAATTGTCTTTAAAGAGAGACAGAAATATATCATGTATGGATGATGGCTACATGTTTTAGAGCAAGACAGCAGTTTAATGTATTTCATTGCAGTAATTTAAGCAGTAACACTATGGCTTAAAGCGCATACTGCAAGCTTCACAGTATTCTACTTGCTTCTCTATTGCTCCTGCATCCTACCCAGAGCTGGGTTGTTGTATCTTGAAAAACTATTTCAAAGTATTTGTACCTTGATTTGTCTTAGTTCAGAAAAGGGTCAACATATTACAGTGTATCAAGAATTAGGAGTTTAATATTTCTGTTATCTATCCTTAGGAAATCAATAATTTTTTGATCTTACATCCTATTAGTATCAGTCCCCTAAATTATTTTAGACTTCATTACTGTCCCGAACATGGACTACAACTTTGTACAATTATAAGCTACTGACATAGCACATCGTTATGGTTGCATAGATCGGCTTCTTGTCATGTAGGAACAAATGTTAAAGAACAAACCTTGTGTGCACTGAAGTTTGGCTTTGCTTGCAGACATTTAATGCACTAGTCAATGACATCAAATTCTAAAGAGAGTTTTGCCAATGCTCGTATTTTCTCTGTATTAGTTAGAAGTACTTTTAATTCACAATAGGCAAAAAGCAATCAAACCCCAACACACACATTATTGATAATTTCAAGTATCACTTGATTCAGTATTGCTTCTGTGATTTCAATAATGGAAGACATGAGGCACAAGTTCTGTACATACTGTAGATCATATCCAGTCAGGCTCACACATGCTGGATGACTTCCTATGAGGTATAATACTGCAAAGGTAGCCAACATTCAAGTCTGCTAAAGACACAGTGTTCGTCTCACCCTTTCACCAGAGGTAATGATAACAGACATTCATTGTCTTGGATGTGCAACATTTGCTTCCAAAGTGTGCGCATTGTTACAGTTAAAACATTCGATGCTCACAGTACACATAACTGTCACCATTTGGCACAGGCTGCATTTCAGAATACTTTCCAATTTATACTTTTGTGAACTTTATCACATTAAAGTTATCTCCGGGAACAGCTAATCTGTTACTTTGTGGAAAATAATAAAACATAGTGAGCTAGTCAGTCAGCGATGAGATTTAGCTGGAACCAAAAGTTACCACTCTGACAATCTGTTTTCCTCTTATAGTCTCTTATAACTAAGCCATGGTGCTGCACATGCATTGTTTGATTCAACGTACAAATCAGCTTTCATTATCGCTGTAGGTATTCATTTGGTTTTCCAAATTTCAAAACCTATTATAGTTTAGTTTTGAAAGCTTTGGAGTTTTCTGCAAAACGCATCAAAACACTGTTAGGCACTGGTGTTTTAAGCAATAATGTAACATTTGGTTTAAAATGTTTTGGTTAACAGAGACTGTAAATGAAAGAGAATTATCTCAGAACTACTTTAGCTATATTTTAAGGTGCTTCAGTACATGTCAGTGCTCAGCCCATTTCCCAGCTTTGGGTTTTTTGCGTTGCATGTGAGCATTGTAAAAAAAAGAACAAGGCAAAAAGTCCAAAGGTTGCCAGCAATTCTATTAGCGTACACACATGCACTTTCTTATTTCTTTTTTGGTGTTGGCTTTGAGTCAGCTTTAGATCCTGAGAGGCCATTTTCTGTGTTGTCAATCCCTGATGAAGTTACAAGGCACTCCTTACTGCAACGAGGGATAGAGAGAAATAATGTCAGTTCTTCTTCACATATCTCTCATGACGTGCACAATGTTAAAACCAGTATCAGTTTCTGTCGAGCACAAGCAGTATTGTTGGCGGAAACAAAGAAAAAACATATTTTGGTTGGCTAACTTACTTTTTCTCTTCAAGTTTGGCAAGAACAAAGAGTGTGAAGTTCTTGATCAGCATGAATCCCATTAGAAGTGCGATAGCTCCACCAACACATGAGGCGATGATGATGGTCAGGGTTTTGTCTACAACCCTCACTGCAGCCGAGCAGCAGAAAAGACAATTTGGTGAGGTTTAACAATGTCTCAAAATAAAAAGATACTTTTAAATGAATGTACAGTTACATGCAGCGATATTTACGGCTCACTCTATCAATTTAGTATTAACAAGATGACAAGAAGCTTTGCTACGTACACTCTTCCACCACAATGAGGTTGAAGATGGCACTGTGGTTCTTTCCTTTCTCCTTTGGGTTGATTCCAAAACAGGTGTATTGACCTGCATCATCAAAGGTAATGTTCCACAACATGATGGATATGTTGTTTTCACGATTCATCCCCACAAAAGTCACTCTGTCTCTGTAGATTTTCACATCAGGCTCCACTCCCTCAGAAGCGATGACTGAATCACACACCTGCAACACCAAACAGTGCTCTGATGTGAAACCAGGCCCAAAACTACTTCAGTTACAATGTACCTTCTGCATGATGCCACTTTCGTTGAATTGCCAGTTGAAATAGAGGTTTTTGATTCCGATGCAGCTGAAGTATGTACAAGGAAGTGTGACGGTGCTGCCGTTGACAGCCTCCAGGAAAGGGATTTTACCAACGGACATCTCTAGTGCCTGAATAGACCATACTCCTAATTTAAAGCAAACAAGACAATTAAATATCAAGGGCTTTGTTAATATAGATGCGTTTCACATACTATTAAAATATTACAAGTGAATGACCCATAAAAAGTTGCACATAAATCCCTCATCGTAAGGCCCCAGTGTAACGCGACACAACAAAGTCACATCAATGACATGTCTTTAAACTGCACAAGGAGGAATCTGCTCTGCTGTGATACTGTAACCATACACCAGGAGGTGCAGAGGGCATCAGGAAGTCCTTGTGGAAAAGGCTTTGGCTTTGGTTTGACTTATTAACTTAAATGTTGTTGTTAATCTTATATAGAGTACATAGATATCTACTTGGGGTAGTGTGTTAAAGCTTCACACTTTGTGTAAATGTCAAGGTCATAGAAAGTATCAGTGCATCAAAATATCTTCTTTCTCCAGGACAAACCAAGTAAACAGTAGTTTACAGGGAAACGAGTACTGCAGATATCAAATACACAATAAAACAATAAAGGTTATTTTTGTCAATTTTGGATATGTATTTACCTTTGTGTTCTAAAGTTGCCTACAAGTTATGGTACTTTTTAATATATGGTCCGTTAGACATTGTTCTTTCCAAACACATAAACAAAAAAATAAGTGGTACGTTACCAAACAGAGCAGACAGGAGGACACTGACTGCTGGATGCGGAGAGCCCAGCCTCGGGGGTCCAACCCCAGTCCAGCGGACCTCCATGGCAGCCAGGCGAGCTCCAGAGCAGTGATGGGATCCAGTCTCAGATGGTCACTGTAAGACTTTTAGCACTTCTTGTCCCTTCAGCACTGTTTAAACCTTTTGTAAACCGTCTGCTACATAAATAACAATAACAAACATTAGATAAAAGCAAGACAGAGATCTTTCCTTTACAATAAAAAATGATGACACGTACCCCTCCTCAGCTGCAGTGGATCGGACAGGGCTGGAGCCAAACGCTTACTGTGCACAGTCAGGGTTCACTCAAGGAGAGTCCAGCAGGCAGCACTTTCACTGCAGAGACAGGGACATCGCAGCTCCGGGCTGGCTCAGAGGACTGAGGCTTGGAAGATTGAGGTAGAAATGCTGTACAGCAAAACAGTGATGCAAAAATTATTACAAAGAATTCTCTATCGAGTTTCCTTGTTAGCTGATCGAGCCTCTAGCTCATCTCTCAACTTTCTCTCATCCTCTGTCCTGGCTGCGTGCCACCTCCCTCACTTCCCTCCTCACCTGGACCATTCATTCGCTTTTACTCTTTGCACCCTCCTCCTGTTGGTCTGTTGGCATGGGTGCATATGCAGACTCATGCACTCTTGCCAATGTTATCAGTGAAGATCAAGACAAAGTTCTGCAGTGCAGATTCTTCTGGTGGATATGTAATGCCGCTGGGTTTCTTGATTACTATGATGGCGTGATTTACAATTACATTCCTTGTTTCTCTAACTGACATCTTCAAAAATAAATAATATGAACGGTTATTCTTTCCAATTCAATTACAATTAAAAAAAAACCCCATAACAATTACCAGACTCAGAACCTCAATATCAAATAGCATTTCCCGTCCACCATGAAGTATAAATCCATCAATTGGTGCCGCACCAACACTGCACACGCCATTTCCATCGCCATGACAGCAGCCAAGACAAGGCATCACAGGAGGAACTGCTTATCAGGCCATCGAGACTGAATGAGGGCATTTTGTGAAAAGTGAAAGTATTGGAGTAATTATGTTAGGTTTTACACACACAAAAATGTAGATTTTATAGAATTGTGTAAAAATGAAAGAAGCATTGCCAAAATGTGAATGCAAATTAATGGAATACATTTGATCTGAGATAAGACAAAAACATGACAGTAAAACTTGTGAGACAATAAAATATCTTAGTGGCCATCCTGACCCATATTTGATGAATATTTCTGTATTTGTGAACTTTTATAGATTGAGATAGAGATTGTGGTATGTTACATGTGTTTTCAAATGTTTCTAAAAGCCAGACCCAGATAGTTCTTATGAAAAGAAAGCATAGGCTCGGCTGCTTCCTGCTATGGGTCCACTGCTCTTCTCCCTCCCCTGGCCCCTCCACTCTGTGTTTTAATGCAGCAGCAGTGGGAACCCTTCCAGAACTGCAACACACACAAAAAAAGAAAAGAAGGGGGAAAAAAAAGAAGACTGCGTTTTATAGCATTGAAAGTCTTGGAAGTCTTTAACTACACTCTGGGCGTCTACCTTACTTAAGCAATGAGTAAAATCAATCACTTTTACCTGCAACTACTGCAGTGTTAAAAGCACATGGTCGCTGTAATCACCGGCTCCTACTGCAGCAAGACCCAAGGACACAGACTCAGCTCTTATCTGGGCCGACGAGAAGAGCAACCACATCCATACATGAAACTATTGCACTATTTTATTCATGATCAAAGCAATCATTTGTTGAAACGTATTGCTTTGTCATATTCAAAATTAGGTGTCCTTGTGAATGTGCAAGCTCATGTCTAGGTTTGATACCTGTAATTCATGAATGTAGGCTTCTGTGCGGTTAGATGAGTTATATCAATAATGGGGCAATAGTACCCAATATGTCAAACAGTTACTTAAAGTGAATGTGTAAGTTTGAAAAATGGGGGAAGAAAGCTTTTTGTTGTGTAACTCTGGCGCTTACTCACTGCCCCTCCCTGATTGACACTAAAGGATGCAAGTTAAAGTTTATGTCTTGTGAAATGTATAGGGTGGAGACCACAGAAACAGATTACTGACTTTGCATTACTCTACTGCTGAGAGCCTGTGTGAGCAGGGCACTTGCTACAAAGTGAAGGAAGGATTCTTGGAATTGAGAAATGTAACTCTTGACTATAACTCGGCTATAAGGAAATAGAGGGAGCATTGCCAAGATATATTGTTTAATAAAAACATTTCCATAATTTGAATACAAAGAAATCATAGATAAACTCTGTTATGAACAATATATACAGTATTAAAGTACAAAACATACATGAAATACTATCCAAATGGCATCAAATTTTGAAATTCAGGAATGTCTAAACAGACGAGAACATATCAATATAATAACAATAAAAAAATATTTACAATCATAAAAATACTACATTGGTTTTTCAAAAACTGTTGACAGGTTATATGATTTTGCCATCTGTGCCCTGGAAAAACTGCAATTTGAACAAGTGGAAGAATTTGTTCAGTCTGCATCATTGCTCTCATTGTCGTAATCATCATCATCATCGTCGTCATCATCATCGTCATCTTCTTCCTCCTCATCATCATCATCATCTCCACTGCTCCCCTCAGACTCTTCATCGTCTGAGCTCGCCGCCTCTTTCTTTTTTGGCCTAACGGTCAAATGAATGGCCTCTTCCTCTTGGCTAACGCATCAGAGCATACACAGCATGATCAGCCAAAACACATGAGCGTCTGATTGAAGCGAACCCATCCAGTCGAAGGTCAGGAAGAAAACTACAGCTGAAAATCTCCAAACAATTATTCCCTTACATTCAGACTTCAAATTTCTGTTATTTTCGATGAATGCAACTTTGGCATATATTTAATTATTTAAAATGTATTCAATTATATTTGTTGCCTGAAGTCTGGATGTACCATTTCAAAAAGAGAGAAACAATTTATCACAGCATAATCAGTCTTATATGTATCAATTACAATTTTAAATCAGGTTTGAAGGAGTTCATTCATGATTTTGCTGGATAAATTGTGCAAAAAAAATGTAAATAAGACAATTTGGTAAAATCCATATTTACAAATCCAACACAAGATTTAAAAAACATGAAAAAAATGAACATTTCAATGAATGTAAAAAAAAAAAAGAATCACATTTACCAATTGTGCGAGAAAATAAAAGTGAAAAGGATAATAAAAAAGGCCCAGCCTTCTTCCTTTTAGTAGCGTTTCTGCACCAGAGCACACCCTGCCCAGCTCCAGCTTGCACCCTTCCTGCTGCTATTCCAGGCCTCACCACACGGTGGGGTCCTTCCACTGTTCCTCTGGTACGTGCATCTCAGTGTCTCTGTCAATTTGCCTCTTCCTGCATAGCTTCACTGATACTACGACTACGAGAATGACCAGGATGAGAAGAATCCCAGCCCCCACAGCCATGGCCAGCATGCTGATCTCCGACAGAGACACTGGGCAAAAAATGAGAATGCATATCAGAGCAGGGCCAGAAAATATACATGCAGCAAGATTCTGAGTTAGCAGTGGCCCGGAGAATAGATACATTCTATTATATGTATATATATGTATGTATATTGAACACTGCTACATGATTTTGCAGTGGAACCTACTCAGGACATGACTAAAGGCTGACAAATGCCAATCCCCTGTATTGTTCTGTTAACTTCGACCATGTATTAGAAAAGGAAGGAACTGTGTGGCCACACCTTTGTTGACTACTCTGAGCATGATCTCGCCGTTGCTGCCGTGCACATCTGGTCTGTTGCGGACTTGACAGATGTAGGTTCCATTGAAGGTTGGAAGCACATCATGCAGCGTGATGGAAGCATCTTTCCTGAGGATGTCACCAGACCAAACAGCACGGCCTTTGAAGCGCCCTTGATCGGGAGGAAAAGGCTCCTTATCATAATAAAACACCTGTCACACACCACAAAGAAAACATAGAATGAGTGAATAGAGGTAATATATTGAAGGCAGTCTCGTTTGGTCAGTTTACTAAAAGCAGCCTAGAGCTGAAGGTGTTGCTAATGCTTAGGTTTGTCAACCCAAAGGGTTAGATTTTATATGTACGCACTGATTCATCTAGTCCCAGCAGCAGGGGGCGGAAGTTCCAGGACACAGTGACTGACTGCAGTGACACGGGGGAGGTGGAGGTGAAGGTGCACTTTAGTTTAACATCGGTTCCATTGACTGCCTCCACCTCTGCTGGGGTGCTGATTTCAATGCAACGGACATGTCGAACCACTGTTGAAAACAAACAACACAATTTGGTAGAGTTTATGCTCTATGCTCTATCTCCCCTTTTTCCCTGGGAGTCACAAACCAACTGTGATCCCAGCCCAGGGACACATGTTATCTCTGAAAAGTTGCTTATCTTACACGCACATGCGCACACACGCACTCACACACATACACACCACACTATCAGCAAAACTGACATTCAAGATCCCAGAATCAACAAGAAACAAATTCCTTTTCTCTATTATTCTACAGGAAGTGTCACTTGACTTTATCTCATTCTGATATATATTCTTTTTTACATATGGTAACAGTTTGTTATGAGTATTTATTTAACTTATGAGAAACTAAGCAACAGTTCAAGGCTTTTTGCTCAATTACTGTTTATGTCTCATTGATATTGTATCATTAAAACACTGACTACATTTCTATAAATTTCAAGAATTTTTGCTCAACTCGCCAAGTAACATTATTCATCTGATCTTATAGGCAAGGCAAGTGTATTTGTATAGCACAGTTCATACCCAAGTCAACTCAGAGTGCTTAACAGAACAAGAAAGAAACAGTCACAAAAGGCATTAAAACACTAAATAATCACAGTACAAATAGTGAAGATCAAATCCTTCAGTTGTATGCATTATAGCTTTCAGATGAATACTAGCTGGGAGTATAGTAGTTTGAACATGTAAGCCATAGTGGACACTTTAACTTTCCATGTTTGTTTCAACACATGAGGTTTGAGTGATAAGCCAACAGGATAGTATTGTAAGCCAAAGAATGGAGGAAGCGTGAGTATGCTCTGACGCTCAAAGTTTGAAGTCTGCACTATGCCTGTTGTGCTGTGAACATATGCACTTCCGAGAGCATACCTTTAGGGCGAGCATGAAAGCATTCGCGTGAGAAAATAAGGAATGGTCTCTCCCTCTCTCTCCAGGAAGCTTCTGTTCACTCACCTGGCAGCGCGAGTCCTCCCAGCAGAACCAGCCACAATCGGAACATGGGAGAAGACATGTATGAAGTCGGAGTGATGAGTGGTGTTGTGGTAGCAATATTCTTATAAAAGTCATCGAGACCTGGACAATCTAAAAAGGGGTAAAAGGCCTCTGTGTGCAGCCGAGAAAAGTGAGTCACAGGACGCACACACCTTTGGGGAGAGGTGGGCGGCGTCTACGGTGCAGTCTTGTTTAACCCGCTCACCTGCCTGCTCATCGCCCTGAAGGCCTCCATCGGTTCAGCCTTGTTCATCCTGGTTCAGCCTAGTTCAGCCTAGTTCAGCCACAAAAGTCCAATGCCATAACATACATATTTCAGAATTTGTGTTCCTCAGACCGCTCAGGGATACTGATCATACTTAGTGAAAACCCAGCAATGAAAATGACTGAATGGCTCCATCTGGTGGCTAAACCAGAACTGGCAGGTCCGTTTGTGCAGAACAATTGATACATAAAGATAAACAAGTTTCTCTGATCCCTACTGTGGCAACTCATAGTGAGAGGTGTACGCTGCAGAGTGTATGCACAATGGTCAATGTGTCGGGCTGGAAGCGGCCACATATTTGAGAGCAAACAAAGCTTTGAATATGTGCCAGGTTTTCTCGTCAAGTTTGTACATGCCTTTTAACATTTGTGAATGGCACTTGTTTTACTGTAGGGGACGGCTTGAGCTGCTTTTGACTTCCAAAGATATCCAGCGTTTGATCTGGTCGGCTATTTTAGTCAATAAGAGTTTGGAAGGACAAACTAATATTATCACATGGCATTGAATATATGGAATTTTACTATTACTGTGTTACAACAACAGATCTCACAACAACAGGATATAAGGATTTAAGGCAAGCCAACACGCCTGTATATTTTAGATATGTCCTGTATTCAAGTGAAAAATAACCTGTTTTGGAATATATGCAGTCTTGTTCCGATGGACAGTTTGGTTGATCGGCTAGACCAGTGTCTCCCAAAGTGGGGTCCGCGGCCCCCTGGTGGGCCGCGAGGGTACTGCAGGGGGGCCGCGGGAGGTCATTAAAAAAAAAAAAAAAAAAAAAAAAAATATTTAATGTTAAATTTATAATGTTTTGTTTGCAATATTAAAATATTTGTGTTCATTATTTGACTTGAATAATCCACTGTAATCATTTTTGTATTACAATGTTTGTAGCAGAGGCTATTTCCCCAAAATAAAATAACCAGAGGAGCCTATTCTTAATGTTGTCTTCTTGGTTATTATTTTGGGGGGCCACGCAGACCCGTCAGATTTTTAAGGGGGCCTCGGTGTTACTGAGTTTGGGAATGGCTGGGCTAGACAAAAGGGGACGCGGGAGTGTACATTTACAGTTTATGGATAGATTGTACATCTGGATGATCGTTATGCCACTGTCATTTTTCATTACAATTCTTGATTCGATAATTGATTTTGTTGAACTAACTACTAGGTGTAAAAACAGTCTATGGTAAAAACATAGCATAAGCAGCGGGGCAAAATGAAACACGCCCATTCGATATGAGTTTTCCCTGCGTATTTTTGTTATACATTAAATACACATTTTAATGTAATGTATCAAGTATTATTTGTATTGATTCACACAATGATTAACAATGTTTAAATATGTCCACAACAATAACAGTATTTTTTCGCCTGTAACATGGGTGTATATCGCCTGACAGACTAAATTCAGGGCATACAAACGTGAACTCACTATCGCTCTCTACGGCGTTGACGGTCCCCTGTCTGCTGCTTGACACACCTTTTGTTGTCATCTCAAGGGGGGGGCAGCTGCAAAAGATTTATTGCAAACCAACTAAATAAAAGACAGCGCAACAGTTGCACAGGTATACATTTTATATTTATTCTAGATTTTAGAGACGCAAAGGCGTGCAGACACTAGCTAGGGGAGGGATGCAGTGATGAGCGTGCATGCTAACCGGCTAATGTCTGACATCCAATAGTTGAATTAAAATGACAATGGCTAGGCTGCACAGGCCCGTTATATGATCTACAAATCCGAGTAAGCTTGGACCAAGTCATGACAATGGTTAACTACAACAATTCCCTAAATGCCTCTTCTGTTTTAGAATGAATAGTGATGAGAACCCAGCTGCAGTGCCAAAACCAGTGGAGGATGTACAGGGAGATGCAAGATGGATGTCACAGGTATGTGTTTATTTTATCTTTTTTAATTATTATATTATTTAATTATCTATCTAAATATTTAATTGTATTGATATTATTATTGTTATTGTAATACTCTTACATTGTAACGAATGTAATCTTTCAATGAATGTCGAGGTTCTTATGAAACATGTATAGTAACATACTAGTCAGAATATATTGTAATCTACAATTCTATCACTTCTTGTTTATTAGCCTCACTATAGGTCATTGCAAGGTTAATCCCACAGAGCTAATAAACGGAGTCTGATTAACTCTCAGATGGTGCACCAGACGTTCTTGGGACAAGCTTCAAAGTATTATTGTATTATTAAGAAGATTACAAGGACTTTCAGCACAATGCGGTCTTTGATCTTGTGCTACATTTACACCTTTCCTTGTCATATAGATTTAATTGTTGATTGATGCTAACTGGTTTCTCTGCAATAAATTGATCCTTTCTTTTACTTTTTTTAAGCACACACGGTTTGTACAGGAGTGCAAAGATGCAGAGCCAGATGTGCTGTTCATTGGTGATTCAATGGTTCAACTAATGCAACAATATGATGTAAGTTCCAACTACATCATATTGCATATATATCATATACACAAGACAAACACACAGAGATATTGTGTGTTACATTTGTCATGATCGGATGACTATTGAACTCAATTGACCATTCGTTATTCGTAATTTTATGTCTACTTTCTTTATAATGACAAACAATAGATTATTTACCTTTGGTTCTCAGATCTGGAGAGAATTGTTTTCTCCTCTTCATGCTCTCAATTTTGGCATCGGAGGTGACACAACCTGTAATGTTTTATGGAGGCTGCAGAATGGGGAGCTGGAGAATATAAGACCTAAGGTTAGACTAAACATTTTTTTTGTTACAGTTAAAATAATTATTGATTGCCTGAGTTTGTGGATTAATATAATTTTTTTCTTCCTTGCAGGTGGTAGTATTGTGGGTAGGAACCAACAATCATGAGCACACAGCAGAGCAAGTTGCAGGAGGAGTCATGGCAATTGTAGAACTTCTTTCTACTCGTCTGCGTAAAGCGAAAATAATAGTACTGGTAGGATTCAATATCTTTTTTTAGATAATTATAATTAAATACTATATATATATACTTTATATTTATTATTATTATTTAAATGATAATAGTACTCTGTTAATGTATTATAATAGCCAAACCACATTTGAAACGCCACATACACACTGAGATGGACAGAATTCTATTTACCTGGAAACATTGCCTGTCTTGGACCAAGACTCCACCTGATTTATTTTATTGGCGCTCAACTAACCACAGATTTATCCAACAATGTTCTGTTGTCATCTTCAGGGCCTTTTGCCACGGGGGGAACGGCCAAACCCACTGAGGGAGAAGAATGCTACTGTTAATAGTTTCCTGCGTTCATGGTTGCCCCGGATTCCCCAGGCCCAGCTCCTTGACGTCAGTTCAGAACTGGTCCATTCTGATGGAACCATCAGCATACTGCACATGTTTGACTTCCTCCATCTTACATCGGCTGGGTACCGTGTCATGGCCAAGCCCCTTAATGACCTTCTGCTGCAGATATTAGAAGAAACACCAGAGGAGAGAAGGGCCTCACTGGTTTAGATCAAGGAAAGGCTCATTGAAGAGGATTCCTTAAATACTTGTATTATACTTATCAGTGAAGACGTGGAGAGGGAGAGAGACCACAAGATTATGCATTTAGACACTGTGCTCTTAAAAAATACAAACTATAATACATTTTATATTCAAATAAAATCCCAGTACCATTACAACAACAAAAACAATTCCAATTGTTAACACATCACAACAATATAACTTTCAAATTCAAAATAATGCATCATTCTCCATCTAAATATTATTTTATGCCATATACTACAGATTATTCTGTGGCCTTCAATACCATACACTGCCAATAACATTTTTTTTGTGTGTTTATATTTATTTTATAGTTATCTATATTAACAGATACAGTCATTGTATTCAGATTGGCACCAATCAAGTAACCTTAACTGGACTAAGGTAGACTCTCTCCCTCTCTTGAGGTAACGGCACTTCAAATGTGATCTCTCACTTTTACTCCTTGTATTTTAGTTGACAGTTGACCTTCTCTGCTGCCTAATGTTGTTGAAATAACATTTCTGTTTCTCCTGATCATGGGTATAAAGATTCTTCTATAAATCACAGGTCATGTTAAAGATGCCATTTGCATGTGAACTTTTCCTGTAGCTTATAATTAGAACGTTTAAATTAGTCTCATTAAACCTTCACTTTGCCCAGGTTAACTTATGTCTTAATTTGTGCACCCAGTGCTTTGTTAATAGTGTATATGTGTGTGTGCCTTATGTGTTCCTACGATTATTGTGTACAGTGTGTATGTCTGTGAATTTTTAATATTGATGCAGAGGCTTTGTGGCTTAAGTGTCTTGTCATGAAAGTCAGGCCTCCCAATAATAAATGATTTACCTACACTTCTATAGCAGTCTTTCAGTTATTTCAGTTTTATTTATTTTAATGATGTCCATAGAAAAGAACAATCACACTGTGTACAACTAATTATTTTTGTACTCTGATGAACATAGATAACCAGTGCTGCACACTTAAAAGTTATGATTTCATGTGTGTTCTCCCAGCTGTCATCAGATGGGGATGATTATGCATGAACCAACATTTCTCTCATTGAGATCTTTCAGCTCAATGTATTCATTATGGTCTGATCACTGTTCTTTTCTTTTAGTATTTTCAGTAACCTTAGAAAACCTATTCAACTTTTTATTTTGTTAAAACTACTGTTTTTGAAGGTTGTAAATCTGTTCTACCTGACTATTGTTCAGACTCTGGCTGTATTCAGTGAGAAAACATATATTTTTGTATTTAAACTTTTAACCTGGAAAATCCTATTGAAATATCTTTTCCAAGGGTGTTCTGGACAAGAGGCATCATCAACACAGCCTACAAACATTTTATATAAATCGTACAATAAAGTATTAGCTGCAAATTGAACGACAGGTCAGTGATTGCATGTTCCATAGTTGCAAGGATTTAGGATTTTGATTGGGATCTGTAGGAGGTCTGTACTTGGTTAGACTAAAAATGATATGCTTTTTTTTATTTCACAACATACCATTGTGATTTCATTAAACTGCTTTATATTGAGTGGCGTATAGTCGATTATATTAAACAACTTTTTAGGCTAAAGATTATGGCACCTTCCACGCTAATATAAGATTTTAAATTTTTTTTTAACCCTTTTGTTGAAATGTCTCGGTTCTTTTGTCCAAAATGCTTCTATCTCAAGCGTGGTACCCTATGAAGTTATGGACAGAGCTCTTGTCTGCCTTTGAAAACCAAAGCATTGTTTCCGAGTTAGTTCTGGGAATTTGTCTTGATACATTCTTTACAGTGGTGCCATCTTGTATTTAAATATAAATATAGCAGAACTTTGAATTCCCTCTTATGCCACTAGATGGCAGTGATTGCCGCATTGGTCATTTCTTGCTAACTTTCTCAAGATCAAGAGACAAAATGAACACAAATAATAATGTTAAAAAAATGCCTACACTAAGTAAAGTTATAGTACAAATTAAACTGTTTGGTTTTTTAATCACCGTTTCTTTTTTCCTTTTGGGAAAAGATTTGCATAGAAAATAAGACACTGTAGCTGAGTGTTTAGCAAAATGCTTCATGTTGTAACATAACAGCTGTTTTACAAGGTACATCTGAAGCAACATCGAGAGGCAGAGGTGTTTCTCATGTTTGTACATGCACTTGTTCATCGACATCCAAATCATTCAGACTGGTTTTCTTTGACACTTCAGTGGATTGGGTGAACACAGTCAATGATTGTGCAATATGGGTAACAATCTATTGATTATTTAAATTTCTAAAAACATGTGGGTTTGTAGAAATCATTTGATATTTCATTGTGCCCTTGTTATAAGTTGTCCTGCCATCATTGTCCCATCTTTGACAACAGAAACATTTGTTGTTTCTGTTGTATTTGGAAAACTCAAAAAAAACATGTCTTTGGAATGTGCACAGAGGAATGTGTAATCCAGTTGGCTCAGTTCTCTTTGGTCCTGGTTTTGTTTCAGGCTCGGGAACAGTCCTGTCACATTTAAAGCGAGTCTGCTTCAGTTGATGATCTGCCGTGGCTGACCGTAGCCCGTCATCCCGGACTGAGAGGCTCCTGCGTTTGAGCCCATTTGTAGACCAATAACATTTTTACCCTGCTGCAGCTGCTCCTCTGAGAATTCCCTCTTGTTCTCTTGGGCTTTTCTGCAAATAAACAAAGATTCACATTTGTCACCGCTTTTCCACAAGGAAATAAACCTTGAACATTTAATATGTCTGGGTTAACAAACCTGTGAAACCAGTTGGGGTCTCCTTTGTAGAGTCCGTCGTCCTTTGTGACAGCCAGGCAGCCCAACGCCATCAGGGTTCTCTGTACAGCAGCCAAGTCCTTCCCTAAACCAAGCAACAACTGAAAGCCAAACTGAATAATCCAAACACCAAATTCTTTCTTTTACACTTACCTTCATAAAGATCAACAGTCTGAAACATATCCGTTTTGGTGATTCCATATTTTTCCGCTGCTTGAAGGAACATAGATATTTGTTCCATTTGTTTGAATACCATAGAGGATGTCTTGATGCTTTTTATGGGCTTGTTTGCTCCATGGAGACTGTTGATGAGTTCACACAGCACCTATAAGAGAAAGAGAACGTGAATTTCTCCAAGTCTATAGCAGAGGTCAATGTAAGAGCCCCCACTCACACAGCCATCCTTGAGCCAGTTTTGGAAGCCAGTCTTCCCCGAATCAGGTTGACTTGCACCACACTGGGCCATGATCCACAGCACCAGCCGCTCTTCCAGCTCCTGGTCATATTTCTTGTCAATTTTCTGCTGCACCTCGCGGCTCAGACCGTATGAGGGACCTTTGTTTGACATGCTGAGCAGAAGGAAGGGTCAGGTGGGATAAGAATCAGTCACACAGACATCTTTTTTGGATGGTCCCAGCAGGTGGTTATGAATTTTCACCAAGGAAATTATGATGAGTATGTATGAATAACGAATAACGATGAATAACGATTTAAGGAAAGCCCAGTTGAACATTGGATAGTTACTAATGTAGCATGTGCTTGTTAATAGGCACACTCCCTGCATCCTGTTTGCTCATTCAGTTGACACTTCCTTCCTCCCACCGTCACAATAGCCATGTGTATACAGCAGGAAACAAGCCAACATCACTATGGGAACTTTATTGGATTACAATTGCGATGGCCACAACTAAGGACTACCTTTGTGCCAAAATTCAGGGATATTTGGGCAGAACTTCAAGAAAAGACTGCACCGATTTACTAGTCCATAACCCTGCTCCTCCCTTCTCATGTTCAAACTTGTCTGCTCATATACAATATTTGTTTGTTTTTGAGGGGCAGAGGTTTAAAACATGTTGCATTATTACATGTCTTTTCAGGAAAATATGCGGACCAACCAAAGAATGTCTATGTTCTCCAGCCAGAGACACACCTATAGAATGTTTCAAGTGGAAGACATCCCTGTCAGGCTAGCTTAAGGTGGTTATACATTCACAGATTCTCATTGTCTCCTATTGACCAATGACCAGCAGCACCAGAGTCGGTTCTGCACTGAGGCACTTTTGTGAAATAGGAGAGGTATGCCGTTGGCCGAGCATGTCTTAATAACAAAACAGGCACATCTCTGTCTATCTTAATGAAACAGAATCCACAGCATTGTTCAGACATGCCCCAGGAACATGTTCCAAACTGTTATCTGTGTAAAACTTGTTCTGGTCTGTGAACCTCTACTTGACTGAACTTAGACAGCAGGTAGTACTGCAGATGCTGTAGAGAGTTATGGTGTCAATATCCTCTTTTTGTCTTATTCCACTCCATGCTCTCTGAGAACAGTTTGAACATAGTCCTCACTCTTTGCTGTGTTCATTTCTATTGAGGTCAAATTTCAACATGCATTTGTAATCTTGAATAATTAAATAGAGTAATCAAATAATTGTCAAGTATTGTTACTTTAGCTACATTTGTTTTAAAGGGATCTTAGGAATTCTTATTCTCTCTTGAGCTACTTTTTTCACTTTACACTAAAATATACATACACTAACTCCAGAGTGATCGTCTGTTATATCACATTTCCACAACTAAAATGAAAACCAGTAGAAGCAAGCAGCGTGGTGTTACTAAACAGTTACTGATCTCATTTAGAGTGCCGGGTGCATGGGTTTCGCAAGAAGGGTAAAAGTTCATTCAATAGGAATTTTATTATGACAGGAAATGGCAAAGCATTAACCCAGGCTTGAAGAGAAGAGGGTGTGGTTAAAGAGACACGCTAAAGCTTTTTCTCAGAAGATATGCCTTTGCCTTTAAGAAAAAAAATCGTCTGGCATTTAGAAGTGTAGAGTTGTACGAGTTATAGAGAGAGATTTTACTTACTTTGTGTAGAGGTGTTTTGCCAGGTGAAATCCCAGTGTGCAGTGCAGTCTAGAGCACCTAGTGGTGGTCAAATGCTAGTTTGTTCAGAGGGAGCCGGACCCGCCTCAATGTCCTCTTATTTCACTCAAGTCACGCCCACATTGACTAGCCCCTCCCTCTTTCCTCTCCTTATTGTAATTCTGTATTTAGCAGAATTTAGGGAGGGAAATGTATACATGATTCCAGTTTGGTGTGGTCAATGAAAATAATTCTCCAGATGTCTCCCGTTACCACTAAAGAGCAAGAACAGGAAGGAGAGGGCTGAAATGTTTTGTTCAGAGGAATAGGTTTGACATATCCTGCATATGAACAGACACGCAGAAAAGAAGAGCTTCTCGTCTGCAAGTCAAGATGTGAAACTACAGAGGTGACAGAGTGACATCACAAACGCCATGTCAGAACAGGTCACAGTAATACTTTTTACACCTGCTTCACATTTCCAGGCTTGACCCACAAACACAATTTACATGCAAACTATTCTGAAATACAGACTGTTACAGTTCAGGTCCATTGAATGTACACCAAATATGGCATAATTATATGTATTTAGTGCTAAACAGAAAGGAGAATCTTTCTCCGAATGTAATTCTTTTCTCCTAATGGTGCATTCCTTACATACCAATGACTGTATTCGATTCAAAAGAGGAAACAAAGTCATGCACCTCCTTTTTGTAGCTCTCGTATTTAGGCATTTACTTCCCCTGGTCAAAACAGGAAACTACCCTCAGCAAAATAGAGGATTATGTGACCCCTGTGATGTCCGAAAGACCTTTTAACTGGCCAAGATGATGCATAGATGGAATATGGTCGCCACTTTTTAGTTGATATGGACTGACAAAGAAGATATAAGTATTACATATGGTCCCTTTAACTCAAATTGACTTAATTTACACTTTATGATGTCTTTATCACTTCCTAAAATGAAATAATTCTATTTTTTGTTGGTTATAATTCTTGATTCTCTGATTTTGAGCATAGATAGTTGCCACAAGGTGGAGGCTGCCTCACTCACTGTTATTGCCTTATAGGAACTATCCACAACACATGCATATGCTAAGGAGAATACGACCAATGAGTGGAAAAATGCTATTTATGTTTTAGTGAGACACATATGCAGTGCCTTCCTGAATATATGTATTTTTTATTTTTAAAACAGACATCATATTTTTGTTTTATCTTTATAATTTTACTGCAAGACCACAAAACTATGTTGTGGTCCACAACATGGTTACATAGTCAGCCCTACGTGCTGGGGATGAAACAAATTGCTGAGTGATCACTGGGCTGAGGGATCATTGGTCCCCTGTGTGCGTGAATATTTTTTGATTAACAGCCAGGGCAAAGTGTGACCATGCACAGCGTGATTGAATAATGTCGTGTGAAACGTCTTGTACAAAAACTGTTATTTTATACAATATTTTACATCTTTAAACCCCTTTCAAAAAAGCTTTTTTAGCTGTTGATGGTTTTTAGTTTTTCTTCATAAAATCGTAACAGTAAAAAACGCCTAGTGTTTGTTGTAGTACAGATCATTATCCGCTTGGGGGCAGTGTGCTTCACTTTGGGAGTCGATGCCATCAGTAAATTGAGCATCATGTGTGCTGACTCTCAACCCTCACCCCTCTGTGTCTATATAAATCTTTTGCCCTTCATCCTACCTCCTTCATATGACTCTTATAATAGAGTAGCAACTTTGTATTTGTTTCTCACCAATGTGTTTCCCCCCCAAAAAGTGATCTCTAAGCGGTTTATATTGCTGCTTGACAGATTTTCTGATGACATTTCAACTATTGTGACATACCCCTTTAGCTCCACAGTCTGTTGTCCTTATAAAATAAGACTAGACCGGCACTTTTCTTATGACCTCTCTATTGATCTATAGGCAGCAGAGGTGTATACCAGTGGGGGATGGTGATCACTGTGGCCTTCCCATATGGGCTTCAGGGGAGACATTTCACTGCCATAGGTTCATTGCATGCACCAACGTATGCTGCATGCCTTTGTGGGCAATGCTTAGATCATGAATTCAGTGAATTGAATAGCATCATTATAGACATAAAAGTGATGAGTACATTGCAGTGCTTCTTCTGCAATGACCTTGGTCCTTGGCACTGAATCAGATGGAGACGGTAGATCTTAGGCATTTCAAACAAGAATTTCTGTCCTTACAACAAGGTGAAAGCCATTGAAGGTTAATTCTTTGGCTAATACTGTACATAAACCTATCTGTATGTACAACTTGGCTGCAAATGGAAGTAAAACGGTTTCATTTAACTTTTCCCACTAACTTGAGGCGTGGGCATTTTTCCATTTGTGGCTCAGAGCTATGAAAAATAGAGTCAGCACTAAATGACCCATCACTTCCCACATCATCAGCCTTTGGTAATCACCTCTGTGTAATGACAGAGGGGACCATGTGATGCAGACGGAGCGCTCAGGAACGGCCCGCAGTGTCCTTGCGTAGCTGAATTTATTGCAGCACTGGCTTATTTGGGCTTGAAGCAGAGGATTAAGGCTTCTTAGGATGGATCTGTGGAGGTATAATGTTAGAGGCTTTTCCAGCTGTGATCACATCATGTATATGCTTCCATTTTCAAACCTCTGACTCTCAGAGGGATGGCTTCTTAATGTTGAAGCCCCCTTTTTATTTTTATTTTACTATAACAATCCATTCTTTTTGTTTATTAATATGTTACCAATTTAATCTGTGATCTGTTATTGGGAGGTATGTTTGCCACTGACTATTGTATTGGTCCCATTTATAATTACATTAGGACAAAATGAATAGGTTGACATAGAGATTGGACTCATTTGGTCAAATTGAGTCAAATTGAGAAGTAAATTAATTTCTCAAAATGGCCCTTTGTGTGAAACAGATGACAGAATTAGGAAAACGGAAAAATAGGCCATGTGCTCCATATTTGTGCAACTATACTAGGGCATTGTGTGAAGCGTCTGACTGGAATAACGCCAGTGCAGAAATAACAAGTAAAATGCTGCTAAACCTTTTATCGCATGAGCTGCTGACCAATCCTTATTTGGTGACAGGAATATGAAACAATGAGGTCAAATTTAGTCTAAGCACAACTGGATTTGTCTTGGCCCAGATGTTATTGAGCTGCTTTGACAGAGAATAACTATATGACAGGCAGCGCTGACCAGGAATCCATCACTACACTCACTCTATTTAATACAGACAGGTGAAGGCTAGGTGCATGGTGGGAAATCAAGTGCGAGTCCATGTGGGCGAGGACACACAAGGTCGAGAGAGTCAGAGGCAGGAGGGACCAGATGGAGACGTGCAGTGCCAAGCTGGGATAGCACACGCTACATTCACCTACAATGAGCCAAATACGGGCTGACAGGAACTGATGGTGCAAGACATTAGGACTCTGTAAGTGGGGCACACTCTGGAGAGGTATAAAGCCAACTCCAATTTAGGCTTTATGAATGGGGCTATAGGGAGATATTTCAGACACACAGAAGAGGAATAATGAAATGATTCTTCTCCCTAAAAGCTAATAATATGAGTGCTGGTGTAGGTCACTGAGGAGATGAAAATTTGATGAAGAGCCAAGCAGTTGATGGCTGTAAGTAGCAAGTCAATCAATCTACTAATATTGACTAATTCCCAGGGCATGAAAATGATTTTATGTGTTTGTGTGTGAGGCAGCCGACTGGTAAACAACACAGCACACAAAACACCCGCACTTGTCCTGGATTACTGCTGTCACAATTGTTCGCCACATTTGTGTGACTGCTAAAAATAGCCTCTTGTATAAGTAAACCTCAGGAATTATTGACTGGTTTGCCTGATCCAGTTGAATGTGTTAAACTAATGTGCATGCTATTTAAATCCACTACTAGCCTGGTTTTAACGTAAAGGTTTATTTACTTTATAATCAGACAAAGGCTTTGTGTTTGACATTTTCACATGCCTCCGAGCTCACAGAAAAACAAAAGTAGAACGTTTCATCACTTAAGGCATCTGAACTCATCCGTGTTAACAACAGCTCATAAATACAGCTCCTAATGCATTGTAGCAGAAGAGATTCAAACAACAAGCATATGCCTCATCTGTTGAGCTCACCCAGTCTCTGTTGGGTTATAGGGGTGAATTGTTGTGTACCTTGATATATTTTCACATCTTCTTGTGTGAGTATTTACTTAGCTTCATAAAAAATGAATGATAGCACTATCCTGAACCATTGCAGTGCATGCGGTAAACCCTCTATTTGCAATCTTTCCTGCTCGAGTTGACAGTGTGGGATGAACTAAGTTGTTAACCATTGAACTATACCAAATTCCCTGACGCAACCGCACGCACATGCACATCTTGCAGATAATAGGCTAAATCTATGTAAACAGTCTGTACTTCATGGGCCCAGACATAACATCACTAATGTAACCCGGGACGATAGCCAAAAGGCTTTAAAGGGAAATGTATAGACCTTCTCATAAATTCATGAAGAGACACAACAGCTGTTTCACAATCCTTAGTGCTGCTCCAGAGACGTAAGTGACTATGGGCTCACATCCATCTGTCAGACGAGACAGAAACAAAGTGACAGGAAAAGAGCCAAACTGCATGGGATCGATCTTGTCATGTTTGAGATTATTTGAATTTTGCCTGCAACCTACTGTCCTTTTTTAAGTTCGGACCTGAGCAACGTAAGTTTGACACACTTCTTCTAGATCAAGGTCATGTCACTAGGCACGTGAAACTCTAGCTTCTCATTATATTCTCATCAAAATAGCAATGTATATGTGTTAAACATCCCAAACCAAGTAAAATATGCTCAATATATCAGTCAAGCAAAACTAGACTTGTCAAAACTGACATTAAAAAAAAAAAATGCTGTGTTCAATTCGGAGCAGATAGGGGCCAGGGCATTGGTGTCAATGTTACTGGAGTATTCCCGATGAGCAATTACACATGTTGGGTCATCAATGCCGCTTGCAGCTTTAATGTTTTATACTATTATTATTTTGATCTTGATTTTTATTTTATTTTGAACATCTACATTCACCCCTTCCCCGTCTGGTTTACAGTGGACTTAAAGGGGTGTTACTGTTGCAGTGAACAGCTGGTGGTGCATCTGCAGTGCTGCGTCCGTCTTTCGAGTCAGAGCTGCTGCAGACCTGCCCCTCTCTGCTGCCGCTTAACATCATTACCTTCTGTCACCACAGCAACGGCCTGCAACATCCTCTGCCTTTTGTTCAGGCATTTATTGACTATACGTGTACTGTGCAGGCACTTATGTCAATATAAATACACAGTGGCCTTTAAGTGAATGAATAAGCACAAAATTCATTATCGGACTTGCTGTACAGGGCCTACGAGACAAACGTCCATATGATTGAGCTGGAAGCCACTGTGTCCCTCCGGACCCAGTGACTTGCAACCCACCCCGTCTGATGCTTTAATACTGCTAAAAGGTTCACCACCCCCACACCTCTCCTCCTGCTGTACAATTCCTCATTAGAGAAATTATCACATTCACTCTAATAAACCGCCAGCCCACGTGTCACGCAGAGGAGGTCTGAAAATAATGGAGACTGCATGGAGGAATAAATAAAAATGCCAAGTATTATTCTTGGTTTGGAGTTATGTACCCCCTTTATTCAATTAGATGTTATTTTGTGTCTTTCGTTCATTCATCTGTGCATGTGACGTGCCAACTGCAATCATGTAATGCTAATTGTATTTATTATTGTACAATGGAAACCAGATGTTTACACACCCGCAGTCATTAACTATGGCCGGATTGCGGGTGTGTCCTCTGTTGTTGACTTGACTGTCTCTGACCACTATTGTGTGTTTCTTAACATCACTGGTTTTGTTCAGCGAGAGATCTCTGTGAGAACTTGTCATTCTAAAAAAACACTCCTCAGTTGGTTGTATCTGCCCCCTGTAATCTTATATATCACAGCAACTTAACTCTCTATAATGTTGAAAATACTCTATCTGGGTTAGAATAACTAATAAGACTCAGAACTATGTTCCTTTAAAAACAAAAAAACATACAAACTAAAGAGTGGCAGAAACAACAATTACAGTACATACAAAATATACAGTATAACAACCAACAAAAAGTCACCATTAGTATGTACCATCCAGGTTTTATCCTCAACCATTGACTCAGTTCATATTTCTTTTCTTATTCCCTTGGACAGAAACACAGTCTGGTTCAGGCCATCTCCATCTCACATACCTTTAATGAGCTGGGGCAGTTGTTTGGATCAGAAGTTGCTGCTGTTTGGCTTCATGTTCTCCTGTTCTTCACTTTTGTATCATCACATTCATGTTTATTAGGTGTGTTTGAGTACTCACACCGGAGCCCCAGGAATACAGAGAGCAGGGGATGGAGGAAGATCATCTTGGACACAGCAGCAGCTCGCCATCATGAGAGGCTTCAGACCCCAGATTAAAACTCAGCAAAACTGTGTGAAGGCTGAAACACCATCACAGCAAAGTGCCATGAGTGCACATTAAAGTTTACAAGCCTGTGCTTCATCCAACTTCTTCAGCTATATTTACCTCATCAACAACATTAACCACCTTATCAGCACTGTACAACTGGCTGACAGCGGCTTGTCTCATAGTGAACATCTATGAGGATACAAATATGATATTACCAGGGGTCACATGACTTCAAGGCAGACTAACATTGATGCCTTCAGGGGGAATCTTGAACACAAATCTAACCATGATGCACCACTCACCTTCAGCCACATGCACAGGACTATTATTTACATTTAACTAATAAATAAAATTTAATAATACACAATATCACTGTATGTAACTTACACTCAACACTAATATTATCTTTATGTTAGATAACAATGGACGAGGTTGGGAATCACCGTCTAAAAGCTACAACAAAAGAAATGGTGCATTGTCTAGCAGCAGTTAAATGCATCACACGGCCTGAGAATAATGTTATTCACACCGTGTGAAAGGCAATTGTGCAATTTATTTGCCCGTTTCTGAACACTGTAATTCAATTCCTATAATAACGAGAATAAAACCCAGTGCAGTAAGTAAAAATGCACAAAGAATCTGTTTGCATAATAATTTATTCACATGTTTTTTCACATACTATTATTATTGCTGCATCTCTTAAACCTTTCTGAGTTCACTCTGATATTCCCACATGGGGATGTTATAATCATATCACATATTTTTCATCTCAATGCATGCTGAGTACTACATTTTACAGGAGCAGGATGCAAATAAATAAAACAGTTTTTGTTTTAAATTACATGTCATTATCTATCCATTCTAGTAATGCTTCAAGAACATGCCTTTCATCGTCCATAGGGAGAACACTTTGGAATATTGTCTCCACGTTGAAGACTTAACAAAAGCACATTTTTAATACATGATTTATCTTTATCAACTGAACCTCTGTGTCCCAATCCAAAGCAGCCTACCTACAGGAAAAAGGCTTATACTTAATTTATGTACAATATGGCACCATTTGTTTGTGAAAAATTGTGGGTACATTGCGAAAATATTGTCAATAATTGAAAAAGGTTGTATGTAACATAGAGAACCGTTAAGACAGTGATCACAAAATACACTGCTCTCGACTGCTTCGTTGAAAGTACCATGAAGGCATCACCATTGGCGTGTTACACGTGTTACACAGTGCTGCTGAAATGTGTCTGTTGACAATAACAAGTGTCCTGTAACAAAGGCTCTGCCTCTGACTTACAGCAGAAGTCCATAACAATATCGGTCTGGCACCCAAAGTGACATAGAGTGGTCTAGAGTTTCATAAAAAGCTTAGTACAGTACAGAGACATGTTCCTGTTAAAGTTAGTTGTTTTAGTGCTGTATGTTTCTTTACTTAAGCATAAATAAAAATGTGCATCCAGTCCATATGTGACATTACCCAAATATTATGGACAGTAATAAGGTTGTCCTTCTCACTCTAGCTCAGATTAGCTAAGCATTCAAAGTTCTGACTTGGGTCAGACATTGGCTTTTTTCCCACATACATGCCTGTGCATGCACACGCTTTAAGCACTTGCATATGCACACATTAAAAAACCGAGGGCTGTTTTTTTAAGTAAACCAACAGCAAAAGGCTAACAATACAGGTGAATCAATTCAACTTGAGTTTTTATTGTATGAAGTCAAAATTGCTCAGTTGTGTTTGTAGAGTTCATGAAGGCACCTAGTGTTACCTAGGCAGAACAGAGCCCTCTGGTACAGTTTGCACAAGAAAAGGCAACACACTTGCCTTTTTGGAAGTTTTTCTTGAAGTGTCTCTGAACTTCAATGTAACTACAGAGAGTCTGTGTGTGCTCCTCAATAGTAATTTACTGATGGGTCAAAATTGTGCCCATTCAATTAGGGCTCCTAAGCCAGGAAAAAGCTCTCCTCCCCAGTCTGACAGGTCCTCGAGCCCCCAGCTGGAGGAGCCTCTGTCAGACATAGGCAGACTCACTAGACTGGGTCCTGCCCAGGTTTGGAGCCTGGGACAGGTGGGAAACATCCTTCTTACGTACTTCGCAGATGGACTTCCTGCGAGCTTGTACCCCTCGGATGGCTGTCTTTATCTTCCTCCAGCCGAGGTGGTTAAGCTCTGCCAGGTTGAGCAGCACACATATTCCACTCACTGCAAACATGAAGACCAGAAAGACGGTCTTTTCTGTGGGCCGAGACACGTAACACTCCACCTCCTTGACGCATGGGTATCGGTCACACTCAAACATCCCTGGTACATTGAAGCCATACAAGAAGTACTGGCCAGCCAAAAAGCCTATCTCCAGTGCATTGCGGAAGACCACCTGAATTACGTAGAAGCGGGAAATTCCTTCCTGCCGTCGCACCTTGGCGCTCTTTGTGACAGGCAGGCCCCTGCTGGGCCCATTTGGGATCTCCTTCACGTCCAGGAGGTCGTGGTCCTCTTTGCTGTCGGGGTGCACCAGGATGCCGTTGATGTTGCGTGAGTGCAGTTTGCGGGCATGGTGGTCATGGTGGCGGCTGTGGCCATGTCCATAGTGGTCCATGTGGGAATGCAGCAGAGAATAGCTGCGGTCTCGTGCTTTGGCTGACTGGTGCACAGAGTATGTGATGAAGCACAAGCTCGGAGTGCACACCAGGATGATCTGAAACACCCAGTAACGGATGTGTGAGATCGGGAAGGCTTTGTCATAGCAAGCCTGGTTGCAGCCAGGCTGCATGGTGTTGCAGATGAACATAATCTGTTCATCCTCATAGACCTTTTCTCCCACTATTCCCACTATAAGAATACGGAAGATCACCACCACAGTCAGCAGGATCCTGTGGAGACAAAAGGAAAAAAGAGGAGAAAGAGAAGGAGAGTGGAGAAACACAAAAACAATTATTCAAAACACAAATTCAAGGTAAAGAATCTATTTACCATTAACCATTGATTGAGAAGTGATAGCATAAGTCGGGTTTCGTGAGAAACCTCTCATGGACTAAATGACATTATATACAAGACAAACTAAAACCTGTGGACATGCACAATGCTTTTTTTCTCTGTGTTTAACAGGATGAGTATGCTCCAGATAGCATGCACAGATGAGGCCACTGATCAAAGGAAAGATGACTGAAGGTGTTGTCCTCAGAAGATAAAGCAGACGCGAACACAGGGCTTGCTGACACAGTTGTAGAATCGTCAATGATTTTGCTTGTTAAATCTAAGCATTCAAAAGTCGACAGTATTAAATCATTGTTATACGAGGCGGCTTATTGTAGCATAGGAATATAATTGGCAGCTTTGTTAGCTTCTCTAAAAGCTAGGACTTCCCACACAGCATCATTAGAGTGTTACTGCAGTGAGGGACAGAGCAGTGCAGATGCTCTTTAAGGTCTCAGAGCGGCCGGTGCGCTTGTGTCGATCCACTGCGGAGGTGGAGGAGGTGCTGAGAGCGGGAGAGGGGCTCAGGGCTGCACCGTCAGCTTTTTCTAATGAGCTAGGAAAGCCTGTACATCATGGGGCTCCCTGGTGCTTATGTCACAATGCTCAAACATTCACCTAAAGACACAGGATACCAGCAGACCACCCATGAGAGGACAGAGGAGCGATGTCTGTCTCAACAAAATCAGGAGGTTAGCACTTTCAAATGTCAAATAAGTCATTGTAATACTAGCGATTTAGCAATGTCAATGCAAGAGCAGTAGGCACAGCAACCAACAAAATGTCATATACAAATGTACAATACTCGCATCAAAGAGTTGTAAAACGACCAGCATTGACTTGGAGTGAACAAAAAGGGAAAGGTGGAGGAGGCAGCAGATGCCTTGCTGTGGCAGGTGGTAGCGTGAAAGCCACTGTAAATAGAGCAGTGATGTGCTGCAGGACAGCTCCTGCTCCACCTGTGAGTGTGACAAAGACAGACACTGAGCAGAGGCACTCATGTGTGTGACGTGTGCAGCCTGGAGCAGCTGTGAGACATGCGCTACACTGACTTTGGCTTTGTGCACATACACCACACAATTAGGCCTTGCCTGCACCTTTGCTCTTCCAGAAGTGCACCTTGTTATTCACTTTTCAGAATGTAAAAGGTCACTCCCTGGTGGCGTGTGCCTGTCAAATACAGTGTAATGTTTCCTTGACCACGCATTTAGGTCGGCTGCTGAAATGATCATTTATTTTTACACAAATCAACCAGTAGATGAATATGATATGAATATTATGAGAACCTTCATAATAAGTATTTATAAAGGATCACAAAATCCTCTAACCAGCAGGACATTGGTTTGCTCCATTCTTTGTTTTTTGTTTTTTTGCAGGAGTTTACCATCCATTACCAATAACATAAGTCTACTTCCTGGGGTCAGCTAATTGTGCAGATGTCATTGAAATTCAATTTGTATTCAGCATTTACAGGCAAGTCCTCTCGGACTCTTGCCTACCCTATAGCCCCAATGCACTCTAAATAACACAACCCATCAACCGTCATCAATATCACGGTATTATTGCCTTTAGATGTCCTGAAAACCTACATTTAATCAAATTAGCAAGCTCTTAGGCTTGTGTTAAAGGCAAACGTTTTATTTTCTTCCAGGCTCACTGCACGATATTGTACTCGGCTACCTGGAACAACCTTTTCTCAGTGGACTGAACTTACACCAAAAAGCTGTGCCGCACAAAATTCAAAGCAACGCAGATATTTATACTTATTTGTTTGCAATGTTGTTAAAAAATTGAGACCAATGGAGTGTGTGTGTGTGTGTGTGTGTGTGTGTGTGTGTGTGTGTGTGTGTGTGTGTGTGTGTGTGTATGTGCGTGTGTGTGTGTGGGTGTGTGTATGCGTGTGCATGTGTGTGCTTGTGTGCAATACTGCTGGATAACAGGGTAATCAGCACAGGGTAGATTGCTGCATTAGCAGAAAGCACTGAACGAAGGTTATCTGCAAACATCGGTGTTTTAAGTCCTGCCAAGTAACAAGCCAATATGCTTCAAGCAGAATGCGCAAGGACAGCCCAGAGCCAATCTTTTGACTATTTTAAACCAAGTAACTATCCTCCTCACCTCAGCATCTGGTGTAAAATGGTTAACGAGCTGCTGTGATTTAGTATGGTGAGCCGAAGGGTAAGTTTCAGTGGTACCTTTACTTATAAAAAATGATTCTTTTTATCTGGATGGGACAGTGAACAGCAAAGGTTGTAAAAAACACTGCCTTGGGCTTTGTTTCCATTTGTCGTCCCATAGTCACACGCACAGACACACATTCATCCTGAACTAATGAACACGAAACATGCAAACTCCACACATTAAATAATTGTGATATTTCATTGTGTAAACATAATTGCGTCTTCTATACTCTGTAATTTATAACAACAACTGCCTTTACACGCTTTGAGCTTCAAGGACTAAGGCCAAATAGAACAATGACGGGCATGCAAGACAAGGACACCGCTGGAGATTGATGACTTAAGGATCGACCTGTAACAATCTGGTGGCTCCTGGTTGTGTGTTGGCTGGACATGCAAGCACTCGGCCACATTTCCCAGAAGGCCTTTACACAGACACAGCCGCACACAAAAAAACACACACACACACACACACACACACACAGACGCATGCACTCACAAATTCAGCAGATTTATTAGAAGAAAGTTTAATTGGTGCTCCAAAGACACTGGTAAAAAACTAAAAACCTGATTAAGTCCAAATGTTCTCGCCACCCACATGTTCCTGATCGGAGCCCAGCTGCAGCTCAAAATGAACAAAGATCTCACCGTGCACAAATGATCACATAACTAATACATCTAGTCTAGCCAAAAACAGTTCACATTTTTGTAGGTCTTTAGCCCATTAAACTGAGATTCTAAAGTGCTGGGGCATAAAAGCAAATCAAATATGTCCAAATATAAATATCCAAATGAAAAGGGCCACCATTTACTTACATATACTTTGTAGTGTATAGTTACTCCTCTTTTATTCTCTATCAAATCAAACAGGAGGGGGAAAGAAGAAACATCTCTCTTTGATTCTTGACAAGGCCTAACCGTGCGTGAGGGAGCTGATGATGATGCGGCAGGAGGCAGCTGTAGCTCGCCTCCGCCCCATTTGTCTTTGTGACACATCTTTCATCTCAACTTTTTGCTTTCATCTGGAATTACCATATTTTTGCATCTCCGACCAGGAAAACTGTACTTCCATCTAGGATATTAAGATGATTTCAGCAGTTCTTTCTAATGATGTGCAGTGCTGACTGTTGAGATTCCAATGAAATGTTATTTTGTATCAGGAGTGCTATTTGTTGTCTAAAAAGGGAAATGTCAAATGTAATACATCCTCTAAACATGCAGCAGGTTTGTATCAGCCAAAGACATTGAATAATCACACAGAAAAAAATATATTTAAGAAATTGGTATGTACATTTATTAAGCCCACACACTAAAGACTTCAGCTATAGCTATACTTTAAGAATAATTATGAAGAAAAATGTGACTCCCTCTAAGCCTACTTTACTACTTGGAAAGATTGTAACCAAAGTAACAACCGCTAAAACCAAATTTAAAATGTCAATCAATAGGTTTATTCTATACATTATATTTCATTGATCTAGTATTTATGAATTTTCAAACCCAACCACAGGTCCAGGACAACAGAAACGCTGCAGTCTCAAACTAAACTCAAAGGGATTGAAGTTGGTCTTCTAGTGTGTAGGAGAATGGTTCCTTCCAGTTCCTGCAGTTTATTTTAATATCATAGTCAAATGCAACATGGTGGTTTAGTCCCTCATAGGGCGGCACGGTGGCTGAGTGGATAGCACTCTCGCCTCTCAGCAAGAAGGTCCTGGGTTCGAATCCTGGTCGGACCAGGGCCTTTCTGAGTGGAGTTTGCATGTTCTCCCCGTGTCTGCGTAGGTTTCCTCCGGGTACTCCGGTTTCCCCTACCACTAAAAACATGTCCAATAGTTCTGGCATGCGCCTCCTGTACTGGCCCCGCTCCCATCTGTGTGGAGTGAGAGACAAGTGCCCATAATTAACAATTGTAAACCGCTTTGAGACTCAGATCTGCAGTGAAAAGGCGGTATATAAATAAAAACTTACTTACTTACTATACCAAGACCATTGCTAAAAATGATAGGTATTTCAAGGGGACCATAATCCAACACATAAAACAAGACAGCTGCACTGCTAAACATGAAGTGGGATTTGTGAAGTAAAAATATAGTAAAGCTTGGTGCTTGCCATAACAAATGTGTGACTTCGATCAAAGTATCAGAGCATGATGGCTGCCAGAGGAGTGAGGGGAAGGCCATATGTGATCTATAGTCAGCGGGGTCAAGATTCGATTTTTAATATCATTCAGTCCCACCTCACAAACTAAGTCCACAAAGTCTCTTTCTCTTACAATTCAGATGTGTGCCAGAATGAAAAATATACAGTATCTGCACTGAAAGAACGCTGAGCACAGCTTTCCAAATGAAATCCGCCCATTGAACACTGATCAATATAATTCAGCATCACCGCCCGCTACACAAATAAGCTACTGGTAAATGAGATGCTCAAAGAAAAAAGTTGGGTTTAGATGACAGAATGATGGATTGCTTATGCTGTCAAACTATAAGATTTCACGCCTGTGTTTTTATTTCCAAGATTCTCAGTCAATAGATGGATTTCAGAGTCTATGGATGCATAATACATAGGGTAGGCATGTCAAAACTCATTGATGGTAATGGAAAACTGTGACATGTTATACCTCATTTTAAATTATATTTTTCTCAGGAAAACAACCACAGTGTTCAATTTATTCTAAAATTTGAACCCAACACATAAGTAGAAGTTTAATGGTTAAATCTTCTTTATTTTTGGTTCAAGCCAAACAACAAACTAAATTAATTTTGTTTGTAAAAAAACACCAGAAATCAAATAAAATTAATTTGTCAAAACATCTTCTAAATGTAAAAAACAAAAACAATTATTATAACAAAATCACTTAAAATGAGTTTGACACCCCTGACATTACAAAGTCTATTTACACGTGTAGGCCTACAACAATCCTTATAAACGGAACAATCTTGCTGTTTTGAACCATAGACTGTATATATTAACTGCACAGGCTTTCGCAGAAGCTGGAGAATCTCCCACAATCTGGCAATCAGACATTACATCACAGGCAATAAAATGCAAGAACTCTGTGTTGCATTGTTGTATGAAAGCACTTCATAATATAGATTGATTGATATATTGTGCTATGAACATATAAACACTCGGATTGACTGGGGTCCAATATCAGTTCACGGAACTCCCCAAAGAAAAGTCCAGAGTGTACATTAAACGGCTGGTCAAATACACATCCATTTTTAATGAGCCATTTCACCACAGTTGCTGCTACAAAGAGCTGCATAAGGATAAATAATTAAACACTGCTGAGATTAATGGAACATTGTCATTTTTCTTAATTAATACATAATTATTGAAAGCTTTTTTTCTAATTAAGTTAATTAAGTTAACTTAATTAAGTTAAGCTTGCACATCAAATAAAGCTTTAACTTTTCAGCCCAATGAACAATATTTTTTTGCACTGTCAGCCAAACAAAGATTTGCTTGTGTTGAGTTGTCTATTCTTTATTTCAGATGTCTGTTGTGTCAATGGAGTATCAGACAAAGTACAATGCCTAAGCTACATTTCTATGGCAGTTCTGGTCTACAGACAATTTCGGACAATTTCATGATCAAAGCCAGTAAGAATATCTGACGTATTTAGAGAAATCAGTGAGTCAGCCTCAATTCCACCCTGACATAGGGGCCTGTGCTGAAACTTCCTGCTTTCTCCTCTGTCCTACATCCTCTACCCTTGATCCTACATTCTCTGTCCACATCCTTTATCGCATTCCTTATCGTTTTATCTCGGCACTTCACTTTGCTCCTCCATTATCTTCTGCCCGCGGTTGCGCTCGACTTGTCTTTGGCACTGACCCCACTACAGCATTGCAGTGCACAGAAAGATGCATCAACTCCTATTTCTTTCTTCTTGCAAGGTACTGAAATTATGACTTGACCTCCAAGTCGTTTGTTTTGTGCAAGGACACAACAAGACATTGACTAAACTAGTTTCTAGGGAAGCAACAATGCATTGTATTCTACATACAACAACAATTTAGACAAACTGTCTTACTGAATAACATATTTACATACAGAAAAAGCTATTCATTTTATTTAACAACCTTTTATGTCAGACTGAATGTGAGATTTATGTAAAGTCCAGATAATGTGATGAGAGCCTTATTCTTTCTTCTTAACATCTTCATTAATGAGATCTTTTGTTATCCATGCATACACCAAATCTCTTCACAGAAGATTTACATTCATTTTTACATGAGTCATAATGCAAGCCACCAGTGGTTAGTCAAAGGCACAGTAGCAACTCTTTTTTCCTGTTTCTAATAAAAACCATAATTAAGCTAACCTATGCCAGGTCCCCGCTCTTTTAAGCCTTGTGTTGCGGTATCATCTGCTCCACACAGGGCATAGGTTAGCCTAAGGCATACAATTAAGACAGAGCTTAATTGTATGGACAGTCTAGACATCCAACAATGGTTTTCTGTGAGTGCATCCTTGGGTTAGACATGAGTGACATGCAACATGTTCCACATTGTAATGCAGGAGACAGGAGGAGGTCAGGACTGGACTATGTGTGACAGACACATGCAGACTGGTGGACACTACAGACACCGGTGTGGGCCACAAAGACTGCTGCATGCTCACCCTGAAGACAGAGCTTCAAGGCACATGTTAGGGACCACAGTTAGTTGTGTTGAGAAGTGCAGCGGACCAGGACTGACCACACCCAAAAGTGTTGGAAATGGTCAGTGGTACAACAGACTTGAACCTTTCAACCCATAGAGGTCAGAGTAAACATTTTGGACTCCAAACACACTCACGTGTGGAGAAACTCTTTGAATCTAGGAGGCACCTTTAAGGCACAAAGTTGTGCCATTGGTGAACAAATCTCCAACTTGCTGGTACATAAAGAAATATTACTAAAATAATAAGATAATTTCCTGACCATGCAGACACATGCTTTGGATTAGGAATCAAGTCTTTGTTTGATTAGTTTTCATCTTACAACGAGTATGCCTAATGTCAAAGTCTAATGTGTGTCTGGAGTTTACCCAATATATATATATATATATAAACCTTTAACTGATCAAAATGAACACTATAGAAATGTAAATATGCTTGGGGAGTGGGGACCAGACTTACAAATAGGACATGGACTGTCACAATGTTTCTTGGCTCAAATTGACAAACAGAGAGGGAGAGAGTCTGACTGAGAAGCTAGTGTTACAACTAAAGCCTTTGGGTCTACTAAAGAGCTGGTGTTGGACAAGCAGCGTGTGAGAGAAGCCAAAACACATCGGTATCATTTACAGAGCACTGGATTCAGAAACTCTTCCCAACACTATAAGGGAAGGAATACCTAGAGAATTAATCTACAGATATTTTAAGTAAGGAATGGCAAGTGGTATGGAGTACTATAATACAAGGAATTCTAACCTTGTTTGTGTTTTTTTAAATTCCTGTGTTAAAATGTCCAGCTGGTGATGTGCATGATCAACAAATAGCTCAAACATACATGCTAATAATGCCATGACATCATGTGACCAGAATGACTATTGAAGGTAGCAGACAAATTGAGAGTTGCTTCTGTGCCTCTGGTAAATTAATGGTGGCTTACTGATTTTCAGCCAATGGCTGGATTGAACACTAAATGTTTTTTGACCACTAGAGGGTGGAAAGACTCCACAGCAGATGTTCAGTCAGATAGTGAGTATCTTACCAATTTATTTGGCTAACATGTTAGCAAACCATGGCCTACTTACATATCCAGCAGAAACAGAGCAACACGGACATCTCTTTCGTCTCCTTTTTCTGGCCACCTGTTGAATGTAATCCCAACATTCACCGCTTTCACTGTCACTAAGCAGATGATATCTCTCCTTTTGTTTTACAGCACACTACACTCAAAGCCCAGCTCGGCTTTCATATAATTCTGTTCCCACTTTATTCCTTTATTACAACCTGGGTATTGCCACTGAGAATTTAATATCATTTTCAAGGTTGTTCCTGCTCCAGAGAAGACCCTATAGTCCACAGGTTAGTAGAAGGGGAAACCGATCGAGGGCCCAGAAGAAACTGATGCAGGAAGAATATGACAACTCCTATTTGTTCAGTCTGCCACACTTCATGACTTCAAAACACAATTTAAAGCATTTTGATCATAAAGCTGAATATAATGTAGCCTATAAACCAGTGCACATATACACACAGCAGCACAACTCACATCATCTCTGTTTTCTGTGTGTAAGAGCTCTCTCAGAACACACTCCAATCAATAGGTGAATCAATCCATTTTCACTTACGCACATCACACATCTCAGGTGTAAGAGGCCCTTGAGCAAAGATCAGGTTAGACTGTGCCCTTGTAGCAGGCTGTCCTCAGTCCAAGGTAACGCCGGCAATCCAAATTAAATTAAAATTATCTGCAGATATGGGTTGACTGAATATAGATTATATAGCTGTATATATAGATAGTAGGTTGGACAAGACCATTTGTTTTTCATATATATATATATATATATATATATATATATATATATATATATATGAAAAAGGTACAAAAGGTGCATACATACAGTAACTATTCAGCATAATAAAACAGAGGTGATGCAAGAACTATTTTGATCACCAAAGTCAAAACAACATAAGTCCACTACAGTAAATCAAATAGCTCATCTGTTCAACACTCCACCACAAAATACCCCATGTGTACCATTTGTCACTATTTACTTTACGCGTCTCTAATTCAACTTAAACCCGTTGCTCACTTTCCTTGCACTGTATTGATTAAGAGTTACATGTTTTATCTATCACGAGCTCTGACTACAGGACATCAAGTAGCTATAATACACTAAAGCTCAGCTATTGGTTATGTGTGACTGTGTTTATCCACCAACTAGTAATGCGGGAGGCACCAGGACGAGGGGGAACTGGGGGTAACAGTGGGGAAGTGTAGAACAGAGGAGAGCAAGGACAAGGGTCTAATGTCGGGATGTCACCAACTAACAGTACAAACACAATGGACACAAAACAACTGGTTCTTACCTGCCAATCATAGTGGAGTGCTGCTGGACAGCAGCCTCCAGCAGCCTCTCTAAAATGGTCCATTCTCCCATGGCGACAGAAAGGTGATGGCGCTTTCACCACAACCAAAATGTGTCCTCTTCTTTTTTCAGGGGAACACCTTCAGCCTCTGGTCCTGCCAGGAGCAGGAGCAGGGGACCGGACCCCCTCCTCCAGATCTTCTTCTGTTCCACACAACTCCTTGACCTCTACACACTGTCCTGAATGACCATTTCTGCTGTGTCCTGGTTCTGTCCCGTCTTTCTTCTCTCGATGAGGTGCTAAGCTGATTGCTCCTCTCCTTTGGTTTCTCCCCCCTCCCCCTTTTTCAGTGATGCCTTTCCTCCCCCCTGCCGCACCACTCTGATCTAACGCTACAGCATATGCTATTTCTCACTCTATGACAGACATGATCTCCTTCGCCTCTACTCTGTCTCCTTTGTCCTCCTCTGCTCCGCTCTTCGTCCTGCCGACCTCCAGGCCCCTCTCTGCACTTCAGCTGCAGTCCCTGCCATCAGTCGTCCCACTCCGTCCTTGCATTGTAGGCTCTGTGCCTTTGCTGCACCCTTGCCACTCTAGCCGAAACACACAAACATAAGGCTCATGCTCTCCCACTACCTCAGCGGTAAACAGCTACAGACCGTCTTACTGAGCACCGCAGAGCCGCATGGGTGCACAGAGCCGCTGCCTGCTGAATGTCATTTTACGACTGGAGGAATGGTCCTTCTCCCAGAGCACTGCAAGAACCATAAAAACCTGCGCACACACGCACACACACTGCCACCCAGTTCCTCAGTAATAAATCAGCTGCCTTTGCTGCATCCAGTGAGGTAGAGCTGGAGAAGAGAAGGCAGGGCTGTCCTCTGGTACCTTTGGTTATTTTCAGTCACATCTGCCGCAGAAACCATGCATAAAAAAACTCTACTTTAGTCCTTTATCATCATCTCTTGTCTGTTTCCTTTCTTCAACCTTCTCGACTCTCCTGCCTCTCCTTCCTCTCCTTCCCCTGTTTTTCGTTCCTCGACTCGCGCTGCCACTAGCTCAGTGCCTTCTCCTCATCTCTGCCTTTGCGTCTGCATGTGTCTCCTTCCTCGCTCCTGGAATCGCTCTATCTCTGTCACACTCTGGGAGCATGCAGCACCCCCGCGCCGCCTCCCTCCTCCTCCTCTCCTCTGCTCATAGATCTGCTCTCTCTCCTCCCTTCCCCTCTGGTAAATGTGCTGGGACTGCTACCCCACTCTGTGCTTCACTTACGCTTGCAAGAATGCCTTTGCTGTACGTGATGTGATGCGGTTACTGCACAGCTTTGTTCCACTGTCTCGAGGTGATTCCCCATGGCTCAAGCAGAACGTGTGTGTTTGAGGATTTTCCAGCTGCATTCTAGAAAAAGGACGAAAGAAGAAATTATGAAAAGTGTTATTCCATCCCCCATTTAGTATGTCCTCATTTTCTGTTTTAATGTATCAGGAATAGAAGTACACCTGACTGACCCATGCCTCAGTACACCACCCCCCTCTTTCCATTTTTCTACTCCATCCATTTCCCCCTCTTTCCTCCTTCATTAAAGCCCTCTGTACTCTGCTCCCTCTCAGGAGAGATGAACACTGTATTGTACTTTGCAGTGACATTGAAAGCTGCATTCATTAGGTTTATGGTATGGTGATGTGGAAATAGGGTAGTCTCTCCCCAATAGACAATACAGTAGATGGCATATACAGTATGTCTTAAATGTTCACAATTTCAGCCCAAGATTCAGATTTGAAAGAGAAAACACATGGGGCCACTACCACACATTCACTGCTTGAGTCAATCCTTTCCCGGCCACGGGAAAGTAAATGATTTGGTTCTATGACAACACACTACACCAAATCAGTTTTCAGTAGAACATTTAACTGTATATATTTATTAAGTGTGTGTTCAATATATTTGTATTACATTAATGCGGTACTTGGTAGAAGAAAATGCGAGTGAAAGCAGTTTTTGTCAAATCAGCAAATTTCATGTTGCACTTAGGGTCCTTTCCTCACCAATGGCATATGGTATAAGGGGGAGAGCAGGAAGTAGAGGTAGTCCTTGAATCTGGAGGCTTGTTTGTTGCCAGAGGAGCAGCCCAAACGCTACATTTGGCCTAATACAAGTTGGAGAGACGCAGGTGTGTCTTCAGTGACCTAGAACAGCGAGCTCAAGCATGCAAAAGCACACAATGCAAGCAAGAAAGTGGAACGCACCATTGTGTTTTAAGAATAGAAAAATGTATCTCGAATACATTTATAAATATATGATTAACATTAAACACAATAATCTATCATGGATTCAATTACTGCAGTGAAATCTTAAGTTCTGTGGTGCCATCTGCATTTGACAGCCTGATCCCCTATGATCTCAGAAGCTAAGCAAGCTGGGGCCTAGTTAGTACTATGATGGAAGACTTCTAGGCAGCCTCGCTGCCAATCAGTCTGCCCCAGGGCAGTCTGTGTTTAGCTGAAGGAGTGTTCTCCTGCTGTCAGTGAGATATAGATCTAAGTGTCGTCTGTGTAGTTGTGATAGGACACCTTGCCATTGCATATTAATTGAACTAATGACAGCATGTAGAGATGGAACAGAAGCGGCCCCAGGATCGACTCCTGTGGTACTGTGAGTCCGGGGCCTGATGATGCAGGTATTTGGGTTGATGTTTACTATCTGAGTGAGTGAAGGTAACAGACTGAAGGTCTGCACATGATATCACTTCTTATCATGTGCAAAATGAATACATGAATACACAGCAGGGGTGGTGGCATCACCTCTCTCTGCTCTCTGCCCAGGACCTATGACACTATGTTTGGTCTCCTCTAAGATTTACACAAATAAGTGTATTATGATAAATCGTCATTCATTATTTCTGTCAAATGTGTGTCCGACACATCAGTAGTCCTTTCTCACTCATACAGGACATTTATTGGAGGATGTATCAGCTGTGTGGGTCATTACATGTCATGGGTCATGTTCAAAGTTAACACTTGGCACGTCAGTGTCAGTCCCGGTCCCACAGTTTAAGCATGTATATCCACAATATTGTATCAACATTTAACAATCACTTACTGTTGCAGGTTAACGAGAGAGTTTAATGTTTTAGAGACTTGGATTTTTACCAAATCGCAAATGTCACTCCAAAACTTCCGGAGTTGTGAGTTGTGCATATGTGTGTGACTATGAAATTCAGCAGCAGCTCTATCCTCTCCAAAAGTCTGAGCAAACTCGTCTGAGAATTGTATCAGTAGAGTTAGCATTCTCTCTAGTGGTAAAATAGGATTACTACAAGAAGCTTTGTATTGTATTATTTTTTTCTCAATTGTTTTTTGTTTGTAATTTTCTATTATTAGTATTAATTACTGGCTGTGTAATGTATATTTCTTGCTAGTAGAAAACTGTATAAACCATTAAACTCTCTGCATTAAATGCCGCATAAACGAAAAAAGCGGTGATGCTCCAACGGCCAGCAGGGGGCGCGCTTTCGGCTCTTGGTACGTGGCAAGCGATCCTAACTTCTGAAGGAGAGGAAGTCCTGCTGGGAGGCGGCCCGAGTGCTAAAGCTAAAGCTCGGAACTGCACTGTGTTGGAATCCTGTCTGCAACACTAGTCATGTTAGTTAGCTGTCTCTGGAGGTTTGCCATCCTAAAGTCAAAGAAAACATCAAACTGACATTCTTCTATAGATACTATATTCCGGATCCCAGTCTAAAGAAAGACTAACTTGAACCGAACAGGAATCCAGGAATATCTGACATCTGAGAACAGCTGGTGAGCTAGCGTTAGCGTTAGCCTAGCTGTAAAAGTATCGTCATTACAGACATGTCTTCGACCGGGGACTTCGGAAACCCTCTAAGAAAATTCAAATTGGTCTTTCTTGGGGAACAAAGTGGTAAGTGTGAATGGACTACTCATGTGTCTGTATCACATGTTTTACTTAAATCGGTGTTGATCGTTTCAGCTATATCGTCAAGCTTCATTTTATACTTGTCAAGTGTTGCAAATAGAACGTCAGTCTCGTAAACACACCAGACTGCAAAACATGTATTTATAACTTGTTGAATTATCTCAGTGGTAGGCCTTCAGACAATATTAGGCTGCATTGTATATGGGCGGTGGCATTTAGTAAATGGTCCCAGAAGTGAATGTTGATAATATTATAGTTAAGTGACGACTTCGATAAATTCCCCTTTATAAGTGGAGTATCAAGATTACTGTGATTTACAATATGTTTGTGAAGGCATTAACTGTTACACTGTTGGGTTATTTAGTATGTGGACGAGAGCTGTCAATCTCGGTTAAAGTGCACACAACGTAACGCTGAGATTTGCCTCCACGTCAGATAACATTACGTCTGTGGGTTTCTGTATGAGTACGTGTCAACAAGATTAGGTTAGATAAACTTTATTGATCTCACAATGGAGAAATCTACATGTCACATTTGGCAATTGGAATAGATGGAATGACTCGGAAAGTGAACATGTTAAAATATAGTCTCTTTTGTGGAAGATATATTATGTACAATAAAATTAAAAGTGACTATAGCCGTGCAAGACTAATTGAATTGATAAATGAAAGCTAAGTGATAAGTCACGTTACACCCATCGTAACTTGATATATACAGGTAGTAGGTTCCTATTCAAATGACCATCTACAGTCCGGAAGCGTGTATCTGTGTAGAACCATTTCCTGTGTTTTTGTTCTTGGCCGGACTTCAACATTTCTTAATCCCTTATACATCCTTCATATTTCCTCTAAAAAACAGCCAAATCAGAAAATCCAATTTGAATCTGTTTTTAGGAACTTTTGGAGCAACATGCATTGGGTGGAGCCTTTGTGAGGCTGATGCCCTGTAATTTTAGTCTCTGGTGACTCAGTGGGAACACTTTATTTGAAATGGGTTCAAATTAATTCCACATTAAACAGACTTTAAGGTTATGTAATATTGTCCATGCTGAAAAGGTTTTATGAGATTAAAATGTGTGTTTACAAAGTTTTTGTAATCAAGCAACCCAACACAAGTCATAGGCATCACTTCTTTTAGTCAAATAACAAAATATCGAGATCTAAACAACTAATTGATTAATTCAAAGAATAATCACCAACTACACAATTATCAAAATAATTGTTGATTACAGCCCGAATATATTAGCAATATTGAGTACGAAATGTTCTTATTCAACTCTGAATAGTTAATTTGACAACAAAAAAGGTATATATTGTTTTATTGATCTTCCACATTTCCAGGAGTTTGATCGTTATATTTTATGAATTGGCTGACAAGTAAAACAGTTGTGTTTGTCTTAAGCCTGGTTCACACGAAACGATTTTAAAATTGTCGGCCGATTTTTCTCTGTGTGAGACCCCACACAGGGAGATAAAATATCACGGGTCTAACCACTTTGGTCGTACAGTGTGTGGTGCGCAGCCACACGGCAGCAAAAATCACGCAAAAAATCCAGGCTTTAGATGTGTTTAGTGATACGACCTTAATTCCAATTTATGTTTGTATCTCTTGTTTCCCTCGTAAATGTGGACCACAATTATACAAAATGTCAACTCTTTCTACAGTGGGAAAAACATCTCTCATCACCAGGTTCATGTATGACAGCTTTGACAACACGTATCAAGTAAGAGTTGCCATATCCTCTTCAATGTAGTTGCAGAGTTTTACTGCTATTTTGTAATTCTGATAGACTCATCTTTTTGAATGTCTTCTTACAGGCCACAATAGGTATAGACTTCCTGTCAAAAACCATGTATCTTGAAGACCGAACAGTAAGTCTTTATCCAGCTTAGATGTGTTCTCTTCTTTTGTTAAGACAACAAACAAAATAAATTAACATTATTCAATCAAATGTAATGTTCCTTTAGCCTCACAAGTGAAGTGGTGTGGTCTGTAGAGCACCATCACTTAAACTGTTTTTTTTTACCCTCTCAACACAAATTTTCTTCTTCTTCCTTCCCCCCCCATCACTTCTGTCATATCTGTTCTCATCTTCCAAAATGACCTGGGACGCTTTACTTGATCAGGAGCGGTGGGTTGTGACAAGTGAAGGGTGATTGTGTTTATTCTTTCCCCAGGCCCAGACAGCTTGTTCTTTCTGGTGTTCCTTCACTACCTGCATGCACGTCACGTTGCCTTATGTACTCTGCTCAACTCCTCTCTGTTCTATTGTCCGTCATTTACTTTTTGACATATATATATATATTTTTTACATGATTTCTCTTTTTTTTTCTTTTTTCTTTTTGTCATCCTTTTGGGTTTTTATTTCATCATCCCATTTCCTTCCCCCCTCACAGATAAGGTTGCAGTTGTGGGACACTGCAGGCCAAGAACGCTTTCGCAGTCTCATCCCAAGTTACATTCGAGATTCTGCTGCTGCTGTTGTTGTATATGACATCACAAGTGAGTGGTTTTCAAATGTGTTGCCTTTAATCTGAGAGATGGGTGCTGTCGGGCTGGTGGGGTCGACACTGTAGATTGGTGAAAATGGAGGCCAAGCTCTTTTGCCTTCTGCCACATAAGATATTATATTTACGTTAGGTGTCCACTGCATGGTTTTGTTTAATTCTCAAATTTCAATATCAGTTTTCTCAGTTATGAAAGCATTTTTCTCTATTCCTTGTTCCTTCTGGTAGATGTCAACTCCTTCCAGCAAACAACAAAGTGGATTGATGATGTGCGAACAGAGAGGGGAGGTGATGTCATCATCATGTTGGTTGGAAACAAGACAGACCTCGCAGACAAAAGGTAATATTTCTAGCCAGTGGACCATGTACTTTGACCACAATTTTTCAACCTGTTGGACATCAATACAACTCATCCGCAGAATTTGGTTGGAAAGGCATACACTTTTTGGATGTCAACACAAAATACTTTTTTTTTTTTGAGGAAATCTGTTGTGCATTGATCATTTGTAATTCCTAATCCCATTTATGTACTGCAGGCAAGTATCTATTGAAGAGGGTGAGCGGAAAGCCAAAGAGCTAAATGTAATGTTTATTGAGACTAGTGCGAAAGCAGGCTACAATGTAAAGCAGGTAAGAAGTGTGAGTCGTGCTCTGGACCTGTATATGCTAGTGTCTTTGCTCACTGACCAACAGCACCTAATTATGTGAGGGACTCTGGATGCTCTCATTGACTGTATAATGGGGATGGGCCGTGCTTGCCAGTTGGCCTGCTCTTGCCATATAGGGAAGTATATGGCCATATAGAGTGATATTGCTCCTACGGGCTCCTGATCCTCTTCACTTTTTTTGATAAGTATGTCTTTACTCTTGTCTTGTCAAAATAACAATAATAATGATAATAGGAATTTATTTTACTAAATGGCGTCTTCCAAGACACCCACCGACACATTACAAAAGATTAAAACCACACACATTTGAAATACAGAAAAAAATACATTTAAGATATTACTAAGAATATTTGCTAAATGTTGTGCTTGAACTGAGCCCAGAACAGACACTGACAAGGTTTCATTATAGTTCTTGTCTTTAATCGATGGAATAATCTTGGGTGTCATTTAGTGAAGAGAGAAGATGAGAACAGAGGGGTTTGCTGAGGTGTCTGTCTGTGAAATATATGATAATCATAAAACAGATAATTAATTGAATTTATCTTTTGAAGATAAATGTTTATCTGTGTGATTAGTTGGCACTCCAACAATGCACTTCTGATGTGTTTTTGATGAACTGAACACCTTCATGGGGCCTTTAAGTTCCTCACAGACCGTTGGCCAAAGGCTGTGGGTTACGTCACTCCTAATTCTATCCCTATTATACAGCAATTCAGTATCTTTAGGTTGGCCTGTCACAATAACAAATGTTGATATATTGTTTTAGAAAAAAACATGTTAAAAGATATTAAAATCACAAGTGCATTGGGATATACAAACAAAAGTGTTTCAATCCTTTACAGCTTAAACGTCATATTACAAAGAAAATGCTAATGCATCAAATATCCCTTTATTGACTTTTAGTCAATATAGAAAAGTTTGTGATAAGCCTAATCTTGGCTATTGTTGAAAATCCCTTTTTTGTGTGTTTGTAATTGTCATATAGCAAAGACGGCAGCACCAACAGGAAGGGGCACGGCTTGTTTTTATATTTCACAATAATCACTATCAATATTTTCTCCCTGTCTTGTGGTTGTATGTGTGTGTGTGTGTTTGGGTGGTTGTGGTTCTCACCGCAGACAAATTACTACAGAGGAGGGAGAGCAGAGGGCAAAAGAGATGAATGTTCTGTTTATTGAAACAAGTGCAAAGACAGGCTACAATGTCAAACAGGTAGAGCTTATGCACTGTATTCTATGTCTGTGGAGCTTATGCTCTCCTGGTGGCTTTTGTTTCACACATGCATGTCTGCACTCTCATTAGTGGTGTGTGGATCTGTTTTTCAAGCCCTCTCCCACCCTGTACATTTAATCCAAAATACAGTAATTCAACAGTCTTCATATCAGAATGGTGGGCAAGGGTTTGCAAACATGTGTACCTAGGTTTAGAAATCAGTTTGCTGTGATGTCTGCATGCAGTCATCTTATTTGCTTATGTTGCTTCTGTAGTGGGGCTGGCTGTTAAAACCTTTCTAAACGATTTTTTGAAAACTGCAATCATCCAAACAACCTCATCAACCAAGTTACATACAATTCTATTTTATTTATTGGTTTGATCCTGTAAGGCTCAAATTGGTCGTCTTTTGTGTGAGCTTTGAAAGACCTTCTATGAGCTCAATCAAAGACTCTGTGTTTGTCATTTGTATTGACCACTTTCTACAACCGTTTAGCTTTTCCGCCGTGTGGCAGCTGCGCTTCCCGGGATGGATGCCACACAGGACAAGAGCAGAGAGGACAGTATCCTTTATTCAAAGTGGTTTTACATGACTTTGATTTTAAAATGTCCTCATTTAATATGTCATATATGTATAATATATATATATATATATATATATACATTATTATTGTTATTATTTTTATGTTTCTCCTTAACTCCATCTTTTTCAGTGATTGAGATAAAACTTCCAGACTCTCCAGAACAACCCAACAGTGAAGGAGGCTGCTCATGCTGATTACAAACTAGAGCTCTGTCAACTTATTTCTTGTACAGTAATATGTATCATGACAAACTTTTTCTTCTGGACATGAACACTACATCAATTTAATGAGTTGTTTAATATTCTTGTATTAAGTCTGGAATACTTGCACTGGAAGAGAGAAAGTGCTTTTTACAGGTGGTGCTTGGTCTGGTCAGATACATGGGTGTTATTTTATGGAGCTTTCCAAAGATATTAGACAGCATCAAGATTTTTCACATCATATTGCAATTATTATCTGGCTCTCACTTTATATTGTCACTGAAGGTCTTTGTGGATGTGAAAAAGGCTACAACCGTGGGCTTGTTGGACTTCAGTTTTCAGTGTTTACAAACTTGTTATGCAACATAATGTAAAATTTAGAGATATACTAAATATTACAACCAAACAGCATCCACAATACCACCAATCCATTTCCACCTTCCACCGAAAATAAAATAAAATGACACTAAAGCACAAAATTCCAAAGGTGTTTCCAGAAGATCTTACATGTTCCCTCTCACGCACTCACAATTGAGTAATTGAGGATTTTTACCTTTGCTTCCATTTTCTACTTGTTTTTATTTTGGTATATGATTCATGATTTTATGTGCAAATACTGCTATTATAGAGTTTGAAATTATTATTTTGTGTCTAGGTTTTGAACTTTTTAATGACATAATTCAGAGTCCTGGGCTGAAATATCTGTAGATTTGAACAGATGCCTTTTGAAATGTAAGCGTATATTTCTTTGCTTTGGGATGATGTTTAAGAACACTTTGAATTTGCTTTTGTCATTGATTTCTGTTAGTAGCAATATGTTTGTGTATTTAATCCACTATCTTTGCAATATTTATTTATACCAATTTAATTTCTATGGCTGTTAATCTGTTGAAAATGTAATTAGCATCTACCCAACCTAACCAAAACTCTTCTGTCAAACTGGTAACGGTGCAATTTGTGTGTGAATATTTGGAAGATCATTATTATTGCATTGTAATCTTCAGTAACTGTTTTTATTGAATGAAATTAAAAACTCTTGTCACTGCTGCTCAATATCAATTTTTAATTTGAATTGTAATTGTTGAATTACCAAAAATAATTTGGTAAAGTTAACTATTACTAGCCTAATCTTATGAGGTAATCTCATAGTACCATCTAAATCCTGTTTTGGGGACGATTGTATTTTAGGTACAAGTAGTTGAAAACTAATTTTTGATTATAATTTATTAGTTAATTAATAGTTCAACATCACCATTGGACCATCATTTGCATTTGGGAAATCGAGCAAACAAATACGACATGCATATATTTCAAAATAAACCTGTTGGTTGCACCATGTAACGAAACATTGCAAAATACATTTGAATTCAGATATCCACTTTGGGCAAGTTAAAATTGTATTTTTTTATTTACAGTTTCTGAATATGTTGGTAGAGGTTTCAGAAGTGGATTATGTCATATACATTTTTGTCAAATGTAATTTGATGTAAGCTGCACTGCTTTGAGTTGATTTTAGTCAAAAACACTGTTAAACTCGTGTTCAAGTGACCCAAAAGTCCTGTTTCAAGACGCTCAAAGTTTTTTTTGCTCCACATGATTCATTTATTAACAACACAATGCAATCGAATTAAATAAGAATGGAAACGTTACTTTATTGAATAAAAAAAGTATATATTAAAGCAACATGACTGTTGTTTTCCTTTCTAACGTTAATTCGATTAGAAACAACAGCGACACCTACTGGTGTATTGTAAAAACACCTCGCGGGATGATCTGTTGCCAAGGAAACTCAAACTGTTGCATGTGAACTCAAGCTAAGGTCAATAATGGAACGAGACTACTACGAGAATTTAGAGATAAACAGAAACGCAACAGATGCAGACATTAAAAAAGCGTAAGTTTTGCTTGGACTATGCACTATTTAATGCATTTAAATATATATTGTATATTTATGTAGATATCGACGCCTTGCACTTAAGTTTCACCCGGCCAGGAACAGAGAGCCAGGGAGCTACGAGAGGTTCAGACAGCTGGGTGAAGCCTTCGACGTTTTAAGTGACCGTAAGTTTTTGGTTATGTGAGCGTTTTTGGAACTAACTGCCAAATTAATGTGTCACACGCTAACGTCAGCTATATTAAAGGGACACAATGGTTGAAAATGAAGGGGGAGATCCTTTTCATGTAGCTCCATATTGTCAGGAGTAGCTATATAGATTGAATATTATACATTCTTGATATTTACCTCCACACGCCATGCTGCGAGAATGTTCTATTGTTTTTTTCGTGTCTCTAATCTGTTTTACTGAAAAATATTGTGGGACCAATACGATTACATTTTGTTTACTGTCCATGGATCTTTAAGGGACATTCAATTGTTTTGCTCCTTTCTTTTTGAAAAAGTTCATAAAAAAGCCACCTACGATAAATTTGGAGAGGATGGTTTAAAGAGTGGCATTCCGGTTGAACTTTCCAAAGACGGTGCTTGGTCTTCCAAATATGCCTATCACGACAATCCAGAAAAAACATTCCAAGAATTTTTTGGGAACAGCAATCCATTTTCAGGTAATGCACTCTATGTCTGTTAATAGAAAGACCCATTTAACTGTTATTAATGGTCATATCCCCCTTTAGACTTCTACATCAGCGATCTTCCTCTTCAGTTTGGTGGCTTGACCCCTGGGGAAAATAAGATCAAGGATGATCCTCTTGAACGAGACTTTTTTTTGTCCTTAGATGAACTTTTCCATGGATGCACCAAGAAAGTCAAAATATCACGCAAAGTAAATCAAGATAAAATTCTAGTGTCCACTGACTCGTGCTAACTTTATGAGATGTTCTAGGTTATGAATGATAATGACTGCACATCCAGCATCAGAGACAAGATTTTCACTGTAACCGTAAAACCTGGATGGAAAGAGGGCACACGAATAACATTTCCTAGTGAAGGCGATCAGGTCAGGATCCAATTTCTTCGCCTCGATTTGTTATCCTTTTAGCTTAATTGGATACACTTTGGAATAGTTTACGGACTCATGTAATGCCATTCTACTATAACAATCTGTTTATTTCTCTGACAAGGGCCCTAATAACATTGCTGCAGACATGGTATTCATTGTGCGACAGAAGCCTCATGAAAGATTTGAAAGAATCAACAATGATTTGATTTACCATACACAAGTCTCTTTAGAGATGGTAAGAACAACCAAAGAAGTACTGAAGTTGAGCTATTGTTTTAATTATTTGTTTTTTTACAAAGGCACTCACTGGTTTCTCTGTGGATGTGGAGACTCTGGATAGCAGGCTTATCAACATTCCTTTCAATGAAATTGTCCAGTATGTACTAATGTTATCAGACGTAACAATTACTTGATAATAATTATATTTCTTCTAACATTAGCCCATCATACAAAAAAGTGGTGCCCGGAGAGGGAATGCCGCTGCCACAAGACCCTTCACAAAAAGGAGACCTCATCTTTACATTCGACATTCTCTTCCCCGAGAAACTTTCTGCTGAAAATAAGCTTCTGATCAAACAGGCACTGCGTTAGGAGAATGTATATATTATATTAAGACATTGTTGTTTTCATATTTGTGGCAAAAATAAATTTTAGATTCTGTAACATTTGCATAAAATCTTTTTCACAGAGGTTTGGAATTGAAATGCACGGTCATCATTGCTCGTTTTAGCTGCTCATAAGTCACAAACATCACAACATTCCACGAGCCCAGACGCAGGAAAGATGGCATAAACCTGAGAACAAAGACAAACGATATAATGTCTCCATCAGTTTTCTCTTAAGTGTTAGACTGAACAGAGCTCACCCTTTGTAAAAAGCCTGAGGACCCTCTTTGGACATCATGGTGACCGCACAGTTCAGCACACTGCGGTACTGGCCCAGGGCAGAGTTCATGTATCTGGTTTTAACCACATCCACTGGAGAGGCAATCACTGTTGTGACGAGACCTGCTCCAAAGGCTGAGACAAAGTGACATGGCAGAGTGTCTGAGGACAAAAACACAAATGTTTTAAATTCATGGAATGCTTAAAGTCTTCACTAATGATAGTTACCCGTCATTGGAGTGCTGTTTAGGAGCAAGTCCTTGATAAAGTCGTAGGTCACAAGTTCTGAACAATTCACAATAGCGTTGCGTGCGATGTTTGGGGCTGTACCTGTGTACATTTTTGAATACTGTGTACAATTTCTTCTGTTTAATGTAATTATTTGATAAACATACTTCATTAAATACCTTTCCACAGCCCAGACATTCCCTCCTCTTTGGCAATGGTGCTGTAGGCGTTGAGAGTGCTACAATAGCGTTTCATGTTACCAGTCGATCTTGCCTGGGCCTGGAAACGCACTTTAACCACATCAGTGGGTTGGGCAACTGCAACCGCCAGAGCTCCAGTGGTGCATCCTGCCATAAGGCGACTGCCAATGCCAACATCTGAAGCAGACTTTACAAGTGAGTATAGTGCAGGTCTGAAATCAGGGGCACAGGGGCTGCCACTCACGATCTGAGCCTTTAGTGTAGAACTGTTTGACAGTGTCATAAAGGCCAATCCTAACTGAAGCAAAGCTCATCTGCCTCTGCAGCCCTGCCACCAGCCCACTGTACAGACTCCGGGGGCCCTCGGTGCGGACCATAGTGGTCATGGTCCCCAGCACTCCACGATACTTGACAGCAGAGGTCTTGCATTCGGCTGTTTTTCCTGCCTCACCCTGGATCTGAGAGGTAAAGCACACATGCTGGTCACATTGCCCTCACATGACATTTAAACCGATTAAGATTAGACACAAACTACTGTAACTAGACATTGACAGAGTATTCACCTGTAGGCGCACTTTGGCCGTGTCCAATGGAAATGTGAGCAGGTCAGCAATACAGGCTGCAGTTCCTGCTCCGACAAACTTTACAGCTGTTGTTGGAGGCACATCTGCAGGCTTAAATCCAACCATTTTTCCAAACGTTTTGAAGATTTAATTGGGGTAAAAGGCAAGAATGCTTGTTTCAAATCTGAAAGTAGAAAGAAAGATTAAGGAAAATAGGTATGTTGCGTTAATAATTAAAATGTAAGCACTTACCTTCAAAGAAGTTTGGACAAAAGCTCAGGATCAGGATTCTCTGAATGCATCCCTCTGACTAAATTTTGTCACAAATATATATTGGGTTCTTTGGTTTTCCATAGAAGGTGTTGTAACACTTGTTTGGCTTAAGTACATACTCCACAGAACTGCATAACAAAACATAAACATAAATATAACAAATTGAGGAGTTTAAATAGCAGTTTAATGCTTACCGTAATTTGTAGAAAGTTAAAACTGGGTTTCCACAGAAGGGATTGTTTAGAGAAACCTGAGCCTGTGAGCGCTGGTCTACAATGGCCGAACAAAGACAGAGGCTTCTTTAAATAGCATTTGTGGAAAAAAGGCTGTACTTCCTAAGTCCTGCCCCTCTATACAAGCTGCCTGTGGCACAGACCTTTGGCTAGTATGTTTTTAACTGTTCAAATATTTAAGATAACATTTTATTAAAAACATAATAATAATAAAATATAAAATTTTTCCATTCACTTATACTTATTTATTATGAGACAGCATAGATCAACTGAATCATGATCCGGTGGACAATTCTTTAAATTGTCATTTTAATGTACTATATCTTGTTCACATAAAAGAATACGCTACAGTCTTAGTGAAGTCAACAGAATTTATCAGGTGATAGACACAAGCGCACAGCAAACTAAAAGTGTGCTGAGTCATCCTGAGCGCACTGGGAACACTATGTACGCCCACAAAATTAGCTCCGTATGCCCATGTCCACATAACACCACAGCAGAAAACATGTAATATATAGTCAAATTCAGAGAGTGAGACTAGTTTCAGCACAAGGTTAAAAGTGACTGGCCAGATCATCTTTATTTTAAATTGATAACTAAAACATTTTACGGTTTGCATTTTCAACTCAGAACCTTTGATAATCTACTTTTGAATATTTCCAGAAAGATGAGACACAGATATTATAGTGTTTTCATTTAACTTTATTGACCAGCAATAATAGTTCAATATCAAAATAATGCATCTTTTGAGTAATTGTGCAAAGAAACATATTCAAGTTTAAATACAATACAACCACATGTAAACATAAAGTGCAGTAACTAGCCTGCCAGTCTGTCAGTTTCTGGAATAACAAAATGTTGTTCAAAATCACTGATTCATTAGTAAGTGCTCATTTATCCCGAGAAGTCTTGAGGCTACTGCCTTTGGCTGCTCTATGGTCATAGGTTACTGTCCTTGTGTCACAATTCTTGAACAGCTCTATTTGGCACACTGGTAGCTCATGTGAACTTCCCATACTCTTTCTGTCACCACCGATCACTTCATGCTGCAGGGGCCTGAAGGCTGTTATGTTCCATTCATAAAACAAAGTTAGTATGAATGTGTCAGAAAGGTGACTCCCAGTACTGCTGTGCTCTTGTCATTCCTCTTTTGATTTGTTCATAAGAAACAAACATCACAATATTCCAGGATGCCAATCGGAGAAAAGATGGCATGAACCTAATCAGAAAAACAGGGGGATTAGAGCACTGAAACTGAAAATACGTAGGTGTATAGGCACATTCTTACCCTTTATAAAAAGCGTTGAGTCCTTCCTGTTTGAACATGATAAATGTACAGTTGATGGCACTGCTGTACTGTCCAGCTGCTGAGTTCATGAAGCGTGTCTTCACCACATCCACAGGAGAAGCCACCACAGTGGTGCAGAAGCCTGCTCCAAAGGCAGCAGTGAAGTGACACGGCAGGTTATCTATTGGGCGCGGGGGAAAACAAATATCAAGATTAAGTGGTGTAATCGCTCGTTCATCTGGGAGTTTTGCATCATAGATCAAGTTTCAACAGTAGTCATCTGGACAAGGTTGTCAGCAAAGACACTTCACATACCATCTGATCATCATCATAGTCTGAGGAGATGGTCTGAGAACTGGCTTACAACACTTTAAAATTGGAAGTTCTCAGACCATCTCCTCAGATCAAGATAACCCCAATGCCCAAAACCTTGTTCAGATGACTGCTTTTGAAACCTGCTTGGTTAATATCCAGAATGTTGTATGGATGGAGAGCTATTGTATCCTACCTGTCATGAGGTCGTACTTCAGAATCAGCTCTTTGATCATGTCATAGGTCACCAGCTCAGCACAGTTCACGATGGCATTACGAGTGATATTGGGCATGCAACCTGAAAACAAGCCGTTCCAGTCATGAATATGATTGCTCTATTGTTGTCAGATCCGTCTTCATTTTAACATACCTTTCCAAAGTCCTCGCACACCTTCATCACGAGCAATGGTCTTATAAGCATCAATGGTGCTGTTGTATCTTCTCCCACCATCTCCCGTTCGAACCTCCGCCTGGAAGCGCACTTTTACTACATCAGTCGGTTGAGCAAACGCTACAGCCATGGCCCCTGTGGTGCAGCCTGCCATGAGCCTCGTCACAATCCCTGCACCTTCAGATATTTTATTACTTAGAGTGAGATTGTGTAGAAAATGTTTGTAAATCAAAGGTGTAACAACGTACTGTCTGTGCCTCGAGTGTAGAACTGCTTCATAGAGTCGTAAAGGCCGATTCTGACTGAAGCAAAGCTCATCTGTCGCTGTAGTCCCGCCACTAGTCCATTGTACAGACTCCTGGGCCCTTCTGTGCGGACCATCGTGGTAATGGTGCCAAACACTCCCCGGTATTTTGCGGCATTGGCTCCTTCTACTTTCTCTCCTTGAATCTAAAATAAAACATATGATCTTAGCAAGTTAGACATTTCACAGCATGTAGTAACCGAGAAAGTCTTTGTAACCTGCAATCGGACTTTGGCGGTGTCCAAGGGAAAGGTGATCAGGTCAGCGATGCATGCAGCTGTTCCTGCACCGAAAAACTTGATTGTCGCAGTCGGCACAAGCTCTTTTCCAACCATCTTTGCTTCTCAGTCTTATGTGTTCTTACTATATACAATCTTTGCTCTTAAACGTTTCAAGGTGTTTTCACAGGCCCCTTTGTTAAAAAAAAATTAAGATATGTTAAAATAATGTTAAATATATAATTTACAAACATATATAGAAAATTACATACTTTTCTAAAGTATAACTCTCTGCACAACAGCAGAAAACAACTGTATATTCTGTGAGTCAATATGTCACCACTCCCTGAAAACAGAACATCCATGACATCATCATCGTCATTCATCGTCTTGCTGCAGCTTGTACATATTGCTTACATATACTGTATAAATGAGTATATTATTATACATATTACATATATAAAAATATAGGCAAGGCAAGTTTATATGTTTAGCACAATTTATATGAAAGGTACATAATCATCATAATTATGGTATTCATTTTTAAAAGAAAAGTTTCCATGAAATGTTTCAATCATTTAAGTTATAAAGATGACTTACCAGACTGCTTATTATCCAACTAAGAGGAAAATTGTCCAATTTTAAAAGTGGTATGTTCCATTAGGTGTTGTCTCTGGATGCTGATGGCTGGTTTTCAAGGGAATGATTTGGACACTGCTGAATTTATAGGAACCTTTGCACATGACTGTGAGGCAGAGAGAGAGCACCTGTCATTGAATCTCATGTTTACCACTACAGAAGGTCCTCCAGCCGTCACTTGAGCTGTTGTTGATCTGAAAGTGTGTCGTGAGAAAACTCAGATCATTTTCCATAGTACTTACATAATATTGATTTGACATATGCATATTATATTGATGATCAACAGCAAAATAATGCATAGATTGGGATAATCATTACAGACACTACTCCTCTTCTTTCTATTGGATACTGTTCTTGCCCAATCAGGAAACGTTTGTCTAGACTTTCTCAACATTGCTGCCTGTTACCCTGCGAAAAAAGGCTTCTCCCAATAGGAGGCTTGTTTTGTCTCTCCCAAGAAAGTAATAAAGTTATGAAACCAAAGGAACCGCCATGTTTTTAGCCAATCCTTACTATGTACTGGGGGGTGGATGCCATCTGCATGTAATCAGTGAAGGCATGGACCCTGTAGAGGTGTGAGCACATTACTCCCAGAAGATCTCATGACTTGGCATGACCTCAAGTTGTGTATTTGTCACATTAATGAAAACTATCTGATGAAAATAAAGTACAATTACTTGATTCAAGGACTGCAGTTATTGAGGAATCTGGATTATATTGTAATGTAGATTTCTAGTTCTTCCTGTCTCTCATATTTTTTGACAACTATATCTGTTGAAAAGTCAACATTGCTAAGGACTGAATAAATCATGTGGTCTGTCCAGCAGAAAGACATGTGAAATAATACAAATTAGACCACAAAATTCACAACTGTCTTCTTCTTGTTAGAAAACCTGTTGTCATTTGCATACCTGAAAGACACTGACTCATTGGGCTGAGTGCAGATTAACTGAATGATGGAGGTCCTCTCTTTTTCACTTTTCTGTATATAAAAAGTTAATTTAGCCTAAAATACATACATGTGGACCTTGTGATTGAGCTGTTTTAGAGCCAGATTTTAGGTACATGGATTTACTTTGATCTGCACCTGTGGACCGTTTCCCCCGGCCCGGATTCATGGGCTGCACTCCCAGGCAGTAGTCCTGAGTTCTGAATCTATAGCCTCTCTGTGGGAGCGGATTCCTCTCTCTCTAAGTGAGGAAGTAAGTAAGTAATCTTTATCTATATACCACCTTTCACAGACCAGAGGTTTACAATTGTGGGCATTTGTCCTCTCACTCCACACAGAGATGGAAGCGGGGTCGCCAGTACAAAAGGCGCATGCCAGACCTACCGGAGTGTCTCTCTCTCGCTCTCTCGCTCTCTGAGAGGTGATGATCCAGGACATTTATGGACATTATTTAACATTGGTCATCTGCCCCATAAGAACCTATGACTTCTTTGGGTTTGTTAGCACAGCCTTTCCTGTTTTCAAACTTAATGATTCTCTCATTTGTGTTGTCAAATCCACAACTTTGTCCTCCAAGACAACTGCTGTTGTGAAAATACATGTAATTGAATTTTATCACATGTTCCATTTTTGGTTATTTAAAAGTTTGGTCCCTCCGCTTTAAGACCTTTGTGTGACCAGTAAACAACTGCTCTGGCCTGAACCAGTCTGAGCGACCTGACTGAGCAGACAGCTCATGAAAATGAAACTGAGCAGGCATGTTCCATCACCGTTGTGTCCTCTGCCCTTTAAATACCTCGAAACCTCCGTCAGTGCAGTGAGCAAGATAAGCCAATACTCCACAAATAAACACCATTGCCTTCTAAAAATAAATCAACTGTAAGAGGTCAGTGGGGCACAGGTACGGCATGTCCACAGGACATGCCCATTGCCCATGTGTCCCCATCTTTACATCCCCATTATAGAATAGTACATGCTAATTTTTGGTATGATAACAATAGCTCACTTGTGTGGTTTCAAACTCATTGAAAAGGCTTGCATATGGATTTGATATAATAATTATTAAAAGAGCAAAATTTAAAAATCTGGTCAAAAATGTTACTGCATTGGTTTTATAGAGCGCTTTTCAAGACACTCAAAGATGTTTCACAAATCATTATTCTTTCACTCCATATATGGTGGTGATAAACTACTACTGTAGCCACAGCTGTTGTGGGGCACACTGACAGAAGCGAGTCAACCAGTTTTTGCTATCGGTCCCTCCGACCATCACCAGCCATTCACACCAAACTCATTCTAGGCAATGTGGGTGAATTGTCTTGCCCAAGGACACAGCGACAGTTCAGCACTTTACAGCCACAGCCACACCACTGTCACACCAGACATCTGGTGTTCCCAGAGGTGTTCCCAGAGGTCTCCCATCACAGTATTAACCAGGCCCTGCCCTGCACAGCTTCAGAAGTCTATAGGGATCTAACTTACGCATACAAGTATTGCCACGACAAGTATTCTACATAGTATATACTCAGATAATCTTTACAGATTATGCAGAGGGCGTCAGACTAATGTTTGCAAAGATGGCTACAACTGTTTCTGTTTAAATGTTAATGCTAAATAGGGAAGTGTGTTCTCGTTCTGCTTTGCCATCAGAGTCACCTGTCAGACACAGTGGTCGCCGCAGTGCAGCGCTCGGGAACCCACCTCCAGATGTTGACAAGTGTGGTCAAAACCCACTTATTGACACTGAGCTGTCAATGTAGTCCATATTCTTTAGCAGCTTGACAATATATGGACAGATATATTTTAAACATAAATATTTTAAATAAAAGTGCCTTTTCAGAGGAGACCATATTATAGATTAAATAATACAGTTTTTTACATCATCACTACTGGTGGATGGCACAGTACAGGGTGAGCAACTTTCATTCATTGTTCATTGTACAGTCTGACAGGAACAAGAAAGAAAGTCCTATGGAAGCTCTCCTTCACACAGCAGGGGTGGATCAGACATTGGAGCTGCTCCCCAGAGCAGACAGGGCGCCCTGTAGGGGTGACAGGCAGGGATTGGAAGTTTGTATTTAAATGTGGTGAACGCGCGTCCATGCCTGAGTAATAATGACAATGATAATAATACTTAAGTTATATGCCTCCATCAACGCTTTTTCATGCATCTGCGGTGGATATGCGGCTTAAGAATAATAATAACAATAATCATAATCATAATAATAATAATAATACATAGGCCTTAAACGTTAACAACGTTTGTGAAATAAGACATTAATTTTCAATGTTGAGGTTCATTAATGGAAGAAAATAGATGGATGGAATCTGCTCCCACTGTGGGGAAATGTCAGTGTTGCATCGCAAGTTACCAAACAGTAGGAATGAGGAGAACACTGAGACAAATAGGTAAGTGCATTTTAAGTATAGAATGACTATATTAAAAAAAAACTCATCATGTGAAAGTATGAACATGGGAAGTATAAGCCTATATTCTCAAGTTCAAAGAAATATGTACTTACTCGTGGTAATAAAGTTAAAAGTTACCTCTGAATATTTTGATTTAAGGAATATTGAGGATAAAGCACTAGTTATTAAAATATACACTACTGCCCTCTTGTGGATTTAGCTGAGGCGCTAACTTTGATATCTTTATATTAGTACATTTTTTAAATAAAAGAGTCTTGAAAAGTAAAACATTGTGAATCGATCCCTCCACTAAATGTTTTATTAATCTTATTAGAAAACAGTTTATCTGTGTCATAAAAAGCCTAATGAGTCACTATTTGACGCTTTGGCCCAAGAGTAAACATCTCTTTTCTACTTTAATAGTCATAGTTTTAAACTGCTTGGACTATATTGGTCTACATTACATTATTTGTTATATGTTTAGGTTTTAACATGTGCATTCTTCAAACGCAAGGTGGCGGTATGGCCTCGAACCCGATGTTGGATTGTGTTGAAAATTGCATACGGCTCCAAAGAAGTCCGTGGCTAACAGTTAGCCGCATTAGCTCGTCTGGTCCAGCTCCATGGTTCTATGGTTCTGTCCCGGTGTGTGGCTAGCTTAGCAGTGTCGCAGGTTTCATAGATAATATATTCTGCGAAACTGGAGGACGTGCAAGTTTAATATTTCCTGACTGACAGAGGAGGCACAGTATGGAGAGGCAGCTGCATTTAAACCTACTACCCTCCAGACCCCCTATGCCTGGTGGGCTTCAGTCCAGCGGCTCCAAAATGAAGATGGGGTAAGCCCTGAGCCTGCGACATTATTGACATCAGAGCAGCCCTTAACTCGAAGGAGATGAAGGAGAAAAAGTTACTGTATAGTCTTTCATGGTTTCGAATGCTTTACATTAAAAAAATCAAATACAATTAAGGAAACGATCAATAACCTCGATTGACCCAATGTAGCTGCATAATGTCGTATAGGTATAATGGTATAGGTAAGTAGTGCTCTGAAAAATGGTTCATACCTCCCCCTCTATGGTAAGAGAAATTGCTATGTTACGACCAAAAAAAAAATATATTTTCTTTTTTGAGTGTGAAAGACTAAAAAAGAAGGTGGCAGACAATTTGGAATTGAAAGTTAATGTATTTATTTAAATATAATTCTAATGTCTATAGTTGCCTGATGATGGATTAATGGTCAAATTATGGCCTATCTATTTGCTAGCGTCCAGGGTGCAACCGAATCTCTGTGTAATTACATCTGGTCTCAGAGGTTTGTTAATATTCGGTTCAGGGGCCCATGGTAATTTTGGACGAGTTATAGACTTATAGAGTAGAGCTTGAGAGATGTAAACAAATCCCCAAAAAGCCATCTGAAGGACACACAGAAGTTGTGGTGAACTATTGGCCTAAATGAAATCGCTTCTTATTTCATGTTTGACTAATGTTTACCAATATTAAGTTACCGATAATACTTTTGCTTACAATTGTGTTACCAGACCTGGGCGAAAACGTGATTTCACCCCACTGTCCTGGAGTCAGTACTTTGAAACCCTGGAGGATGTTGAAGTGGAAAACGAGACTGGCAAAGATATATCCTTGAATGCTAAATGTTATCAAGATAAGAATTAAGATGGAATGACAATTGAATAGTTTGCACCTTGACTTCTTCGAACATTTTCAGGATTTACTGCAGTGGGGCTCATGGTCCAGTGCTGTTCCTGCTTCATGGAGGAGGCCACTCTGCGCTCTCTTGGGCAGTTTTCACTGTAAGCTGAAGAGTAATGAAATGTGTACCACTTTGTCTGACCAGATTTTAAAACAAAAAAAAATCATATTTCCCAGGCTGTTATTTGCAGCAGGATTGACTGCAGGGTGGTGGCCATGGACCTTAGAGCTCACGGTAAAGTCATACAATATTGTGTTGTTTTTCTGTTTGAAATCTAAAATGATAATTATTTGCGTTGGTTTTTCAGGTGACTCCAAAGTAAAAGATCTTGACGATCTCTCAGCTGATACAATGGCAAAGTAAAGGCGACGTGTAAGTTTTGTTTCATCTAATAGATAAATGATTTATATTTTGTGTTCTCTTTTTAAGGGATGTTGGGAAAGTAGTTGAGTCCCTTTATGGCGATAATCCACCCCCTATTATGTTAATTGGACATAGCATGGGTGGGGCTATTGCAGTACACACCGCAGCAGCCAATCATATTCCTTCTCTGATTGGCCTATGTGTTATTGATGTTGTGGAAGGTAAGTGTTGTGTAATGTAACAGTTTAGTATATAATAAACTTATCAAATGTGTATACAGGCACTGCAATGGATGCTTTAAATAGTATGCAGAATTTTCTGAGAAGTCGCCCAAAGACTTTCAAATCTCTGGAGAATGCAATTGAATGGAGGTAAATATTTACATATTATGGGACTTATGACTATGTATTTTTATGCACATTCTATGATAATTTACAGTGTTAAGAGTGGTCAAATTCGAAACTTTGAATCGGCTCGCGTGTCAATGGGAGGTCAAGTAAAAAAGTAAGCGGGAATTTTCTGGCCATTCTGTTTCTAATTATGTTTCATTTTTTTATTTGAAGGCACCAAATAATTGTACACTAGTCATAAATTCACTGTTGATAAATAAGTGTCCTTCAATAACTTTTTGTTTTTAGGTGTGAAGAAGCCAGCAACAGTCCAGATGTCTCCAGAAGTATTGAGGAAGGGATAATTGAAGAGGATGAAGAGGAGGAAGCGGGAGAGGAATCAAGTAAGAAAAGGATGAAGGAAGATGACCCAGAGGTGAACACTTGTCCAGCCGCATTGATCTATGTGCTTAAAAAAGGGGCCAGCTGAGTATAATGTCCTTTTTCACAAGGCAAAGAAAGAAAGTGTGTTTACCTGGCGAGTGGACTTGTCAAAGACGGAGAAGTATTGGGAAGGCTGGTTCAGAGGTCTCTCGTCTCTGTTTCTTACCTGCTCTGTGCCAAAACTGCTTTTGCTTGCTGGTTAGTCCCTTCTCATTTCATGAATATACCTTCTTAAACAGAATTTGTTTCAGTCTGTATTTTCTCTCGCAGGGGTAGACCGGCTTGATAAAGATCTTACCATTGGACAGATGCAAGGTGAATTTTGTTTTACGTATTCCCTGAAGTGTGACCCCAAAATGCCTTATCTAATCTTACACTATTCCCAATCTGTCCACAGGAAAGTTTCAAATGCAGGTCCTTCCTCAGTGTGGCCATGCTGTCCATGAAGATGCCCCCGAAAAAGTGTGTGGTTGAGCCTGTTGCCGTCATAATCCTGCCTGGGAACATTTAGGAGTTACTTTTGTCTTTTGTCTTTTTACAGGTAGCAGATGCTTTAGCAACATTTATGGTTAGGCACAAATTCACTGACTTTAAAGAAGGATTTCTTTGGTATGTAACAAATGAATTTTTAGGAAATGTTTTTGTTTTTCTCATAAGACTCATATTAGTATTAACCTGGCATGTGTTTTCTATTACTTTTGCAGCTAGTGTATTTCCAGCGTGATAGAGAAAAGTATTCAAGAGTCTCAACGCGTCATCAGCCATACGCTACTCTTTCAATTCAGCAGCATTGAAATACACATTATTATTAAGTTATTATGTAGATATTGTCTTTCAGCTTTGCCTTATTTGTATTTGAAAATAATTTTCTGAATGATTGTAACTTTCCTTTTTTCTTTCTTTTTTATCTTTTGTTTTGCTTGACCATTTGTGTAATTTGCTTATTGCTTCTGCTTTCATTCAAGGAGTAATTAAAGATGCAACCAAATGTAAATCATCCATCACTATATATTTGGTATGTTTATTAAAAGACATTGTGACCCTTTTAATTCTTTTATTTTTATTTTTTACATATAGTACAAGTTCTAAGTTTAATATTTTTTTACATATAGTACAAGTTCTAAGTTTAATATTAAGTTATTTGGGTTGAATCCCTGGACCCAGGACACGCTGGAGGGACTATGTCTCTCAGCTGGCCTGGGAACATCTTGGGGTCCCCCCGGACGAGCTGGAGGAAGTGTGTGTGGATAGGGAAGTCTGGGCGTCTCTGCTTAGACTGCTGCCCCCGCGACCCGGCAACGGATAAAGCGGAAGAAAATGGATGGGTTGAATCCAATGTGGTAAACTGGCCTCTCCTGCATTCATAACGGTAAGTTTGTGAAATATTATTTATTGTGGTGACTGGCTGCAGGGCAAGTCCTACCAAAGAAGCAATAATAATGGAAAAAAATTCACTTAAGCCAACTGGGTAACGTTAAAACTCATAGCTTAGTGTAATTTTACAATAAAATTGTGCCCTTTTGGTCAATAACTCTGCAACTGTAACGTCTTATCTAATAGGAAACTAAAGTAACATGGCATACCTCAGTCACTGGGATGCACCATGGTTATGTGGATACCTGGTTATTTGATTATAACCTTCACCGGTTAACAGATACACACATGCACAACATTTTATTTTCCACATTTCTTTTTCCCACTTTTAATTGTATAACTACTTAATGTCCAGTTCAAACAAATGAACGCGTAAAATCAAACCGGGAAAGAAAAATGTTTATATTATGTGACTTCCTGGGTCTACTTGTTTGTTTGTCTTTTTTCCCTCACTTAGTGTAATCAAATTATCGCTGTCCTAGTTTTAAACCATCAGCTGCTCAGATAAGATGACTGAAAGTAATTATTATTTTGTCACTTAAATCTGGGGTACCTCACTTCTCTTCTATGCATAATACATTTTGTTAGTCTCAAAATAAGACATTTTGGGTCTTCTTATTTGAACATTTTTGAGTCACTATCTGACGTTTTGGGTTGAGAGCTGGCTGAGTGAAATGTTCCTATCTTTATCACTTTTCTGTTTGAAAAAGCTGATCTAAAGATGCATTAAAACTAGTGATGTGTCCAAACTTTTTTGATTGTGAGGAGCTATAGTGAGATGAATTGTACTACAACAGCTCAAATACATAGTTCCCACAGACCAATGAATGTCACATGACCTCCTCGGAGACGCCATCTTTGATGGCACGCTGCTGTGTTTGTGCATTCCATTAAACAGAAGAATGAGAATAAATGTAGATATTCAAACGCAAATTGGAAAAAAAGGGCAACTTTTGAGCAAATAATTGTATATTAATACAATGGCACCACAGTTTAACGTGCTACGGACATGTTTTACATATTTGATCAAATTATGCAGCAAAAATTAACAAGCAATGCAAACATTTCTCAAAAACTTTAGATTTAATACCAGTTGGAGCTCCATTTAATTATTTTAATTATATTAACAATTAATTTAATTAATGCTAATGCCACACGGACACTCTGGATTGCTGTTATTGTTTATTTCCGCGTTTTTGACCGTATGTTTTGGTGAATGGTGGGCAACTGATTTTTCCAGGCGTAAAGAGCAGTTTATTTTATGACACAGATCTTTTTACAGAAGCAATGCTGTTTGTGAACATTGTTTTAGCCCACCATAGAACTATTATCTATTTAATACATTTACGTTGCCCTCGAGAGCCTCGGACGCGACACCGATCCTCCTCATAATAAAGTAATCTAAATAATGAAACTCTCAAGTTACCAGATATCAGCATACACAAGTTAGTACTGAGTAAATTACGTCTGTCAACACATTATGAGATACGATACGCACCTGACACAAAGTGCTCCGAGCATATTCTTGCGTGTTTTGAGGGAGTTTCTTGCCTGTTTATCTTCGCAAGCCATAACCTCCGTGGTTGTTCTGACAAAAGCTTAGTCTTCTCACATTCATGAAGTCTAATGATGGGTATACTGTAAAATCCAAGTTTAACTGAACCTCCGGCACGATTTGAACATCCATTGACCCAGCAGGAGACGACCATTTTCAACTTTATCACACGTTTCAGCTTCTTTTTCTATTTTTTGGCCCACAGAATGCCAAGACAAATGGCGCCGGGTCGGCAAATCCCCGTATGTAGTGACGTCATGTGGGAACTATGTATTGTTAGATGTTTGAACGTTAGGTACCCCAGCTTTAAATCTCAACAAGGTGCGTGCGTCCTCTGTCTAACCAGCAGGTGTCACCTTTGTTCTACTTCATGCCTCTGTCCCCTCTGTAACTGACACCTGAAGATCTCTGTGGGGAACTCTCATTTAAGTTTAATTTATCATAGTCTAGATGGTGACTCATTAAATGTATGGCTCAATAATTGTGTGTAAACAAGCTCGGATGTCCTGAATGAAAAGGGGTTTCTGGGCATGAGACCAATTTAAGCAATCTTCACTTGTCCAAGGCACTGGTGCCCTCTCAGCGCCTCTCTGCTCTTACTGAAGGGTCCTCCACAAGCTCAATAACATTCCTGAGACATGGAATACCTGGTGACAGAAAAGCAACCCCTAGAAACATGGAGAGCAGAGATCTCAAGGGCAGTAAAGTCATTCACATCCACCAGCAGTGACATTTTTGAAGGATTAAACATGGTATAGAATAGAATATGAACAGTTTCCGTTTATGAACAAATCTGTTTAGTATCGACATTTCCCTCCATTGACAACAGGTTTTGATTATCTGAGGGCCAGAGGTAGCTAGTTTTTTCACCTGTATTTTTTCTCCTGGCATTTGTAGGCCTACTTTTTTTTCCTTACAATTGTGTCATTTTAGTTTTAAATGCACTCTACTCCTCACATTTTACTTGATCAGTCTTTATACTGCTTCATTGTATCGCTTAGCAAAACTGCATTATCCTGCATTCACTTAAGTAATAACAATCATGCAATGGTTTTTTGCAGAACTTTTTGGACACTCAAAGACACTTCCCATTCGTGTTATTCATTCACTCTGTACATGGTGGTGGTAAAGCACTAGTAAAGCCACAGCTACCCCAGGGCACACTGAAAGAAGCAAGGCATCTGGTTTGTCCTCTGCCCCTCTGACCACCAACTCGGCATGCACACACCAAACTCATACAAGGCAATGTGGTTTAAGCATCTTGCTCAAGGACACAACCACAGCCACTGCACTTATGTTCATACTCATTAAACCAAAGGAATGTGGGGTCACTTAAATAGGTGATAGAATGAAGGCAGTCTGTATGTGTCTGCGTGGGCTTGTGTTGTATTTTTTTGTATTGATAGTTTTTTTCCCTACTCATTCTCAGAGCACATAGCTTACTTAGGCCAGACATAACACAGGAGGCAGTGATTTTTGTATTCGAAAAGGTAGTCTGTTCCCTGTTGTGCACAAGCTCCTTTGCTTTTACACACTGGAGTTGCAATTGCTTGAGTGAATCTCTTGGCTTTTCAGAAGACATGGAAGCGGTGGCCTGGTGGGATGTCTGAAAACTGTTGCACTCTGTTGAAATACTCCCCCTACACAAAAATCATCAACATATGATGCAACAAAGAACATTCAGGCCATAAGTGAGTGACAGTAGGCAATTGACCGCAATGTTCCTCTCTGGACGTGTCCTACAACTGCTACATGAGATCTACACATATATAACAGGAAAGTACTTGCTGGACTATTAAGCACTCCTGTATATCCACTGCACCAGCCACATTTTAAAATAAAGTACATTTTATTAAGATTAAGAGATCCTTTATTCGTCCCACATTGGGGAAATTTCAGTGTTGCATCACAAGTTGTAGAACAGTAGGAAAGAGGAGCACACGGCACAATATCTATACTAATTAAAATAAAACAAAATCTCTAACTCTAGCATCAATAACAAGTTTAAACTCTCTATCTTGAAAATAATAATAAAAGAGGTGTAAAAGTTTAACACCACATTTAAGCCACTCTTCAATATAAGGCACAAGTTTTCAAGTTATAATGTAAAGCAAAAAGATTAGACACAAGACAACTGCTTTAACTCATTGAATGCCAGCCTATTTCAGAACAGGTACTCCCACAGTGCCAACCATTTCTGATGATTTTTACTGATTTTTCAAGACCCACAGAATATTGTGTACTGTGACTATCTGAAATCCGACACCAGATTCTAAAAGAATGGACTGTCTACTTTCCTTCAGCAAAAAGAATTTTGTTTATAGCTTTTTTCGTTCCCCTGTAATCCTCCGTCGAGTAGAGGGAAGTTTTACTGAAATCACCAGAAATCACCAGAAAGTTGAGAAAAAAGAGGCACAACATGTGCACCTACATGTTTTCAAACCATTCAGAGAGCAATGCTGCCACCTGCTGGCTCGATAAAATATGGTCTCAAGTCATCCCCATACATATTAGATACAATAGACATCTGGGAACGTGAAAATAGCGAAAAAAGCAATTGACGGATTAATGCGTCAATGGCACACGACGTTACTATTTGCTTTGACGTATTTGTGCGTCAATGGGACACAATGGTTAACTGGTCTCAACATGATTTCATGACAATGCATTGTTGACTCCTTATGGACAAAGCTTGGTAAAGATTAACTCACATTTTCATGCTTACCTAAGCTTACTTTAATCCAATCGAACTACTAAAAAAGATAGTCCATAAAGTCCATGAACTCTGCTCTGACAACAGCCCAACTCTAACACAGTAACCATACACACATTGGCTGCCTCACTGTATAGGCCGCAGGGTTCAAAAACTTGCTAAAAGTAGCAGCTTACAGTCATGCAATCACAGTATATATATATTGGTTTTCTATTATGGATTTATATTTGGGCCACGCTTTGTTAATGCATGCATTTGTGAAGAAGAGGTCAGACTGTACAATGAACAACAATCACTGCAGACCCCACTTGTCTTTACTGGAGTAATGTGCAACATCTTCCGCCTGTATCCTGTTTATTTACATAATGAAGTCACTTATAATTTCAAAGATTATAAATATATTCTTGAGTGTAGTATGTTTATACGTCAGCTAAAGATTATTGAAGATATTAAATATAATCTAAGGAAGCATTTACATCATTTTACATGTTGTTTTTTTCCCACAGTGTGGAAAGAATAAAGGTTCTCTTATCTGATCTTATCCTAAATAAAAGAACATAAAACCCAATAATATATAAAAAAATACACGTCTCTGTGTGTGGGGAAAACAGATCCCATCTCCTTCACACTCTCTTTTCCAACGAGTATCCTATAAACAAAGAGAATGAAAGTGATGATTAAAATAAGAAACCAATAAATGTGGGGTTATCAACAGCGATGATGTAATGCGTGTTTTATTGGTGCACTCCTACGGGGGGACGCCGCGGCTCGTGACCGTCAGAGGATGCCCCATTTCGGGTGCCAGGTGAGCTCCCACACCCCTCCGCCTCCAGGGCACATGGTACGGTCCACATGCAGCCCTGATTGTTGCTGAGGACCCACCACGTTCACACCGCGCAGCCCGCGAGCGGCACCGGCCAACGCGAACTCATCCCAGTGCTTTTCTCCGCGTTCTCGCCTCTAACTGGACCCAAAAAAAAACATTCAAATGGCGCTATTTTTCCTCGTGTGTGTTATTACAGGTGAGTCTTGAATTGTGAATATAGTTTATTCTTTAATTTAGGCTGTAACGTTGCTGTGAAGTTTGGGAAAGATATCTCCAGCATCCGGTGTAGTTTTTCGGGTAAAAAAGCAGGATATTGAAAACTGCATGTCCGATGATGCGTGCAGACACTAAAGTTAAGTTTGACGGCGCTTGGAGGGAATCTGTACCGCGAAGGATGCTCGGATGGAGCTTGCACAGATATGAGAAAGAGCAGAGCCACTTAGCGCGCACTTGCTCACTCCATTAGCCAATACTTACCATCACTTAGCTAGGTAATTAATTGGAGAATTATGAGTTGCATTGAGAGATTCAGGGTCATTTGCCTGCTATGCTAAATCATGTGTAATTTAAGATTAAAGCATAAACTCATTCTGAAGGAAATTATGCTTATGTGTAGTTTGATGGCATCTGGAGTTGGAGAAAGGGTCAGCCGCGTTAATCAACAACAAACAAGATGACTGTATTAGTTACAGAGCAGAATAACAAAGAGCTTTATTCAGTCACTAACTGTGTGAGTAAAGCTCATTCAACCGGCAAATTCCGTTGTGTTAATATTTCATAATTTGTCGGTCTCCAGTTACTTTGTATGCTTTGTTTTCTATAACCTTGTCTGAATTGTTACCAACAGATTAAATATTTACACGTTGGGTATAATTCATAACTACCTATACTTGCAGGGCTTTCTACCGTCACATGGCTCATCCCATAAAACGCAGTAATTGCAAATAGTAATCTAGTAATAGTAATCTTTTTATTTATATACCGCCTTTTCACTGCACATCGGAGTCTCAAAGCGGTTTACAATTGTTATTTTTTGGGATTGGGGGTGCCAGTACAGGAGGCACATGCCAGACCTATTGTACATATTTTTAGTGGTAGGGGAAACCGGAGCACCTGGAGGAAACCTACGCAGACACGGGGAGAACATGCAAACTCCACTCAGAAAGGCCCTGGTCCAACCGGGATTTGAACCCAGGACCTTCTTGCTGAGAGGCGAGAGTGCTATCCACTCAGCCACCGTGCCGCCCAAATGTGTCTATCTCTGTATCAGCGGAGTTCAAAGTTGTGTTACCTGCTGAGTGGAAAGGCAAGCAGGTGTATCACGATAGTCATATTTGTTTGAAGAGAAATCCATTGAGCTTGTTCCACTTTGGCAGAGAGACCCTGTTGACATAAGTTTAGACCCAGAAAAGAAACGGAACCCTTTTGTTACCAGACTTAATGAGATATGCAAATGTGCTGACGGACTCCCCGCTGTCTCCATATGTATGCATGCATGTGTACTTGCATGTACTAGGGTGTATGTTACAGGCTTATTCTGACTAACCATAAGACAATTTATTCAGGTACAAACCTACTTGCAGATACCAAAGTTTGAAGCACTGTATAAAGAATGAGTCGATCTTGTTCCTTTGAATGTAAACTGCACTTGCAGCTCAATGTATTTAACTGGAATAAACTATAATGTTGTTTCTTACACTTTGTAAATAAAGCTACTATCACTTATATCATCACAGGAGCAGTAACTAACACAGTGTGAAAATAATTTTCAGTTGAGCAGCCGTCTTTGCTTTAACACGTAACAAATACCTTTTATATCCTAAGTCATGGTGTTGCTAAGCAAACAAGCAGAGTTGAAGACTGAAGATTATATCTTTCTCTTGAGTTTATTTTGAGCAAATTTTCCTCAAACATGTAGAGTAGACTGTAGGCTATTGGCTATGTTTGAAATGTGGAGGAAGTCAACTAAATGAAACATGTATGTACAATTGTTTTTGATGGCTTTATCATGATGTGTGAGTGTTCTTGGAACCTTAACATTGTAATTATATTTGCAGTTTCTGTATTAATTACTTCTTTTTTTTTTTTAAACATCTTCAGGGGCATCAACACTTGAATATCCTGAATCTTGTTTGCGAATACCTTTCAGATTAGCTGATGTCTTTGTGACCATTTAAAGCCTTCCAGTGAATGTCACTATTCGAATTGTCTGAAAATGTTCAAATGCAAGCACCAAGTGCCCTGCATGCACTCATTTGTTTCCTCTTTGGACAAAATGTATTCAAGTTCTCCAATGTCAGGCAAGCTCTGTCCCCATTTGTTGAACTATTCTCCCCCAGCCAATCTTGGCTTGGGATGGACTAATGCACAGTGTGCAGCTGTAGACATCCTGAAATGTTGCATCTATCCACAGAAAGTTACTGTGAAGGTTGGTTAAGTTCAGACGAGTCAAGTGTGCATTTAATCCTTTCATCTTGCTCTTGTCCCATCCTACTCGGCTGCCGAACACCTCACCATTTATGTTCCTTTTTCCACTTTTAACACAGGACGCTGCCTCGTGGCGAGACACACACATTATACACTGCTGCTTGACACACGACTGGTGCGTGTGAAGGTAATATTGACGAAAGTGAGAACGAGCTGTGAAGTCCTCTGGGAGCAAAGTGTCCTTGATGCTGGATATCTATAATCTGTTTGGTACGGCGCCTCTAAATGAGACACATTGTATTATATTAGCAGTCAAAGTAAGCTTGCACAGTCTCTATGAGAACAAAAGCACCACAAGACTCCTTCAGTCCTTCAGAGATTAAATGTTTATTGCCTTGTCCCTGCATACTGTAAGATCAGAAAGAAGTTTGCCCTTTTCTCATCTTTATTTCATCTGAGTTGGAAAAAAATGAGGGCATGCTTATGTAAGGTTGTCGTCACGTCAAAAATAAGAAATGTATACAGTCACTATAGAGCTTATATATTCACAAAGGACTGAAGAGCGGCTTTCTTTACTCACTATGTGGTTATTTCTGCCTTCACAGCTATCTTTGTCCCTAATGTGCAAAGTAATTTTTGAAATCACTTGGCTTAAAAAATGTGCATTTTGGTGATTCTTATTAATATCTACTCCTACTGTGAAATGATCTCCTGCTCATCCTCAAAATTGCATAATTTGAATATTTTATACGTTCTATAAAGGGATGCACGCATCCAGATTGTCAGTTCCAATATTGTTGCTGTATCTTTTTTTTATACCTGATATTAACAAGCAATTGAGCAGAGACACACCGGCACTTATTCACTTAAAACAGAATAAACTTGTATAAAAACAATTAAGCATGACTTGCTATTATCTTTGAATGACATGAGCTAAAATCACAACTATCACAAAGCCATATCCTGGAGGTTATATCCATTTTGCCAATTTTCCTGGATCGTGCCGACATCCAACACCAGTTTTGGAGGATTGCTATTAATAGTCTCGTATTGTAATGAAGTAAACAGACAACTACTGTATAGGCCTCTGGTTATTATAGCTTAAATTGATCAATTGGTCTCAAAAAATTATGTTGGCTGATTGCCAGCAAGTGTGTGAGTTGCTGAGCACAGCAGCCTCTGATTTATCGGCTCTTTCATTGGTGGCTTGGTACAATTAAGTGATCGTGTTAAGGCTGTGGGCGTGCAGCACTTTCTGATGATGTCATTGTTTTCAGTCATTTGGAAAGTTTAGCCTTTATTGTAATCTGAAGACGTGACTTGGTCTTTCTGACGCTCTCACTTTTCCCTCAAGAGATGACGTCATTGTGTTAGCATATCAGCTCCTTCTGCTCAGCCTTTTGAGTTTTCAATCACGACTTTGAACTTCAGTCTTTGAAACACAGTTTTTTTTGTTTGACTTGTATAAGGACAAGCTGAGAGAGACGAATAAATCCAGGTCTGACCCAAACTGTTGATATAAAATCTGTAGCTCAATGAGGCAGTCAGCTGTGCAGTGGAAGGGTCTGCCACCTGCTGTGGAGTTACCATGCTTAAGCGCCTCATGATGGACTGCTCTGCTCCAGATCAATGACATGAATCCTCAAACTCCTATCCTTCCACTCTGCTTTTTATAACACCAACACTATATTCACCAAAATAGTAAGCGCTAGTTGATCTGCAATCCTTACAATGGGAGTTTGAAATAAAGAAAATCTGATTATGAAAGAGGCAAAGTCAAATAAGTTATGTTATTTATATGAGGGCCATACCTTTTGGGGCTTTTAGCACCTGCATTGGATGTTATTGCAAATCATTATCCAAATATATTATGTATTTTATTTAGTGTATAAAGGTGGGTTTTTGTTGGATATGTGCTATATGAAGTAATAGTGAAAATATTATAATTTGTTCATTTTTACTGCAAAGGGAATTCAGAAGAAGCGACCTTGGTCTGGCTTCATTAAATTCAAATGTAATTCTATTTGTTTTCAGGAGCATGGGGCAGTCAAGTGATTGTCCCCAAACAGGTGAACGCGGTGCTGGGAAGGAACGTGACTTTGGACTGCACTGTGGACGTGGGCTCAAACCTCACTCTGACCCAGAGCTCCTGGGAGCGCCGGCTGCCCACCGGCTCCATTACTGTGGCGGTGTACAACCCTCGCTTTGGGATCTCCATTCCCCCAGAGTTCAGCCAGCGTTTGTATTTCCGCTCTCCTTCCTCCCACGATGCCACAATTGTACTGGAAAACGTGGGCTTCTCTGATGTTGGAATGTACACCTGTAAAGTCGCCACTTTTCCACTGGGAAACACCCAAGCCTCCACAACAGTCACCGTGCTTGGTAAGCACAATCTCTTTAATGCTTATTACAACAAGGCATTCACTAAAGTATTCAACCATTATTCAGCAGTTCCATGTGTTATCTTGCATTACACCTTAGATTATTGTTTTGTCTTTTACTTAAATATCCCTAAAAGATAAGAAAAGTAAAAAAATGAAGCCCACATTATTAATGGACTATATCTTAATGAGTCTGTGGCTGTGTTAAAGCAGTCAGACCACCAAGTGTTAAAGAGGGACTGTGATATTCCTCCAAATGGATCCTGAGTGTGAAACCCAGTTTCACTTAAAGAAATGGAAAATACTTCAACAATCTGGTGCAATAAGGACTGACTGAAAAACACATGGCGCAGACTGGAGCAGCTGAGAAAAATTCCAAAACTGATCTCACAGATGCGACTTTTAAGGATGAGATACATCCATTAAGAGTATTGAACATTATGAGGTGTAATGCTGTACAATAACCCTCTCCCCACATTGTTCATTTAAAACAGTGGAGCCCAAGGTGTACGTCTCCGCTGGATCCAGTGCTCTCATTGATGGTGGTAATGAGACCGTGGTGGCCTCGTGTATAGCAGAGCGGGCTCGGCCGGCCGCAGAGGTGTCCTGGGAGTCCAACCTGTTCGGTCAGTCAGACGTGCAGCTTTATAATGAAGCCAACGGCACCACCAGTGTTCATGCCCGCTACCTATGGCAGCCCACACGCCACGTCCAGGGACACACCCTCACCTGTGTGGTCCGCCACCCAGCTCTGCCGACAGACTTCAGGATTCCCTACCAGCTCAATGTGCAGTGTAAGCACTCCAATATGTACTTCAATCTCAGTTCTGGAGCTGTAGTCAAGATTTAAGGCTGACTGCAGACTTGATTAGTCGGGTTTTTTTAGTGTTTTTTTTTTTTTTTTTTTAGGAGGTGTGCATGACTCAAGTTTGGTGATAAGATGTTTTGATAACCTTTGAATTGAGAGTTTGAGCTGGTTTGAATATAAAGTAAATTCTTAAATCTTCAGCATTATTTGCTATATCTTTTTTGCATTTTTCACAAATTCTTGTAATTGAAAAATAATTAGTTGACAACCACAAAATTTAATCCGCAGATTGTTTTTTAGTCAACCAGACTAAGAATTGTATTTGTTGACCCTAGAGCCTGCTAAAAGACAGGCCATTTCTACCCACACAGAGCAGTAAAGTCAAGACTGGGAGGCATGGTTGCACAGTGGTTAGCGCTTGTGCTTCACATCAAGACAGCCCTTGTTTTGATTCCACCCCCAGGCCTTTCTGTGAGGAGTTTACACATTCTCCTTGTGTCTGCAGAGGTTTCCTCCATGTGCTCCGGTGTTTACTCTACCACTAATAACATGTACAATAGTCCCCCATAACACCCTGCCTCACCCCACTCCTGTACCTTCTCTCTGGGGCCAGGACTCCCCTGAAAGAGATTCTGCAGTCTCATTGTACTTTCCGGGTTAAATGAAGGTCAATAATAAATAGACTCCTCAAGGGTTAGCTGATGTAAAGCAGAGCACAGAGCTGAAATAATGCATTGTTTTCTTTGAAGTTGCTCCAGATATATCAGTGGTTGGCTACGATGGTGACTGGTTTGTTGGACGAGAAAATGTTCAGATGACCTGTAAGGCTAATGCTAACCCTCCAGCACACCATTTCAGATGGATCAGGTGTGTTTTACCCCATCTCTGCATACATTTCTATGCTTTGACAAAGAATATACAATGAAAGTGATTTTTCAAAACTTATTCTAATACTAACGTGCCACTGTGTCTGCCCCCCAGATTAGACAGTGAAATGCCAGAGGGTGTGGAGGTAATAAACAACACTTTGCTCTTCCTACGTCCCCTCCAGCGAAATGACTCGGGAGTTTACAGGTGTGAAGTTGCCAATGACATAAACCTCCGCAGTCGGGATGTGCGCATCCTCATACAAGGTGAGCCTGGTTTCCACAGAACACAGCTGACTCTCATCGCGCTCCCTTAGGAAGCACTGTGTGAGTGTACGTCATGTCTATGTCCTTCAGCTGAAATGTGACTCTGATTTAGTCCTCATTCAACTCTAGTGTATGCCTCTGCTGAACTCAGATTAGCTCTATGATTAACCCATGATATTCAACATCTCTAGATACTCTAAGCAGACTGACCAAGCATCTGTAAATATTTAGTAGCTCAGGTTGAGGCTCTTTTGGCCTGGCATGCACACTGAATGTGTTTCTCAGCTGAGCGCTATGAGCATGCTCCTCTGGTTGCATAGACTCTGGTCTGTGGCAGCTCTTTGTGAATGGCTTGTGATGTGATTTCTCTTACATCTTTTGCTCTCTCACTTCTGTGCTTCGTTTCTTTTGCTTGTGCCAAGCAGTAAGAGGCAGAAGCCTGCAGCCTCACTGTGAGATGATGTCCCAGATTCATAAAACATTAAGAAGTTCTTTTCAACTCTGATTCATTATTTATCATCCACATTTCATTTTCCTTTGAGAGAGGACCTGTACGTCTATGTGCAGCTTACACATCGACATGCCCTTCTTTGTGTTGTGGTCGAGTCCATAAACTGTCCTCCTGCTCGCTGAGTACATTAATTTCCACTCAGTCCTCTGGGTTCATGTTTCTGATCTCTCGGATGTGAATCTCCACCTCACATCTGGCCTGGCATTTAGTTTGAAGTGGCAGAGCAATTGCTGCCCCATTAAGGCTTTCAGACTCTGATTCTTTCCAATGCTTCAGCCCCTTCTGGCTATGGCCTGGCCTTTCTGTTTAGTGTATCATTCCATAAGTTAGAGCTATCTTAATACTCGCCTGCACTGGACAGGAAGTTATACTGTCTAAGTAATGAGAAAAAGGCGACTCAATAATATTCAGGGAAATGTTTTAGCTGATGCATTTTGACTGTAAACCGCAAATATCCTGCCACATGACATTTGAGAAAAGATTTGTTTACTAAAAATCATTCATTCTAATACTTTTGTCTCATGTACCTTCAGGAGGCTTTGGTTTGAATTGAACTCATTAATCAATTGACCTTATTTTCTTGAAAATTTGAGTACTTCCTTAAGTGTTTTTCAGATAATCTTTTGGAGATGTTTTGGAAACAAGTGATCCATATCTCCTGTGCTTTTTGTCTGTACTAAATCTTAACATTGTCTATTTGATAATCTTTTTAACTGTTAATGCAAACCACAGCTCTCTGACCCCTTTATCCTATAGAATACTTAGTATATTGTTTCCCCAACGTAGTGAAATACTGCTGTAGTTGACATTCTTCTCTTTGTCCATCTCTGCTCCCTCTTCCTCCTGCCTTTCCCCTCATTAGATCCTCCTGCCATGCCCTCCACCATCACTGCTCCCGTGCTAACCGCCACCTCCTCCCTAGCGGACGATAAGGCCCATGTTGTCCTCAGCTTCCCCACTCTTCAGGCCATCCCTGTGGGTAATGTGGGCTCCGTAGTGGGCGGGGCAGTGGGCGGTGCACTATTCCTGCTGCTGGTGCTGTCATTGGCTGGAGTTCTTTACTTGAGAAAACAACAGAGCTTTCATGGGACTTACTACAACAAACACTACATGGGCCACAACGACCTGCAGAAGCCCACGCAGCATGAACTCAATCAGACCAAAGGAAATCGGCAGACGGACCACGACCGGGAGGAGTGGGGAGACCGCCAGCTGAAAGAAGAGCGCGAGCGGCGAAAGCATGATAGCTATCACGGTGAGGATTACCCTGCTAACGGCTACACTCGAGCCATGAGGGAAAGTGGAAATAATCAACAGAATCATCATAGTACCACACATGCCCACAAACCGTGCCCAAGCCCAAGACGAGCCAAAAGCAGCAGGTACCCTCCAGTGAAACCTCTGGATAACTGCTCCCCCTACCTGTCGGATGACTGTTACGACAGTGGGCCAGAGGGCGACTATGTTGCCCACAAAGACGGATCTGTTATTTCTCGTAGGGAGTGGTATGTTTGACAGGCTGAAAACTTGAGACAATTTCACTAGTGCATATTTAGTCGGTGTAGAGGAAATGCAAGGTTGTCAATATTATTCATGTGTCTCGTGACACTGGTGAACTTTATTTTTTCTTTCAATGGAGGACGGACTGAACTCTACTTCAGTCAAAGCTCTACACAGCCTGTAGTTTGTGTTATCAAGGTCCTCATGTTCAAATGCTGATAAATGCAAATGTAAGTGGCAACTGTTTAGTTAGTGGGTCATAAATGTTATGCTCGCTTAGATGTAATTGTTATTTGTTTACAATATTTAGATTGGGAACATTTTGACCTTACATTTGTTTAGGGTTTATATACTACTGTTTAATGAGACCTATATTATTTTTTAATTCGGCAGCTACAGTATTGACTGCAAAATTCAGTCATACTTGTGGTTCTAAATGTAATGCACTGCCATTTAGCAACATTTACATGTGATGCTTACATTTATCTTTTTGGGAGCTGGACTGGAATGGATTTGCCATACACTCAGGTAAATCACTGCTAAGATCGACCCTTTAGATATAGTAGAAATAATCAGGAATGTCTGCCTTTTTTTATACACATTTTTTCATTGTAGGTGCTTTATAGGCCTTTTTTCTTGAATAATTATGAGAATTTGCACTTGCACTAACCCAGGCCTCCTGGAGATGAAGCAGTTGGGGCATTGTTCAGAGCGGCCACTATGTGCTCCCTCCATCAGTATTTCTTTATACAAAGGACCCATTCAGGAGTTGATTATGTGCACTTGTCAAAACAATAACCATGATTTAATCCTACAAAGCTGCTCCTCTTTAAGTTAAAATTCTGATGTGTGCATTTAACTTTTGGATAGTACCACACATGCACAGAGCACGTCAGGTACTTTGTTTTTTTTAGTAGCTCTTCACTGTAGTGATACTTCAGGGTAGTCATATTTCTGAAACTGCTAATTTGTATGAGAAGGAGGTTATTCAGTTTCTTTCCATTCTTTAGTGATTGTGAATATGATAGCTTTAGTTGACACGAGAGTAGATGAATGAAGAGGGTTTAGAAAAAATGAGGAGGAAAATAGCTTTTGATAATGGTGGTAAATTTAGGACTTTTGTAGCTTGAAATGTATTAACTCACAAAATCACTTTTGTATAAAATAACAGCCATCAAAATGTATTTTTGTTTATCAGCTTGAATGTGATATGTGCAATCAAAAAAACTCACTCTAATGGTACTATTTAGAGTTAAGTTATTTTACTTATGCTTGTATGTTTTCTTTGTGCAATTGGATCAGAATGACAGTCAGGTCCACTGGATGGTAGAAAGTTAGTTTGACCTCATTGTTTTGGCTCATTTTTGACAAATATGATTTCTGAAAGTCAAATAATGAAGTATTGTAAAGTGTCCTATAAGAAAATGTTATGATATAAGTTCAAATATGATAAAGCTGCCCACATGCACCACTCTGCTTTGAGGCTGTATGGTTTTGGGAATATTTAAAGGTTTATTGGCAACATTAGCTCTTTGCTGTTTGAAGACTATTGCAGTGAGTCCTATGGCGTTGCCTCGGCCTGTTATGCAACTAAGGATGGCACCAACCATTGTATTCATTTAGGGGCCTAATTTGACCTGCCAGTTTAGTAACAAGCCACAGATATAAATTCTTGACATCCCAATTTTGAAAATTTAAAGGATATTTCTTTCACTAGTATTATTATCACATATATAGATGATGGAGCAGTAAAGAGCTCTTCTGTCCACTCCAGTGGAACAGGAAGTAGCTGTGGACCCTGACCCTTTTTGCTTCTATGCACTGAGGCGGAAATGCCACTAATCAATATGACTATTTTTGCTTGACTTACAAGTTTACTCACTTGCATCTGATAAAAGAGTTATGCTCATCTGTATTGTGGGAAACGTCTTTCACTTTGAGTTGAAGTACAACTCGTGCCTTAGATGCTAACAAACTACTGAATTTTAGTTGTGGAAGTTGTGTTGTAATAGAGCCTTTCTGTTCAATACATGTGTATACATTCTGGTGTGCCATAATCTGCCACTTCATACGCTGTAGCTGCTCTTGAAGCCTTTACATAAACTCTTTGTTTTAAAATATACATAAATATATCTATATATATATATATACAGTGATGACCAAGAATTCCTGTTAATAACCGATGATTCCTGAACAAAAATATGGTTTTCCATTTTAGACCGACAGGATAATTTTTTTTAAGTGAAAAAGTGAAGGCTGACACGTTGTCAAACAGCACCTTATACTGTTTTTGTATATAAAGAAAATGTCAGTGACCTGAGAAGAGTGTTCATTTGTCTTTATGAGAAACTAAAGTTCAATAAAGCACTTTAGCATCTGTGAGTTTGAAACCATTACTCATACTGCTGTCTCTCTTTGTGCCTCACCAAATGACATCATCTTCAGCATCCGAATCCCCCTCAGCCCACCCCTCCGATCCAAGTGGGATGCCACAATGATGTAATCCGAAAATTTCCTCTCTTCTCCTTCTACAGCTGCGTGTTAACGTGGAAGCTCCTTAAACAAAGTGCACTGGTCCATCTACTTCCAGGGGACCAGGTTTCCACTTCACATATTGTACTTGTTTAAAATGATGACAAGAAAAGTCCACACTCTTCCCCCCTGTGTGGTTTCATCCACTGCCGACCAGCCGGCAGAATTAAACGCTGAGTGTTTGTCTGGCCCAAAGTCCCCGCTCTCCAGCCCATTGACTGTCCCCATGGCAACTGGCTCATCTGGAGGGGCTGATGGGCGACGCTCCTCCTCCCACTCCACCTGGCCCCCGAAAAGAGGGAGCAACGCTGAGAGTGATGCAGTGAAAGGCTGAGCATGAGACAATTGGGGACCAGCGGCCTCCAAGTGATGAGCGGTGATGGCAGGTGGCTGAGGGTGGGTTGACCTTGACATGGGAAAGGTGCGCCCCCTCCCCCCGATGTGACCTCTGTGTCTGAGATCTGATCATGGCTGCAGCAGGAGTTGTCAGAGTAACCTTGAAGCAATGCAGTCTTAAGTACACATGCACACACCGGGTGTAGCTGTGAGGATAATGAAGACCATCTATAGGGCCAAATGGCAATGTGCAGTTTATATACCACATAAGTGCACCCATTTGTTTTTCAAGTGCAAGTTTTGTATCGGATACGGTTTTGACCTGCCCTGACTAAGCTCAGGCATGCTAATGAATCTGACCGGTACCTCACCACCATGAGCATTATAATAGACATAAATGAAATCTCTTATTCAGTTGGCATTGGTGACCCTTGTTTCACATGATTCATTTTTCAATTCCAGGACAGTATTGCAGTCCCCTGACACAACCAGCGTCAGTTTCCAAGGATACATTTTGCAACACACAAATAGAATGGCAACTTTCAGTTACCACTACTGAATATTTCTTGCCAAACCCTTGAAGATGAGTATCCTGTCCCTCCCCAATTGTGTTGTGCTGACATCTGTTCCTAAGTTTGGTTGTTGGAGCATCCTGATGCTTCACATCGCAGGCCACTGATGGACGCTCTGTTTAATTCATGATGTTCCAGCTCAAGTCTGCTGACCTCAGTGACAAAGTCACTCGATGGGCTTCATGCTGAGGATAGGGCACTGTGTGCACGTTTAACGGTAGGGACAGGGCCCAAAGTAGGACAGTTCATCCACCACCAATTTTCTGTCATCGGCCAAGAAGAAGTTAAAATACACTAAAAGTAATGTGTGTGTTTGAAACTGGCTAAGCATGCACAGTTCTGAAGTTTTATCAAGTAACACTTCAGTGGTGGCGATCTACATTTACATTACCCACTAAAACAGGATTGAGCAGGCAGGCCTGTACAGTATACTTTTGTTTGTAATGAGAGGTGCAGTATAGGCTGTTGCCTCAGCAAGTAGGTTCTGGATTGATATACTGAAAACATGTACAATGAACTCAGGATGAAAACTGGCCTTGAGCTAATTGTAGTTTTTACAGCAGTATGTTCATTCCCACGGTCCCATTCACATAAATAAAAAAACAAAACCATTTAGACTGTTACCATGGACTAAGCCTATTTTTCTGCTTCAAAGTGGAGCATTATTTAAGATTCTCATCTCCGGAGATCTTTGATATATTTTTTTAGCCCACACCTCAACAGCTAAATCAACTGGGAATTGAGCATGTCACAGTTATGCACCCTGCACCACCTTTTGTTCTTTTAGTTTTTCTGTACCACAATCTCTGTTTAACACATCAGTCCCAATTGGCCAATGCATGCAGTTCTGTTGGCTTAATGCATCTTAATCAGTAATAATCCTAATCCATGCAGTTGCATGGGGCGTATGTAAGCATATGGTGTTACTGGGCTAATTCTGCAGACTATTGGATTTTAATCTCTGCACACAAAGCCTGACAATGACGAGACATTTATGGTGGTGAAGATGTGACAAGAAAAACTCTTGAGTTCCAATTTTGTCTTTCTGTGTGCCAGGTTCAACTTGTTCCAGCGTTTCAGTGGAGTAAATTAAGAAAATATGGATGGGTGTGATAGCAGCCATTACAATTACTGTGAGCAGTACTCCATGTACCAGAAAGTTTAATGTGATACTAGTCTGCAACTGTGATGGAAAGGATTTCAAATGTTTCAAATATTTCTGCTGAATAAATTATGCACTACTCCAGCAAACTTGCGCCACAGGTAACAGGTCATTCTGTTTGAAGAATATTATGTTAAATGGAGATGCTACTGCTTTGCCTTACTGGTAACTCACTGGTCAGATCCAAGAGAAAAACAATTAAGGACTTCCAAATATTCTTTTAGTAAAAAAAACTTGATTTGCAATTAATGAACTGTAGACCATATACAGTCTGTGCTATAGTCCTTTTCTGTATTACATACCGAAAAGCCAGCTGCAGACTCAACAGATCAAGTTTACATAGATGCTTTTAAGTTGCTGGGAAAATGAAGAAAAAAGTGTCCTTTCAATACAAAAATTGCAATAAAAAATGTTGACTTTCTGATGCGATTTTGTTGTAGATATTCAAAGATGACGTCTATACTGTAGCTAAATCGTGTTAATGCACAAAACGGAAATGATGAATGATGATTATTTGAACTATGTCATTTTGAATGGAAGGGGTCAAAACTTTAGGTTCTGACAAGGAAGCAATCACTCAAAATGTGACTGTAAAAACCTTGAAATGGACCAATGAAAGATAACCATCTGGTCTATAAAATATGGTTGTACTTCTTGGTAAACAAAGAACTTATAATGACAAAGATTTACTGTTCTCATGCGATGACGATGGGCCCTTCACCAAAAACATAGTACTTCTTAAATGAGGCTGAGGGGTGAGTACTCTCAATTCACAGCAAGGGGTTGGAATCCAGTAGGGGCAACAGTAGCTCAGTTGGTAGAGCATTGGCCTTCAGGCCTGAAGGTCGTGGGTTCAATTCCCACCTCTGCACCTTCTCCACCGACTCCCACTGATGACTGCTGTCGTTGTGTCCTTGGGCAAGACACTTAACCCCACTTTGCCCCAAGCCCCCACTGAAAGATCAAGGCTATGCTCACACTCAGAGAGCAGCCGTCCTCCTGTGGACTCACCACCTGCAGAGGGTCAGTGAGGGGCTGGTGCTATGAGACTTGGGTGGCATCTCTGACTGCCACCCCCCTGACCCAGAAATGGATTAAAGGGTAGAAAATGGATGGATGGATGGATGGGTTGGAATCCTTACTGAGTGGAGTTTGCATGTCCAGTTTCCTCCAGGTGCTCCTGTTTTGACATTTGTAATAGCCGCTAAAAGCTACTAATACTAATCTCATTTCCCTCTTGGATAAGTTCTTTCTAATTCTCCTCATGTTTCCCATGAATGTAACAGTTTCCTACTCTGTGACAGATCAGTCGCGTGCAGAGATGTCCAGTTCTATTGCAGTGGCCGGAGCGGTGATGGGTGCTGTCCTCGCCCTCTTCCTCATAACCGTTTTCATCATAGTCATCATCACTGCACGCAAAGCCCCTCCACCATCTTTCTCAGATAAAGTGTAAGTATATAATTTATGTTTATGCCTTGTTTAATTAATGACTTGTGAGTTTAGACCAAAATATAGGACGACTTTGGTGCAGAAGTGACAGATTGGCAGGAGGCCCTTTACCCCCCTCTGATGTGCAACTAAACTGAACTTGATAATCTATGCAGCAACACAAAGTACTGGTTAAATAATTTACATGGCTTTGTCCCAAGATGACACTGTCAGATGCGTTATTCTGGTTCAAATGAATTCTTCTTCTTTCTTTTTAATCTACATTTTTGTATTATGTAATCAAATCCACCCGATGTCCTTTCTGATTCAATACTCGGATCATGAAAGTGTTCCCATTCGAGAGAACCTATGCTATTTTGTGCCACAGTGACAGATTTCTTTTTTCATTTTTCCATTCCCTTTTTGCTCCAAGAATATGTTTACTCACCTTCCAATTTTCAGTTTTTGGCAGATTTGTATTTGGTTAAAAAGCTGCCAGCTCATAAAGCCTATGAAAACAGCAGACATTTTGGCGAGTGACAAAACAACAAAAGAGCACCGGTCGGAACAGGGAGTTTTTATTACAAGTGCCTCTTAATAGTTTCTGCCACCTTAAAGCTGGGGTACCTTAGTTTCAAATAACAAACTATTTAAGTATGAACTAAAAATCCAAATCCAAAAATCCATTTATCCATAAATCCAAAGCAGTTTGGTTCTATCACTAGTTTTCACATACATGTATTTTTTAGCCTCTGTCACAGCTTTTTCAGACTGAAAAGTGAAAAAGAGAGGATTTTTCTTACAAGTCTGAAAAAGAAATTGGTTTTTCTAATTAGATGATGACTCACATTTTACTTTTACAACTCTTCTGTTCTGCAGGTGGTTGTAAGATGTGTATGAAAAGTACTTTGAAATCAAACCCTCTATATATGGAATCTATGCCTATTTGTTGACTTACACAGTATTGTTATGTGAATGTATGGCTGTTGTGTGGGGAAGAGCATTGTGAGTCTCTGGTCAGTGCATCAGTACAGGGATACTACAGATGCTAAGTTGGTCTGTGGACACGACCAACTTAGCATCTTAAGTGTGACCCTGGCTGCTGTCCTGTGTGTACTGACAGGAGGAGGAGGAAGGGACAGGGACAGCACTTCACCCCCTCATATCACTCCTTGTATCACTCCTTATCCCCATAACGAAAGAGCCACACTTTAGAGCGATTTACAGCACAAGGAAATCAATGTATGTCATGAAACGCACTTATGAATGACTCTGGCCAGTGCGCTGAATTTGTTTTAGTGGTGGTTTGGGAATATTGTGAATGAACCTCATCGTCTTTCTGCCAGGGAAAACCCGACAGAATGTGATGCCCGCTTCTCAAATGTTTCTGCAAAGTGGTTTTTATCTTATGGAAACCCTGTGCAAATCGAATTAATATAAATTTTACAGTGCACATCACAGGTTAGACTGTCAATTGCACTATATTTAACACAAAAGCGTGTCCAACTTACACATGCGTTTTGCCTTATAAAACCTGCAACACAACCTGGTTACCACACTCCCTGGTCATCTCACCTTCATTTTAATTGGAAAAAACAAAATCGGGAAAAGTCTCCATTACTGCTTTTTTCCTGTCTCTATTACTAACCCTATCCCTAACCATGTTTTTCAATTTTAAAACTAAAATAGAAATTACTTACTTCTGTGCCTGCAAACCTTAGATGGGCTGCAGAGAGAAGTGTTTATAAACCTTTAGGCGCCAGCATTGCTTTGAGACAAAGGTGACACCCTGTAACTTAATAAGAGATAGTGAACTTTATTTGATAATGGAAATACATAATAAGAAAAATGTAAGGAGGCGTTTATGGGAAGACAAGTCACTGTATAAAAAGTGTCCTGGATCAAGGACCTTATGTAGCAATTCTGGTAGGGCAAAACACTAATATGAAGTCTCAATACAATTAAACACTGGGATTGTCAGAAGTATTTATAGTCCGATGATAATTGATACTAAAACTTATTCTAATTTGTATTATTTTCTGGTATCATGTATCATGACACTGTTCTGCAGGCTGTGCTTCAAACTGAGGTAAAATATAAAACTGAGGTCAAAGATAATTTTGTAATTTGCACTTGAAATGTTTTACCAGTCTCTAAAACGAGGAACCCTGGACACAACAACTCAATGTAAATAATTGTTCTTCTCCTCCCAAGGATTGACCTGCCTCCCACCCACAAGCCCCCTCCACCTTACTCTGAGCGTGCGCCCGCTGTCCCTCTGGGGGTCCACGCATCTCAGGTGGCATGGCTGTGTCAGGTACTACACACGTTTCCTTCTTTGTTTTATAAATGTTAACGCTTGGCTGAAGAGTGATGATCGATGAGTCGAATAAAAGTGATCCACACTGCAGCCTTGTTTGTCTTTGCTCCTTAGCAAAATGTATGTCCACCGCCCAAATGTTTTATATTTATTATTTACTCAGCTGACATATGTATTATTAATGTGTTCACACAAAAATAGATGTCTAGTTCAGCAACAGTGGCCTGGGACAAACTTAAAGCTTGTGTACTTGATTTACAAACCAAAAAAAGGAAGTATTTTGAAATCTATCTCACTCCATATCTGGAAAGTCTGGTATCTCAGCGGTCAGTGTCAAATAGTCAGAGCAGGAAGTTGTTCAAATGTTTTGAAATTCAATGAAGAAAATGTGTTGCAGCTAAATGTGTGTGTGATTTTTCTTTTTAAACATAGTCCTGTGTGAAAAAAACAATAGTCTAATTCCTATGAAAAACAATTGGGTTTAGGGCTTATATTAATTTTGGTTCATTCTTCTTTACTTTACTTTACACCTCATACACTGCCCCACAAAACATTATGTATTCAAGGGCTTGGGACTTTTAATAGATCAAAAAAGTGGGCTAAGTTTAGCTACAGTTTAAAAACAATGTCTTTACGGGAAAGAAAGTCTCCAATATGCATTAATGATTAAGAGTTTACTTCCAGGCTCGTCGGGCAGAGCACAGGTACGAGCAGACGGAGACCGCTTCCTCCAGGTGCAGACAGGGGAAGCAGCCCAGCCCCACCCAGCCCCCGTCCCGCCTGGAGTGGGTGTGTCACCAGAGTGGGACTGAGCGAGTCTTCATCAACCACCGTGAACACTATGTATAAGGCCCAGTGCTGAACCATGTAGAAAAGGAACACCGGACACAACCCGAAAACTGTTGTTGTATCATCACCATTCTGCTCCTTATGCTTTGATCATCAGGGAAGCAACAGACACTGCCATTCTGTATGGACTGCACATATAGATTTATATAGGAAACACTTTGTCTTTACCTCTTTGGACTGCAATGTTGTAGGACTTAAACATGCTACTGTCAATGTCATCTATAGGAGCTATAGCTTCAGTAAGAACAACAATTCTTTACATTTGGAGTTAGTGAGAAGTGACTTTACAAACTAATTCATAGAACCATGTATATGTTTGTATATAAGCCAGACAGTGACATAAAGGGACATTACCAATTTGTATATTACCCTGGAGAACTTTGTTTAAGTGCCATATGTAATATTTTTAAGTAAAAATTAGTCTTGTAATTGTTTGAGACACCTACTTTCCTCTGCACCTGTCACAAGGACAAAGAGAAAAGCTTCTCCTAAACAACAGCGTGGAGAGAGCTGAGTCACGACTTGTGGAAAGAAGGGAGAAGTCCTTGAATGTTGCATTTGAACTGACGTGAAAAGGATTTGCACTGATTCTTCCATCTTCATATGCTGTCAAAGGCCATTGAAAAGATAAAGGATACCCCACCTATGTTTAGAGCACACTACAACCCAACAAGAGGATGACATCATGTCACTAATGTAACTTAGGGATGATACTCATGAGGATGCAACCAGAATAGAGGACTCAGTTTGTGTAGGAGGATATTTGAGAAGAGTGACACACTGTGGCCACAGAGGGGTACTACACATGGGGCAAGAGATATGTTCAGTTTATCCTATTTTAACCAAGAGACGATGCGTGGATAGATTTCTAAAACGACCTAATAAATCAAACATTACTAATAGGGTGTTTGTGTTTTAATTGGGGAATATTACAGCAAATTATCACAGTATAAAACAATAAATACCCCAAAGATTAGGTAAAAATAAACATTCAGTTGTCCAGTTGTGGCTATCATATTGTTCTTTTAACCAAAAAACAACGCATAAAATGTATAATATCACATAACGAAGCCTCACAACACAGTTGTGGCCGGTTGCTCTACAGGTAAGTCTACTTAATAAGCACATACATTCACAACATTGCATAAACAATTGTTCTTTAAGACATTGTAGTTTGCAGCTGCGTTTAATCACTGATAACACAAACATGCTAACAGCTACAGCTAGCTTTGCCTTGAACTTTTAAAACTTGCTAAAACACTGACACGTGTTTATTTAAATTCTAGATATGTCTATGATGCATTGTCTAAATGTGCTATAATGACTTTTAACTATGGGCAATAAGTAACACTTTCGGTGCGTTTTCAGCTCTACTGATTAAACAAACTGTGATGTTGTGAAACCCCAGAGTTTTCCGTGGATACATTCCCCTCTCTCTGAACTGAATGCAGCTTTGTTTCTGCTGTCAGGATCAATTAAATCTTGCTCCCATATACAAACATGGAGGAGGTGAATATATGGAAATGAGCTGCCCTCCAGCGGCCTCACACCAGATGACCCTAAACATCAAATCCGCCTCCCTACAATTTACACAGTTATTTGGACTTGGCTTTCTGTTTGGCGGCAGGTGCAGCGACTGCAGCGGCTGCTGGTGCTGCTGGTGCTGCTGGTGCTGGTTCTGAGGATGACGATGGTCTCACTGACTCGTACAGGCTGGAGAAGCTGCAGAAACATGTGAGCAGAGTATTATGTGGTGATAGTAAGTCGTCACAGGTCTAGTGCATTATTTATTCTATACTCAGTGGTGATAAGCTACAACTGTGACCACAGCTGCCCTGGGGCTCCTTTGACCACAATCAATCAATGATGCACACACACCAGATTCCTACTATAGACAACATGGGTGAAGTGTTTTGCCCAACGACACATCAACAGTCTAACACTAGGGCTGTTCAGCACAATTTACCCAAAGGTTGGAAGAGACCCATGGTTTAGGGCACTTTGTGTTCCATTTGAGTTTCAGGAGAATAATCTTTTTGACAACGTAGGTGATAAGTCTAAACCAACATTGCTCATCCCAACCTCTACTGAACCTCTACTGAACCTATATCATACCTTCTTTTCCAGAAGGTATGATATATATATATATATATATATATATATATATATATATATTGGGTCTTTTCCAGAACCAATCAGATTAACATCCTTACTCAGAATTAAAAATTGACAGTTGAGTAATTGACAGTAGCTAAGCTGAGCTCCAGCTGTATTGTGACCCCTGCTATTCTCAGTGGTCTCCCGTCTAAGAAATTGCCAGGCCCTGCACTGCTTACCATCTGATTAGGTTTGATAATCAGGCATGTCTCATGTGTAAGTGTACTGTAGATGGACTTACAGGTTCTTGATTTTCTTTATCAACGCTCTTACTGCTCTCATGATTCTCCTTATCCGTACCTTAAAATCATTTCACAAATATCAGAAAGCTGCATTATAAATAAGAAAAAGATTTTTTTATTGTATTTTATACGTACCTGCTGCTTTTTATACAATATAGGGAAAGAGAACATGGCAATTACAACTGCAAAAACAAACATAATATGTTAGCTACAATTTTTTTATGTTAAATTTATCTGTCTTCGAGATGTGCTATTGTTGACATTTGGGAGATGCTAGTGGTTCTCACCGGTGATGACGAGAGTGAGTCCAGTGGTCATCACACCAACGTGTGTCAACAAGTACAGGAGCACTGCAAACTGAAGAGAAAGTCTGGTCACACTCGGCTTCTGAGCATCAGGGCTTTATCATGTTTTATGTAAATACTGGCTCTTTGAAGGTTTTAAATTATTTTAATTATTATGGAATATGTACTATCTATTTGTGTTATTTGGAAAACATTTCCTCAGCATTAGAAAACACCAGCCAAAGTGCTGCACAAAACATAATGTCAATCTAATATTGAATCAACCCTATTTTTTCTAGTTAAATCAAATATTGAGCCATGTCAACAATAATGTGAGATGTAACAAATTTCTGACAGATCTTTTTGACACTACAGACCTTGATGGAGTCGACTACGCTCTCGATGAAGAGCAGTCGTTTGATTTCAGTCACCGCAAAAGCGACCAACAGAACCGCTTCCTCCACCAGCGCCACAGTCTCTTTATCTGTCAGAGTGTTGTCATAGTCCAGGTACGACCTGCACAGACACAGTGGACATCAGTTAGACCACAACATTGCCTGATCTTTTTGGGCTCATAGCTGTTTTCTGTCTAAAAAAGCCTGATGTGACAGAGGGCAAACATACATTTGTTTTGAGTGTGAGAAACTAATAATTGGATGATGGATTTTATTAAAGGTTGGTTTGAAAGTTAGTTTCCCCAGCCTTTTGTCAGTTTTCTGCCTCAAAAACTAATCTAAAGATGTGACAAAGACCAACAAAAATGTGAAAAAGACGGTATAGAATATAATATGATATGCAATGATGATAAATAGTAACATAATAATACAGTAAAAAGATTGATACTCCTGTGACTTTTGTTACAAGTGATCAAACACGATGCGTGAGTTTGCAGACTCACTGGAAAGGGTGCAGTCCTGGGTTCCAGCGCATCAGCTCCAGCAGTTTGTAGTAGAGGCGTAATGTGAAGGTCACACACAGGACGCCCAGACACACATGGGACAGGACCGTGATGGCACTCAGCTGAAACATACTTGCGAGGGCCACCACCAGCCCCGTAAACACTATCCCTGTCTTACGAACCCTTTTCCAATAGACCAGATCCATCACTGACAAGAAACGCAACAGAACATCACCAGGTATTCTCAAAAACAATCTTGGTTTATGTTAGAAAATGTAATGATACGGCTGTCAGAAAAATCCTGTCAGAAATGCAGAACCCAAAATAATCTTTTTACTGACCAGAATGCTGGACAAAAATAGCGTATATGTTGAAGACATTCTTCTAAATTGCATGAATAGAAAAATAGCAATATACTTCTCAACTTTAACTTTAATCTCATTGTGAACAATGTGCAAACAAAGAGTTTTCATTCATTATGTGATGGTGGGGATTACATTACTCTTCACATTACTCTACGTCAATCACATTCAGCTAGACATATTAAAATAACAGAAGTTGATAATCAATCAGTGCTTAAATCTCATTTAGCTGTGTTGTTTTGTCCATCTGTTGTCACATGAAAGACAAGCTGGACTTGAGGGCCACCTGTGCCCAAATAAATCCTGGTCTCTGCACTTGACACTGACAGCTCACATTCCACCTGACTCTCATTCTCATTTATTCAAACATTCATCTGGATTTTCTTACATTTAGAAGCCATTTCTGCCGTGTTCCTGCCTGGTCTTCTCTCCTCTTTGCTGGCTTCTAGTGCAGGCTTTTTTTGGCTTTCCCAGCCTGTCAGCAATATAAGGCTGGGCTGGCCTAATTTTATCCTGTATTGGATACCCCCTGTTTGGATTCACATACACACTCAAAGAGGAACCTGAGCCTAAAGCCTGTACATGTCCCCCTGCGCTCAGTCTCTTGTGGGTCCTCCGTCAGTGAGCAGTCCTGCCACCTCAGGGAGCCACATGCGGGGCACAGCAGCCATTTCATGTTCCCTTCATGTTATTTCATGGTCTCTGTGCCACCATAGAGCTGGCTCTTATTATAGATATTTATTTTGAATATTTTTCTATCCAAGTTTAGTAATAATTTCATTTAGCGGGTGTTGTGAATATTTAAATGAAATAAATAACTCTTTTATTGTAGGGATTATTTATGAGTCATACATTTATTGATATATTTTTGTCTTTTAATATGTGCATTATTCTATAAAAGTACTATAAAAACTAAGTTGTTAGGATTACTATGATTATTATGTATAACTAACAATAATGATGATTATATCCTATGTACTAAGTAAAAAGGCTGTACACAGGAGCATCTTTCTCTTTACTCCATCTGGTGGTGTAAAAAAAACAAGCAGCCTTCTCAAAACAATATACTGTACTGTCTATCCAGTAAAGTGTATGGAGTAATCCTATAACAAGCTTAAAAACACAAACAAAACACACACATTTGGGATAATTTTGTTTTAATCTAGTGCATTATTTAAAAAAGATACTAATACTAAAAGCATACTAATTCCTACTTTAAACATACTTCATAAAACATATATTATACATTATCATAAATTATCATTATTATATTATAAGTATGTTTAAAATATTAATTTATATGAATATGAATTAGACCAGGCAGTTTGTTTGGTACAGTCCATTAACTTTACTCTTCTTCTTTTTCAGATAATCCAGATGCGCAGAGAAGGACTGAGGGGAATCACTGAAACCAAGATGTGATTGTAGTCAGAAGACAAGACTCGTTACTTGTTATTAGTAAGTCTGTTTGGAGGTTAAGATAAATATAGCGGAGATAAAGCTAAATTCTTACAGACAAAATCAAAAAGCATATTTAATGGGCCTTTATTTTTGTTGGTGTTTTGCCAGATTGACGCTCTGTACCTTGTTTTAGCAAATTATGTCTGTTCCCATTTGCGGAGAGTCCTTGGTTGTTAGTAAATAGCCATAATCCAGAGCAGTCCATAATCCAACCGATCAAAGAGTAAGATTAACAGGGTGGGAGGGGGTAACTGCAGATAGGAGGATGCTGAGGCGAGTGAGCTCAGACAGGGATAAACCAGGCCCTGATTGGCTGGCTATTTACGTCCACCAATCACAAAGCTGACAAGGAAAATAACAAGGCAAAAACAGAGAGCTGGGGAAAGAGGGGAGAACTATGAAAAAGCGAGGGAGAAGGTTAAATCGCAAAAGCAAAGAGCAGAAGAGAATGATCAGTGCCAGTTCTGAAGTCTCCAGAAGGACAAAGGAGAGGGGGATGAGCCGTCAACACAGAGCAGCAGCATCCGCTTAGACGGCCATGCTCTGAGCCCAGAGCACGGCTACGCACTTAGGCCTCCTTCACACTAGCAACCACCACGACCTGCTTTCACCACAGCAATGAGGACCTCCAGGAAGGGCAGTGTGGAGATGCCTGCGTTTGTGCGCCAGCTGGTCAAGGAGACGGAGAAGAGGATGAGCTCATTTTTCAAAGGTGGCCGAGGAGGAGCATCTGAGGGGGAGCATACAGCAGAAGGAGAGAGGGAGGAGGTGATACCCAGCCCGTATCTTGACAGGCCTGTGCTGGACAAACTGACAGAAGAGGGCTCTACACGGTGGGGGCTCACCTATGCCCTGGGGAGCATGCAGGGCTGGAGAGCTAACATGGAGGACTTCCACAACTGTGTGCCCCAACTGGGAGGAGAGCTGACCGACTGGAGTTTCTTTGCTGTGTTTGATGGCCATGCAGGCAATACTGTGGCACAATATTGCTCCCAGCACCTTTTGGGAAACCTGCTGAGCACAGGTAATTAAAAAGTTATGTAACAGAATATGTAGATAATATAGACTGTGGTGACAACAAGTGTTAAACAAATCATTATGTGTGCATTGATGTTTGCTCCAGAGAGCCATTATCTATGTCACGCTGTTCCCCAATGTTTCAAATCAGTCTTTAAAATGTTTTTTGCTACAGGGGGAATGGGACCAGAGGATGACCCTGAAAAAGTGAAAGACTCAATCATTGAAGGCTTTCTCCAAACAGACAAGCATCTTCAGACAGTGGCCCGCAGAGAGGGATGGGAGAGGGGGGGCACAACTGCAGTGGCCGCACTCATCTCTCCATACTACATCTACTTTGCCAACTGTGGTGACTCCAGGGCTATGATCTGCAGGTCAGGCCAGGTTTGTTTCTCGACCTGTGACCACAAACCGTACTGTCCTCTGGAGAAGGAGCGCATCGAGAGCGCGGGGGGGTCTGTGTGTCTCCAGAGGATCAACGGCTCCCTGGCTGTGTCCCGCGCACTGGGGGACTTCAGCTACAAAGGGGCTGAGAACAGGACTCCATGTGAGCAAATGGTGTCTCCTGAACCTGAGGTGTTTGTGCTGGAGCGTTCCCCGGCCGATGAGTTCCTGGTTCTGGCCTGTGACGGAGTGTGGGACACGATCACCAATGAGGATCTGTGCGCCTTCATCCACAACCGCCTCCAAGTCTGCACTGACCTGAGGGACGTCTGCTCTCAAGTCATTGACCTCTGTCTGTATAAGGTCAGTGCACTCAAATCATCAGGTCTCGGCTGATTAGGGAGTTACATCATTAGAAATACACTGCGGTAGCTGGTGACATAATCATATCCAACACTCGAACAAACAGAAGGTGTGAACAATCTCATTATAGGGATGGTGGTGGGTGGTTCGTTTTATTGAACGCCATTGTAGCCTACTTCACAAAAAGAGAAACCATTAAAGTGATTATCTGTTGTTTAAAGAAACACATATTCTAGGAGATACTGTTAAAGCTGGGGAAAAATTAAATAATACATATCTAACTAGTTACTATAGCTCTTTACATAATTTTCTTAAACGTAAAAGTGAAAAAATAGTGCACTGCTCTTACTCAGCCAATCAGCTCTCAGCACAACATGCTCTTTTCCTATATTCTAAGATTAACATGTTTTCTAATAGGATGAAGAAAACATTTGACTTTTACAAGACTCCTGTAGTTGGGACAAACAAAATGTAATGCTGAAAGAAAACAGTGTGATACCCCATCTTTAATTTGGCTGAACAGATTCATTTCAATCTTTTGCTCAAGTCTCCTTGCAGCCTGTTTCTTTCACAGCAGGCGTAAATAACACCCCCCTCTCTTTTTTTGTAATTAAAATACAACACAGACTGTCTGCCGAAAATAGACCTGAGTGTGATAACGAGGAGGGCAATTCTCAGTTCATGTGAGGACTCTTTTCTTCCACTTTTACAGTATAAGTGTGAGACTTGGGATAATCTTGAGAACATGTGCTTTGTGGCCCAGCAAAAACCATCAGGTCATCTTTGGTCCATTAAACATAAATAATGTTTATGGTCAGAGCACAGTACACTCGTATCGCCGCAGGTCAGAGGGTCCGCAGCTGTATTCAGGCTGGTTGTCATGTCCATCATGTCACTGAGTTATGTAATGTGAACTTCAGTGTACACACAATCACCTCAAGACATGAGCATATTCCTTCGTTTACATTTTCCGCTCAACTGCTTGGTTGTAATGTGCCGATGTTCCTGTCTCGGCACATTTACTGGAGTTTTCTACCACAGCTCCCTCCTGACATAAGTTATATTCTGTCTAATGAGATTGGCTGATGGCACGTTTTGCTTCACAGGGCAGTTTGGACAACATCAGCATCATTGTGTTGTGTTTCCCTGGCGCCCCCCAGCTGTCGGCGGAGGCATTGCACCAGGAGGCTGAGCTGGAGGATCTGCTGGAGTCTAAAGTGGCAGGTTTGTCCTACGCTATTTCTTCTTTTCTTTCCCAATTTTAAACTGATTTTCACCCTAAAGTGTTGGAAAACCTCACTGCACAAATCTACTAAGCTGTACAAAAGCTTTTCTCACTCAAATCCAACCAGGACAGCAGAAAGAAGCTGAGTAAAACTGTGGAATCAACTCGAGTATGAAGTACTCTGCAAATATCCACATGTTTAAGAAGATAATCAAAGCAGAAACGATGAAACCATATAAAATTAATGATTACAAATATGGAGAAAATAAATTCATAAATAAGGATTAACATTTTAAATGTGTTACTGATTAAGAAAGGGGGAGGCAGCATGAGATTTTTTTTCGTCTTTCACAAACATGTATAATCTATGAAACCTTTCACAGTTAAAGCTTGGAAACTTAACATTTGAAGCACAAAAAGTTGTCATAAAATCAATCCAACTCGTTTCTCGCTCTCAAAACAGTTTGGTTTTATCACTAGTTTTCATGCATGTATTTTTGGCAGTTTTTTAAAGACCACCTTCACTCAGTCAATCAGCTTTCAGTCCCAAAACATCAAATGGGTCTCTTTCCTACAAGTTTGAAACAGATAAAAAAAATTCTAATAGTCTGATTTGTTCACAACATTCTACTTTATAAGATTATGTCTGTATTGTGTTATTTTATGAACAAAAAATTTAGATACCCCCAGCTTTATTATACCTATAAACAATAGGTAGTGTTTGAATGCAGTTTTGATTGTGACTTTCTTTGTTGATTCTGTTTTAACAGAGATTTACGAAGAGTTGTGTTCCACCGGCGAGGAGCCCGATCTCCTCTCTGTTCTCACGGTCTTGGCCTCCAGTGTCATCCCTGGTTTACCCCCAGGAGGCGGCATTCAGAGCAAGTAAGAGACGTCCCAACAATAAATATTTCTGTACATTTATTTTATAATTAACACACAATTCTTCTGGTTTTTAGGAGGAACTGCATAATCTCTGCATACTATCAGCAAAAAGAGCTACACAAGCCAACTGCCCCAAATGTAAGTGCACTGCACAATATGGAAAAAGTCGTCGGTAATTACCAATATTTTTCTTGTTTTCAGTGATTGTGAAGTTCTTAAATGGATTTGGGGAAACCAGAAAGTGGCTGTAACTCGTGTGAATATAAAACATTAGTGCAAAAGAGATAGATGTTTGTTTACACTATGTTGACAAGCAGCACCTTTTCAGGAAAATGCAAGAATGGAAAGAAAGCTTAAATACTATTTATATTTGTACGTTTTGTAATTTTCTCAGTGACACATCCTGCCTCAGTCATAATGGGCTGTGAAACTCCAAATAACAACTGTGACAAACGTATTTCAGGTAAACAGGAGTAGCACACAGAAAGTGAATAAAAAGTCAAACATTTATTTATATTCAACTTTAATTCACCAGGAAAATGTTGTGCTCTAGTTTGTAACGTAAAGTGCTTTTGCGGATGGCAAATAAATAGGAATGTTCATTTGAAGCTAGGTTACAGGTCAAGATATTACAGTAGCTTAAAATATAGATTTGCACATTGTGATAACATAAAACAAAATAACAACCATCTCATCATGAAAGCTGCTGGGGGACCTAACTTTTGTTTCCCATGAATAATACATTGTTTGTCCCAACAGAAAAACCTGTTATCTTTTACAGACTTGTAAGAAAGAGCCTTGAGAGTCACTATTTGATGCTTTGGGCTGAAAGCTGATTGGCCAAGTCTGGGTAGTCCTCTCTTTTTCACTTTTCTGTCTAAAATATTGATCTAAAAATGTGACAAAGGCCAAAAAATCTACACATGTGAAAACTAGTGATAGAACCCAAATGTTCTAAAACAACTCAATTGATTGAATAGTTAGATCGGGATTATCCATTTTCTTCCCCATAATCCATTTCTGGGTTGGGGTCGTGGTATTGAGAGCTACCACCCAATTCAAAGATTGGTTTCATGATATAGTTAGTTTCTCATTTAAAAGTTGGGTACCCCAGCTTTAATGTTCACAAGTTTTGCTCTGAATTCATAAAGTGTTACAAATATCTGCTGCATGTTGTGGATATTTTTTGGTTGAGTAAGACGTCGAGTGTTCCTTTCATTCCTACCGTTGCAACCGTGACATTTCCCCACTGTGGGACAAATACAGGTTCCTTATCATAAAGTTAATATATGAACAAATAGACATACATAAGTAAATGTATTTATTTTTTGTATTTATTTGCACGTACATCGTTCATAAAATGTAAGATTTATTTTTTCAATTGAAATTGTTGATAATGTATTTCCTGTGTTGCCTTATTATATTCTATGAGCTGTTATTTTCTGTGTAGAGATATGAAAAGGCATCATGATTGCTTTTTTCTCAATAAAGTTTGACCTTTCATTAGTTCAATCATTTTTTGCCACATTTGTGAATTGTTGATATTTGCATTCTTATATATTCTTATACTATAATCTAAACACTCAACTCATAGGCTTTATGCAAATCGTTCTCATCAAAAGGATTATTCGGGATTAACTTGCATAGAAAAGCATCTCCTTCGCCCGGCTTGAGTTTAAGTTTGTGATGAGAAGAGTGATTCTACATCTCTGTGTACTGCTCTTACTGACATAAGGACGTCCTTCAGCGGTCCAGATTGATTAGATGTGTCCACTTAAACCCCTGTGCCATGCTCTCTTTCATGATTACTATGAATTTCAATGACAAACAATTAAAGAAAAAGCAAAAAGAAACGTTTTTTTGTCCCCAATACTCACGGGTTATGTTGGCTCTTCCACCACTGACTTAGTGATCAAGTTGTATAAACCAGTGTAGTTGCGAACATAGGCCACGTGTGACCAAATATATATTCAAGAATGCACTTAAATCAGTGGCTCTCTTCAAATGCCCTTTAGAACGTCTTTGTATGATTGCATTTGTATGAGCCAATCACTTCATGACATCAGACATCTCTCCCTGTCCTTGTACTATTCTCTGCCCATGAAACAAATGCTTAAACACCAATTCTACTGAAAATGCATAGTTTCCAAGAAACCTTTTCAAAATGAAAATTACATCTTATTTGATATACAAAAGTTATTTTGGCAATTAAATGAGTCCGTACAACATCAGTTCCACACTGCTACCTGTCCACACTGCTACCTGTCCACACTGGTCTCCTGCAGACGGTTGTTCATGATGCCCAGAGCTCCTACTCCCCCGGAGAAGCCGTTCTGTTGCACGTAGCTTGGTCTCGGCCCCTGGTGAGCAGTTTCACACAGCTGCTTCTGAAGCAGGGCCAGAGACACTTTATTGGACACCATGAACTCATTGACGGAGATCATCTCTCCAGACATACGTCTGCCCAGATGCACGGCAGCGTCTATGGCTCCATCAGCCTCACTCTCAAACACCGTGTCCACGGAGTCTCTGCAGCGGCGCCTCCCTGGCGGGCGGAGAGAGGACGCTGGGTGCACAGTGTTGCACCTGAAGCGTTTTTGGATCAGACGTTGGGGAAGCCGAGTACGATGCCGGGACTTTTTATAAAGGCAGGGGCAGCAGAACTTCCAGCAGCTTGTGGCACAGTGGGAGCAGATCTGCAGAGAACCTGAACACAGTTTACTGAGGATCCAGTTCAAAGTTTGTTTAATGATGATGGATATAACATTAAAAAGTGAATATATGCAGCACACTCCCATGAGGATAAACAGACAGTTCCCAAAGCTGTACAGGGCTTGAGACTCATACTGCTGCCTCTGACTGCTCACCAGGTCACCAAAGCCAATGGTGCTGAACGCCACAAAACAGAAGTAAAGCGAGTCTATGTAACTCCAGTTCTCCATTGAGCTGTACAGTGTGGAAGCACTGCAGGCGATCACAACTGAAGCCAACCCAAGGATCAGCATCACATAATACACAGAGGGCTTCCAGCCCTCCAGACTGTCCTCCTCCTCCAGCTCTTCTCGACTTGTCTCCACTCCGGCACATCGCAGCCGGCGCTCATGACACCAGCGCATAATGTAGGCCAACATGGTGATGATGCGCTCCAGGAACAGGTTAAAGAACAGGATGGTGGAAGCACAGCCGATCAGACCATAAAAGATCAGGAAGATTTTACCAGCAATGGTTGTCGGTGTTGTCATGCCAAAGCCTAAAACGTAAAAATGTATATTTTTTATGAAGGATAGGGACGTTTTACATTAATCTGTAATGTAATCAAATAAATATGTCAGGTTACAGCAGAAACGGCGGGTATTACAGACAATCCAAAACAACAAAATCACAATATAAAATTAAGCAAAAGTTCAAATCTTTTTCTTTATCAATGTGAGTTTTCATAGTAGACTTGACTTCAGCACTAATTTATAGTATGCTTTTCTAAGAATGATCTAAACTCAGTCCAGTCTCAAAACCTTACGAATGCAGACTCACCAATAGTGGAGACCACAGTTCCCACAAAGTAGAGCGCTCCAGAGAAGTCCCAGCGTGGCCTGAGCGTGTCCACTCGGATGCCCGCTCTATTGGCATCTTCGTACTGTCTCAGCAGAGTGTGCAGAGCCCCCAGGTTCACCCGGTGTCTCTGGGTGAAGTTATCCACCTGTTGTTTCCAGCGTCTGCGAGCCACAAGCTCAAAGGGGTGTTCAAGAGCAGAGAAGATGGCAGCGCCGCACAGTAAGTAGAGCAGGATGAGAGCAGCCAGAAGGCAGAAGCGTGCGTTGTCTTCATTCATAGGAGCCCGCAGGCAGCCGCAGCAGCTCCGAGCTTTCCTCTGAGCCATGAGCACAGACAGCAGGCGCCACCTCCACTTCTCACCCACTCAGAGCTCCATGCATACACCAGAGTCAAGATGAGCAAATCAGAAGGCTGAAATTATGGTCAACACAAATTAAACAAAATGGATAATTACAAAAATGATTCCATTCACCTAAAAAAAGAGAAATGCTAAAATTAGTGATAAAGTCCAATAACTCTGGTGATGATATTAGGAAACATACCTGGAGCTGCCGTGTGCTGCTGGACTGGACGTGCTGAACAGTGGCAGGAGTTTTTTGGTCCAAACTGAGATGCAGTGATGACATCACCAAGTACCCACCCCCTTGTGCCCTTAGCACAACTTCATCAGAACTAAAAAAGCTCTAATTTCTATTTGATTTCATTTTTTAACAAAACTTAATAATTTATTTCATGGTAAAAAATCATGTTACTTTGCATTTAGTTTATTGATAAAGAGATAAAACAAATGACTAGGTCAAACATCGGACACATTGTGTATTGTATGTTTTCATCATATTTTGGATATGCCATTTTTATGTCTTGTATCAAACTGTTCAGAAGATCAAGCTACAGTAGAGGCTCTAAAAAGCTTTTTTGTTTTTCCTGTGGAGGAGGAGAATATTGTGGGTTTCCCTGTCTGCACATGCCTTTAATCTTGACTGCTGCCATTGTTGGGGGTGAAGGACCCTGGTGCCCACCGCTCCAGGTGTGGAAGACAGACGATACATCTGTTTTAAGTGTCTCTGATCTGCTCTCCAACACTAAAGCCTATTTTAAGATCAGTCATGCTTAGTGACGTGTGTGTTCCTTCATACACAGTTAGCAATAAATTAGTTTTTTCAGTGGGAAACAAAATAAACTGTTAACTCTGATATTCAAATTGTTTTGGCACCATTTAATTTCATCATGTATAAATTGTGCTTTGAAGTGTTTACAAAATCAACACATATGCATATGTTCACTGATCGAGCGACGTTTACATGAATCAGTTGAGATGTTGTAATGGCCCTGTTACCGCGTCACTTTAGGTGTTGTAGCTGTGGAGCATATTGTTCAGGATGTCGATGAGGTTGTCCAGGCCCCAAAGGTATCCGTCTTCTCGGTTTCCCTCCACCCAGGGAGATCTGTGGTCCACGCTGAAGTGTGGTGGGAGGGCCACCGTTTTTGCAAAGTCAATCATCCAAACTCCTGTTTTTCCAGAGCTTTCGTGTAAAAACAGTAAGGAGCTGCCGACGACCTGCAGAGAAACAATAACATGACATTGGAGAAAGTTGAACTTGTGTCAATATCTGCTTTTTCTATTAAAGAAATCCTTTGTGGAAAACTTGAGATGTAACATTTCAGGGGTAAAATATATACAAATTATTGTAAAAAATGTAAATTGGTGACACACATGTGTAATGTCAGAATGTGCACCTGTCATGTGCAACAGTTCCATCTTCTTATAACTTGGTCTAATCATCATTTTTTTGTTTTTTAGGTTTCTGGGACTTGAAATATGCAGCATTTTTGCCCTTTAACATGCTCTTGAGTATATTCCCTTTGACATTTCATGTTTCAGAATTTGAACCAATTAAAAAATATCATTATCATTATTTATGTTGCTTTCTACAAACTACAATTTTCAGACCAAGAGAAATAATAAATCTTAAGTATTTTTACACAGTGCACATATACTTCCAGGTTCCACTGCGTGTGTGACATTACCAACCTCATGTGTTTTGAAGAAGTCTGAGGTCTCCAGGACTTGCCGAAGCTGTTTTAACTGTCTCAAGTAACCCCACTATTGAAGAAAGTCTCAGTTAGAATTTGCATGGCATGATTTTATATGAGAGAAAAATGAGAAACACACTCACCACGATTTGCCTTTTAGATTCCACAAAGTCACTCAGGGCTTGCATCACTTGTTCTTTGCTTTTGGTCTTTTTAAAATTTGTTTGACAATCTTCATTTGGTTTCTGCATCAAAATACAATAGCACATTGTCAAGTTTGCATATGTTTACATCAAATTAGTTAGCACAGAAAACGATACAGGTTTTTTGTAATTGTACTCATCTAGTCAATCATACAATCCTACTGTCGAACGAAAATCGGAAAAATTATATAAAAAAATCAGAAATGGAGGAGCCCTCCAACAACCAATAGTTGGCTGCATGAAGCCCTGCAATGTATACATCTTGAAAAAATAAGGTCCTCAGTCATGGGATCCCACAAACGTTTCTACAGTATGTGGAACCCATAGATCCATGGTGGAACCTGGTCTTAAAATACATGGAGGATAAATTTAGCCATGGATGACAAGAGAGAAAACGAACCATAATGTTTTAGGCTTTCTTTATTATGCACTGATACAATAAACATACTTAATCTCTGTCTTGCTAACTTCCTTTTGAATTTTGATTCATTTATTATTATTATTTTTTCCCCTTTCCTTTTTCTCGGTATGGATGTGTGAGGTGTATGTTGTTGTTTATTTTTTTTATTTTTATTTTTTATTGTTTTATTATAGATATACTTTTTTTCTACAACCTAACTTCCTTTTTCTATATATATATATATATATATATATATATATATATATATATATATATATTTTACTATTTCTATTATTTTTGTTGCTGTTGCTATTATTTCTTTGTTATTATTAGTATCACTATTATAATTATAAGATTTATTATCATTATTAATTTTTTTTATTTTTATTTTTTTTTCCCGGCAGGAATGTCGGGGGGAGGGGGGCTTGGGGGAGGGGCTGTTTTTCTTTTCACTTCTTTAGGAATAATGGGTTTGGATCAATCAATCAATCAATCAAATTTTATTTATAAAGCGCTTTTCATACAAAAAGTGTAACACAAAGTGCTTTACAGTTTCATTTGTGCTTTTTGATTGCTTTACAGGATCATAGACTGTATGTTTAGATAATGGATTAGAGGTCAGGACCTAGGAGGCCAATTCTGTAAACATGCTGACTTTATTGTATTTACTGTCCTTAAAATCTGTATGTGCAGAAAGAAAAGAAAAACCAATACAAATATTTAAATATATATATAAAAAATCAGAAATGTACCAACTGTTAATTATCACTTGTATAAACTAAACCAGTTTTGTTACCTTTGATTTGCCTCCAAAGTGTTTTAATTATGGAAATCAAGGCAATGTTTTTAGCTAAATTGAAAAAAATAAGTATTGCCGTTCATAAAATTACCAGTCATAAAGCTGTGTGAAAGAGGTTGCACATAAGGTTTCTGAGGGTGTTGTTCTCGGTGCTGTAAATAGAGGGGAGAGAGGTAAGAATGTAAATGTAAGGGTGAAGAAGTGTGTGCGTGGTTGTGTTGACTGTGTTGAATGGTGCGTAAACATGGGGCATGAGAGAAAGTCAAAGAAATAAATTGAATGTATTTTAAATGAAATGCTTTATAATAATAATAATAATAATAATAATAATGCATCGGTTTTATATAGCGCTTTTTTGGACACTCAAAGACGCTTCACGTGTGTCATTATTCATTCACTCCATACACGGTGGTGATAAACTACTACTGTAGCCACAGCTGCCCTGGGGCACACTGACAATAAGTACAAAAGGTGTGACTTGGATGGATAGAATGAAGAATGTAACAGTAACAGGGAGAGAACGAGTGTAATGGTGACCTGGCTGGTAGAGCAGGTGCATGTGTACTGAGATGGTATGACATATCAGAGAATGGATGAAGAGAGGTTGACAAAAGAGAGATGAATAGTTGCAAGAGTGGTAGTAGACCGAGAGGGAGGCCAAGGTATGGATGGTATGATGGCTTAAAGAGAGCACTGAATGTGAGAGGTAAGACAGAAGCTGGAGTTTGCCCGCAAGATAGTGAAGCATGGAGCTGGATAGAACTGGTCAAAAAAAATTAGCGCAAGACCCCATTGTAAGACCTGTATGGCCAACACGTCCAGTTTATATCCATAAAAAAATCGAGTCAGTCGAGACAAAAGAGCAAAGTAAAAGTCCACAAGAAAAACAAAAGATGAGATTTTGTCCCATATTGTAATATTGCATTGACCTCAAAATTGCAGCTATAATTTTACGGGTACCTTAAATCCTTCGATGCGAAAACCAAGTGTGGTGGTGGAGCTCAGGGTCTCCCTCCACTGCATGTATCTGCTTTTCAGGACACCCTTCTGGGCCTGCTCCTCGGCTGTTGGGGCACCTGGATCCACTGCCACCATCTTCTCAAACATGTCATGGCGGGGCTGGGGGCGCTCACGAGCCAGCTGTAGCTCATTCTCAAGATATGTTCTGAAGGAATCAGGTATAAAAGAAAAAACGTTTAATTTCAGATGAATGTCAGGGGATAATACTTTTCTATGAGAAAGAAACATATTTAAAAAGGAATGTTGAACATTTCCAAATGTTTCCCAGATAATTAGTTTACAATGTACGCAAGTGAGTAATCTTTACTTATTTAGAGCATTTCACAGACCAAGGTCAAACGCTTTACAATGTGTTGGAGAACCAATATTTTCCATTCCCTCCCACTCACGATGATGACAAAAGCGAAACGCAGAACACACTGTTGCATCGAAGCCTCAACCATTCCATCTGTTCATTCAATTAAATCATACTGATTGCACATGTTTTGTTCATGGTAGGGAAACTGGAGCAACCAGAGGAATTGCAAACACAGGGAGAACATGCAAACTCCTCACAGAAAGGCCGCGTCTAGATATATTATTCTTATGTCTGAAAGTCCTTCCTACTGGTTAACATCATGTATAAGTGTTTTTATAATCTCATCATCTAGACACATTTATCAGGAAATAATTTGACCATAGATAGGAAGATGATGTTGATGAACTTTGCAAGTTTTTGTTATAAACAAAATATGTCTGGCTTTTGACAGACACCATAGTAAGACTTTTCTAACTGATCTCCACCACATTTTAAAACTATGCTGTTTGGAATGTTGTGATATCACATGATCGCAGCCTTTACGCAGAACTCTGAGATGTTGCCACAGTATACCTGCTGCCGATCTTGCAGTCCATAATGTAAGGGGAACTGAAATTGGTCAGTAGATTCTCCATCATGTTGTAATCCTGATTTTCTTTCTGCACAACACCGTAATACGCTGGAACAAACGGCCTCAAATGATCCGCCATAAGTTTCACGTAGCATTGCTGTTCCCCCTCACAGAACTTTTTCAACAGCGTGCCATGGTCTCCAACTTGAAAACTCCCTGTAATAGAATAGAAGCACAGCATTCTCAAAATAATGACATAACTATGCAGAATTATGCAAAAGTAAGGCCCAGACCTTCATGTCCCACCACTTGCTGCCACTGCTGGGGTGTTTTGGGGGTCATGGAGAGCGATGTCTGCTGACGGAGTTTTCATGTGTCTGCAAAGAGGAGACACAGACACTTCAGCCCTGTGTGGAGAGCAGACCTCAGACTTCAGACTCCGTTACTCAACTACCTGCTGTCTCCTTGGGAACAACCTAAACTAACTGAGGCGAAGAAGCCCATCAATGACAAACTGGACTCCAGGGCTCGTAAATTAACTATACATTTACAGAAGGGGGTATTATTCAGAGTGAACTAATGGAACGTTCATAATATTTAAAAAAGGCAAAAAAAATACTGTTAAAGACACTGAAAAGCAAGTCTTTGTTGTGGGTCTGGAACCTACATTTTTATATATATCGGGTGCTACCTGCTCAGCTGTTACTGGTGGCACTCATGCTTCTCAGCCAAAAAGTCGTAGATTCAATCTCATGTGGGCCTTTCTGTGTAGATTTCTGTGTGTTTGGGTTGGTTTCCTCTGGGTTCTCTGATTTCCCCCACTACCCAATACAAGCACCATGGATAAAATCTTCCAGCTATGGTCCTGACCAATAGCATCAGGAGCTGGCATGGTATAAAAACAAAATGATCATTGAATATTAAAGTTTGCTTTGTCTTTTATATTAAAAAGTTAACAGAAAAGCTAGACAGTGTTCCACTGATAGAAAACAAAACAAATCACTGTTTTTAGAAGTAAACTACAATCACCCATTTGTTTCCAGACATTGAACTGCAATAAGTTATTTTTTAGATGTTCCGTAAATGTCAACATTTACCCTCATAATTGTTGTTAATTATCAATATAAGAAAGTAAAGCTTGAGCTTCCCTTAAGCAGTCTATGCTTTTAACAGCTTTTAATCCCTTTTAACTGTACCTGTCCACAATGGTCTTCTCCTGCACTAAAAACAAAACATATAATGTACTTGTGTACTTGCTGGACATTTAAATGCATCTGTGTATAAACTGAACACCGGCTAAATTTTATAATAAACCCCCCCCCCCCCCCCCAAATATAGGCTGCACTTGAATATAAGCCAGCTGATGAAGCAAAACTGAAGAGACAATAGACGGCTGTTTTAATGGATCACAAGTCTAATGATTTAATGATTTAAGTGTTTCAATACCCCTTTGACTCATAAAAGCACTCTGGTAAACCCAATTCATTTTGGCAACACATGTGCTTCCTATCCCGTCAAGTACTTGATGGAATCAAGTCCAGTAAAACCCTAACAAAAAAAATAAAAATACACACATTGGACGCATTGCTATATAGGCCGCAGAATATTCACCTTGAAAAATGTATTAGCTTATAGTCCAGGAAGTACTGTACCCATTTTATTTAGTAGTGTAGTCAAAAGTTATTTCAGTCATATAAGTAAAAGTTATATTTATAATTAAGAAAAAAATGTGTGTGTGATTATTATGATGCTATGATCTATATATGTAAAATATGTCCTAGATCCGACAGGCGTGAAACTAAACCAATCGTAAAGTGCACCAAGAACGTTGCTATGGACGTCTGATCGAGTAATGTGAGCCTACTGCCTCTGGAGGGCAGCAAAGACAGCCGCCTAATGTCCGCGGAGGAAGAGACAGCAGCTCCCCCGGTAAAGACGAAGTGGGTTCCCGGGTGTTGAGCCGCTCAGACCCCGCTCAGACCCCGCTCATACCCGGGCTCGCGGCTGCTGCTCCCCCGCGCCCTCACGCACAGGAGCCATGGTCTGTGACAGGAGCTAACACTTCCAACAAACACCAGCAGCAGCTAAAGGTAAAACATCCACTATTTTTACAACATTATTATAAGCTCTCCCAGTTGTTGTCCACTTCCTGTCACGGAACTTCTGCTAAAGCCAAAACAACACAGTCACTTGTGTGTCTGTGCAGGATGCTCAAAGCTGCAGATGCTAACGATGCTACAAAGCACAGATGTTTACTGCGATTTTTGACCCAGAAAGAAAATCCTCTTGTTTTTTTTAAATGCATGTTATTTTCTTTCTCGCTAAATGATTATAGACGGTAGTATAGATTAAAAAAAAAAAAAAGTGTAAATACTCCCGTAAGCTGTAACGTCGTTTTTATGGATCAGCCTGGAGAAAGTAAAAACACTGATATTGAGAATCACATGGTCTCTGCGCGGCACCTACCTCTTCAAAACAAAAAATTAACGTAAAGATTCACGCTGGGTTCCATTCATATTATAATAGATCCATGCGTTTATCACACGGAGCGGAACTTTTCTGTAAAATGACGGTGACTCCTCAAGACAAGATACTCGCTTCCGCCCCTCTCGGTGTGTTTTTGTCAACACAGAATTCTCTACTACACACTGACATGCATTAAAGCTGAGGCACTTAGCTTTTTCATGAATAATATATGCTGTTTGTCTCAACGGAAAGAGTCTTGTAAAAGTTATAAGTCTGTGAACAAATCAATCTTTTTTTGATGCTTTTGGCTGAGAGCTGATTGGATGAGGGTGGTCCTATTTGTCATGTTCATGTTTAAGAAAGCTGGCCCAAAAACATGAGAAGCCAAATTGTTTTGAGATATTTGAAGTAGTTTGGATTTCGTCAGTTATTTTTATTGGTGTCCCCAGCTTTAAACCGGATTGGAGTCACAATTGATGTTCATCTGAGGAACGTTGTGTATAACTGATGTATTACTACAGTATGTTGTATGTTTTTAGCCTAAGAGTGTGTTTGTTTGTCCATGGATATTTTGCATTTACTAGGGGTGAGAAAATGGAATGAAATTGATGATTCAATAGTATTGCCATATTTGAGCCACAATTCTATATGATTGTGATTCTTAACATAGTGCGATTTAGCAACTGCAAGTATTGCGATTTGATTCTGCGATAAATTGCGAATCATATCCCTCATATTATTCAAATGCATTACAAAAATGTAGTAAAATAAGACTGCTCAACTGAATGTTTTATGGTCTGCACATTAACTGAATTGCAAAAACTTTATCCTTGAACATTCAGGACCTCATTACAGGACAAGACATAATAATTCTCTGGATAGGCGACCTCTCACATGAATGGGGCGCTCCCAGCACAGAACTTATGTTATTCAAATACAAGAGACTCGAGTAACATGAACCTCAGATGTGAATTATCAGAGTGAGTGAAACAGAGGATTATTTAAACAAATATAGCAAAACTTGTTCTCCTGTATCTTTTTTCCCCACCCCGAGTTATTTATGTATATTTTTGTGTGTTGTGGTTGTGTAAAAAAAATTAGAATTGTAAAGTTTTATGTTCAGAGAATATGAAAATCGCTATAATATAAGAAGTGCCAACGATCTGCCTAAATCCTTTCAGTCTGTGAATGTACTGTTTTATTTATTGATGTATTTATTGATGTATTCATGTTTAACTTTTATGGTAATAGTATTATCTTTATTAATACGATCCACAAAAGTTGGATTTTGTGATGCATTGATTTGTTTCAAAATTCTATGGATAATTTTTATTGAAACTATTTTTGAATGTGGAATTGACATCAACATGTTTTCATGATTTTCCCATGTACCATACTGGGAATATATTTTATATTTATGTTTTTATAATCTTAACCCTATCCAAATTATGGAGAATCAATGTCACTCATCTCTGCTTGTCATAAAACCCTTGACTTAAGTTACATTTTCTCTAAAAAGCAGTAGTCTATAGTCGCCATTATTAATGTGTGTCTTTCTGCTCGTCCACAGACTGTAAGTGATGGAGGAGCGAGCCGAGCTCATGAAGGATATTGTGTTTCGAGGTGTGGAGTTTGCCGTCAAGATGGAAGTGGACAATGGCTTATTGATTGTCGAAATTTCAGACTCTACAACAGCCGATCAGTGGAGAGGGGAATTTGATCCAGCCTGTGAGTACAATCTTGAGTATTATAAAAAACATTGTCCAGGCAATGTTAAAATGTTTTTTTTTTCCCAGATATTGAGGACCTCACTCGAAAAACTGGCAACTTCAAGCAGTTTCCTATATTCTGTAGCATGTTGGAATCTGCCGTTATGAGGGTACGCAAATGTGGATATTTCAACCTGAAAATACATGATATAAAACTCCCGTGACCCAGTCGAAGAGGAGAAATATAAATCTGAACTGACTGCACAGTGACGTGTTCAGTGAAGCGGCATATTTTCACTGAAGCGAATTCTGAAGCCACGTTTTCTAGTTGATTAAAACAAAAGCAAACGAGGGGTGAAACTAGTCAAAATTGTGGTTGGAAATCACTGTAGCTTGAATGTTTCATACATTACTTAATAGTGACGATTAAGACGTCTGAAAAGGTTTTCATAAGACAAAGAGTGTAAAGATGCTACCTCAAGCAGGTAATTAAGCAGTACTATCTTCTTTACACTCTTTGTCTTATACGAAGAACATTCTAAGCCTAAACATAAAGACACATTGAACTTTTTACATTTGATAGAGATGTATTTTGTCCATTTTGGTTTCGCATCTGGTTAAAATGTAACTGCGATGCCTGATATTTTTGCAGTCAAGTGATTCTGTGACTCTGGACCTGCTGACTTATGCTGATCTGGAGCTGCTGCGTAACAGAAAAGCAGGAACGTCAAGTCGCCCTCGTGCCAATCAGCAGTCCTCCGCTCTGACAGCCAAGAGATACCTCATCCTCATTTACACCGTGGAGTTTGACCGGTTTGTTTTCACGCCTTTCAAGATTTTTGAGCCCATACACGTTAATCAGAGACGACAGAGCTGCGTGATGAGACAAATGCAGTCTGTTTAGTCTCACACAAAGCTTAGATTAATTGGAATAAGAAAAGCATCTAAGACTAAACTGGTGGTCTGTATTGAGTGTAGAAGGACTAACTGAAGGCTGTCGTCACCTATAGTGTTTTACCTTATTGCAGAAGAGGCAGATTAGAGCTTTCTCGAATTTACTCCATGAGCTGGAATCTGGAGCCAAATTGGGGGGTGGCAAATGGCCTAGCAACCAAAGAGCCAATCAGGATTGCCCTTGAACTGTTCCCACTCGCGCTACTTGGGGAAAGAAAGGGACATTGTTATAGTTCATATCTGAATTTAAAGACATTGTCAAAATAATAATGCCAGGATTATAAAGCGAAAACGGTCATAGAGTAAGAGGAGTTCAAGTTCCAATGTTCTCAATAGGTGCTAAAGTGAGTTGGAGCAAAACTTAGCATTGGTTAGCATTGTCCATTCCTATATACATACATGTTATGGTATCAACCCCTCACCCCTGCACAGCCAAGTCCCTGTCCCACTTATTCACAGTGTCCTAGCTTTGCCTTAAGTAAGATGGCGGAAAACGGCATAAGACAAATATATCAACAACCATCTTTTATGACTTTCTAGTGATGTGGTCTTTTTACTATTTCATATTTATTACTGTTTTTAAGTCCGGGGTGTCCAAACATTTTAGTAAGAGGGCTTTAGTTCACCAGACTTGTCTAGGAGCCAACAACATGGACTTAAAACAGGAATCGGCACATTTTGAAATGAAAAGTTGGGTATGAAGAATGATAATGAGGTGTGAAGTTGGCTGAATGACACACACCTCAAAAGGGACATCAGTGCCATAGAATTTTGTGACACAATGGAAAAACAAATGTAAGTATATACAAATTAATGGAATCAAAAGGTTCTGAGATTTACAACAAGGTATAACATTGAGCCATTATTGGCGCTCTGGCCTTAGTTTGGACATGTTTTAAGTGATTAAAATCTAAAATGGTTTTATTGCTGTCTGTCCTGTCAACTTGCTTTGATTTTATTTTTTTTAGCATCCATTACCCGTTGCCCCTGCCCTACATTGGAAAACCTGACCCTGCTGCGCTGCAAAAAGAGATCAGAGTTCTACGGGCAGAACTGGGTGCGGTCACCTCTCGGGGAATCAACAAATCCGACCAAATGGAAATACAGCAGCTGCGAGAAGAGTATGTCCTACTATTATCAGGCATGAACACTGCTGTTGATCAGTGATACATATTTGATGCATTGTATTCATATTTTGAAGGTTGTTGCTGATAAAGGAAGAGAAGAATGCCATGACTAAAGTTTTGGAGCGACTTCAGATTGATGGAAGAGCTGTGACCCCAGGAAGAGAGGAGTGGAGAGCCAGAGATGTGGTTCAATCTCTTGAGGAACAACTTATGAAAGAAAGGGCCAAGAATCAGCGCTCTGCAAGTAAAAGGAGCCAGGAACAAAGACTTTTAATAGAACAGGTCAAGATCAAACAAGGCACATGTTAAACATGTTTGCATTGACTGTATATATATATATGTATGAATGTATGTATGTATATATATTTATACATGCATACATGCATGCCTTTGAAATGGCTCAACTTATAAATAATAAATAATTGCAATCTCTTTTCTGTTTTAGTTTGAGGAGCTGCGGGCATCGGAATGTGCTCTCCGCGCTCGAGTCAAAAGTCTCACCAATGAACTGGCGCTGCTGCGGAGAGGGTTAGACAATCTAAGCGTGTACTATATCCTTTCTTTCTCTTTCTCATGCACATACTTTTACCGATCTGAATAAGCCCGTTCCTCTTTTTACTTATCCACTGATGTGTGTATTTGTAGAAGAGTGACCCCAGTCTCAAACCGCATCGCATCTCGACCCGAAGGGGAAGTCTACCGATCGGTGTCGCGAGAGCGGAGGTCCGGGTACGCGGTGCTCCGGGCGCGGTCGGGGTCCAGGGAACGAATGGAGGAGAGGGTTCATAGATCAGAGGAGCGAGGCAGAAGGTCAGACTCGACAGGACCAAGAGGCCGCGTTCAAAGACCGTCCCCGTCTCCCACCGGTACAAAGACACACGTCATTCATTTGTCGTTCAAAATGATTTTTAATTAAGACCAATCACGTCCCATTTATTCCTTACTTTGTCAACCTCATTCTTGTTTTTTAAAATTGTGTGTACAGGTTCAAGAGGTTCTCGCTTTGATCCAACTGCTTATATTCAGGACAAACAGCGCAGACAAAAAGAATCAGATAAGTACGACTATAATTTACAGAACATCTGCATTATGCTTCATTGTTCTGGACTTTTAATGTTTCCTTCATCTTGTCAGACAAAGGAAAGTGCGGAGGGATCTGCTAACGTCGCCAGTGTTCCAGGAGAGGGGGCGGTCGCGTTCCAGAGAGCCACACCCAGCCATGGTGCGGTCGGGCAGCCGTGGGAGGAGCTTGTCCATCGAGAGGAGACTGAGCCGAAACTCCTCCGAAAGTTCATTAGTCGATATGGAGGAAATTACTAAAGCCTTTTTGAGGTATAATTGGACAAATCAAAGCAATCCATTTTAAGATTAAGGCCATTTCAAAAGTCTTGATTTGTTCATTCAACAGAGGAAGGAAACCGATGTACAATGGACCTAATGCGGTGAGTTGAAAATGATTGTGTGTCACCATAGATGATAGAAGTTCACCCCTCTTCCCAATAACCTACCTACCAATTATTATAATCTTTTTGATTTGACTTGTTTTATGTTTGCAGTCGAGAGGCCTTTTGACCCGAAAGCCATTGTGTAGCACACCAACACAACGATTAAGGGACAAAGGTAAGACTTTCCTAAATAATCTCATTTGAACACATTTAATCCCATGTGTTGTTTGACAGAGAGTTCTATTGATACCGGAGCAGAGTTGTCTGAGATCGATGCTCGACTGCAGGCCCTACAGGAGTACATGAGAGACCTGGACACTGGACGTTAGGAACTTTGTGAAAACTGTCTGAAAGAAGAGCTGCGTATGGCTCCGCTGCGTGCTATGACATCAAGGCATCGTCTTGGCCAAAGTTAAAGGATAATCACTAAAGAAATGGTGTCATAGTGAAGCTACTGGACCTTTGTCACATTTTAAAGGTTTTATAATTTAGACTTTATTCCATGTCATACCCATGGCAATTTTTATTAATGTGAACCTGTAACGTCAGATTGAACCACTTATGTCCATATTTTGTCCCTGGATTTTTAGACTAATTGTTCAACCTTTTACTGCAATGGTCACATTAATGGCACAATAAGATACATTCCAGGCAAAAAAAAAATAGGATATAAAGAGAAGGAAGGCAAACTAGAACATTCTTGGTGCACTTCAAAGCCCATTTTCAAGATACACATTACTTTGGTACTTGTTTGTACACACATGGGTTTTATTGCTCTTAAATGGTAAATTTGCCAAATATTGCATGAAATAGTTTCACTTGGCACATTACTATTTTGTAACTTTTTCTAACCGTTGAATATAATTTATATGAAACCATTTGTCCTTTTTTCTTATGCATCTGCTACACTAATAAATTCAATGTTTCTGAAATTCTGATGAATGTGATCACCAAGTGCAGGATGAAGTCAGTCATGAAGTATTGGGCTACACACAGCACTAAAAATGAATGTACATAATAGAAATCTTTATTTGGGGTGTCCAAACCTTTGCATCAGACTTTTTCATCCTGTGACTTGATAATTGACTTGATTCAGATCGATCAAATAGACGTGGGCAGTGGCGCCCTGTAATAATATTAGTATACAGGCAAAAAATCCAAAATGTATATTATAATATACATCAGCATTATTACAACAAAAACAAATCAAATGTGGAAACCAGTGGATTGGAATGTCAAAATCCAGTTTCCAGAATATGACCTAAACGTAAAAGTTAACATTTCAGATCGGCAGATTATTTGTAACCAAAATATTTATTGTAAATGGAACAGAACCTAATAATTACATATACATATAATGTGTCTGAATATAAGTGTTTCCTCTGTACAGTGAACTTTGAATTCTAACGTGATGACATCATAACATCTTTTACATCTGAGGATTAAGACACTGTTTTTGCTAAAAGCGCAAGAAAACATAGTTTGACTAGATAGTTCATATTGGGCCATAACAGACATATACAAATGTAATTCTCAAGATTGTCCAGGCAGGTTCACAGCGTGTGCACCACTCTTCCTCCGGACGTTCAGCAGGTCTTGAATGTGAAGTGTGAGCTGCAGAGATGTTCATACTTCAGTAAAAGTTCAGGGACTGTTCATGTCAAGCGTGTGTGTGATGTCACACTTACAGCCTGCTGCTGGGCGATGGACTCCCGATAAACAGCACGGCTGCGCTCCAGTGCTTTCTCATCACAGTCTTTCCAATGCTCAGACTTGGTCAGTATCTCCGCCTCGGGAAGGTGTGGGTACTGTTGTCTCTGGAGATTTGACAATAATGTTACAGGCGTCACAGAAAAATAATGAGTATACATCTGTTCAACGTCACTCACAGCATATTTGATGTATTCCTCCAATGAGTGAGCTGACATTTTCTGGAGCCTCATAAAAGCTGCAGATACATTTGTGCGGCTTTTGTTTAGTAGTTCCTGCAAAAATAGAATTGTTAAGCATGAGAGAGGAAAAAAAGAAAAATGCAAACAAATAATCAAAATTTACCATAAGCTTTTCATTGGACATGCCCTGCAGCAAATGCTGAATGGTGTTGGTTGGTGCAGGGACAGGTTTGGACTGAAAACATCGGAAGCATAACTTGTATTTCATGGTTTTTGGGAATTGAAATAAAAATAAAATGGCGTTTACCTCCGCCTCATACTCTGCCCAGGCCGCTTTTCTCTCTGCCTCACTGAGTTCCTCGTCTTCTTTGTGGTCCAAAAGAGATTCATGTTCATGAAATGAGACAACCTGGTCTTTACAGCTCTGCAATAACTCAGAGAGAACTGCGTCCTGGGAACGACACAGGGATTAAGTAAGTAAATGACAAACACAAAGGAGAAATGTGTTGCCTACCTTTGGCACTAACGAGGGCATTTTTTTGCCTCTGGATGAGGTGGGGTCATCCAACACGTCTGGGTTAAATGTATAAAGCTCAGTCAATTCAAAGAGCGTAAAGTGCCTCTCTATCTGCTGCTGATCGACCACTCGATTGGCCAGAGACTGCTTCGTCACTTGACGATCATAGATCTTTTCCTCCATGGTGCCCTAGTGATCAATATAACAAGAATGTACAGATGAAATAAATAATTAAATAAGATGTGATGACTTTCTTACCTGAGCCAAAAAGCGATAGACAAAGACAGGCTTTTGTTGTCCAAAGCGGTACACTCTGTAAATGCTCTGAATGTCATATGATGGGTTCCATGAGGCGTCAAAAATGATGACTCGATTTGCTGCCACAAGGTTAATTCCAAGTGAGCCAGCTCTGGTTGAAATGAGGAACAGCCGCCCACTAAAAAGCAAGTCAAATATTTACATCCAACTGGCAATAGACCTAATGTTTATCTTTATAATAGTCCAAATACCGTCCGTTGGAACAGTTGTTGAAGTCCTCCGCCCACTTCTTTCTCAAAAGGGCATTTGTAGAACCATCCAGCCGATAGTAGTCAATATTTTTTATCCAACTACCAGCTGTAAAACACTTACTGTTAAATACCTTTTCAAGGAATGTTTTTTTGATTTGTGCAATACCTTTGCCTTGTGTCACTCTGGCACGATGAGCTTCCTTTAGGAAATCTTCAATAAGATCCAAGGAGATCAGAGACTGACTGAACACCAATCTATTCAGAACATATTGTGTTGCATTTCAGTAACTGTTATGTCAACTATTGCACTGTACAACTTACACTTTGTCTTCAAGAACCTCTGCCCTTTTTAATATTTCAAGCAATAATATTATTTTCCCAGAGTGTCTTGGATCCTTGGCATCGCTATCACACACCATGCTCTTGTACCAGTCTTTGGTTGCAGCTGGACAACCTTCACCTACAAATGTAAACCATGCATTATATTTAACTCTTTGGTGTCTCTAATAGATTATCCTATTGTCAATAGACATTTTTCATTCATTCCCCATTTTTTCTTACAATATTCAATTACGGTAGTAACGTATTTGCATTATTGATTAAAGTAGTCCACCTTCTCTTACTAAGTTACAAGAAGTCACCTCTTGTCAACTTCACAATACGTTATTCAAAAACAAGCTGGTGCTTAAAGGGTTAACATTTGCAGCCATTATAAATACCTTCCATGGAAACTTCAGAGGTTGTTGGATTGTTCACGTTCTCATCTTTCGTAAAAGACAGACGCTTCTGGTTCCTGCAAAGCATAAGTCAAAAGTTAATCTTGTTTCCATTTTATCCAAATAGCAAATTAAAAGGTCTTACCCGTCAATCTGAATCTTGGATTTATTTTTCTTGTCATAATTTCCCTGCATCACCGATTATGTTAAAACATTTTCAAAAAGGTTCAATAATTATAATCTTTGAATAGATCTACCTTGACATTACTCAGATGAAGGCACCATGGATGAGTCCAGATTCTGCTGAGCATTTGGAAGTCCTTGAACAGGTTTGCACCGGCCCTGGCTTTGGTCCCTTCAGGCACTGTGGCCACTCCTGGGAGAAGTAAAGTGTAGTCAAATATAATATGGATCAAACATGATCAGGTCAAACGTCCCCTCACCTGAGATGTTATCGAGATAATGACGATAAAGCAGACACTGAAGAGGAGAGACTCGCACAGACAACACATACTCGTGTTTAGGAGGGAGAAACTGGCTCAACTCGGAATAATCTTTTCTCTAAAACAGAAATAATGACTTAGATACGGAGCAGTGCATTTGCTTAAGAATCATTTGTTTTTACCTGCACACATCCAACCAACATTGCATGAAGAACGTGAGCTCTGTTCTTCATCACTCGGACGTCTTGAGGCGTGGAGTCGGCGCACTGGCCGTTCTGTATGGGGTTAATGAAGCGGTTTCTGAACTCTCCCAAAGAGCCCAGCAGATTCTTCTTGATGAAACTGACCATACAATGATCTGTGATTAGGGGTGGGCGATATTGACAAAACAATTATCTCAGCTTTTTTCCCATATTCATTATAATTGTGATAAAATATGCTTTTAGGTGTCTTGGTTGAGGCTCATGCAGTAAATTCGTTTTTTCTTTAACTATTTGACTTTTGCTTATTTTCCGAGCAACTATGGTATTCGTTTAAAAAAAAAAGATATTCCCAACTTCTATCTTTGAAAAGACAATTTCTCAGGAGACTACAAAGATTATCGCTCAAGATTTCAGTTCAGACTTACACTCCACCAAATTATTCTGCAGAGGCGTGCCGGTTAACACCACCCTCCGTTTCGTTCTGATAGAATTCATGGCTTTAGAGATATTAGTCCCATCATTGCGCAGAATGTGACCTTCATCACAAATGACAAAATCAGGACCTGGAATGCAGAGAAGAAAGTTTAAAAAGAAAAAAGAAAAAACCAGACCGGCAAAATATGCAATGCAATTTTGTTAATCACTGCAGTATGACATAACAGCGATGGAGCGAGACCAACCACAGTGAAAACCAGCAGAGACCCAGCAGCAGTATGTGGGAAAACATAACACTCCTACTGTTGTGTCTCTGCTTTATCCTAGAATAGATTATGAGTGAAACAGCTTCTTTGTGTGACATGACACTATTGTGAAAGGAGCAGACGAAACAATCAAGGTCTGAATAGAAGAATTTTCAACATTATTTTAATCCGTACTGCAGCTATCGATTGTAATTTTATCTATGAATTACTCTTCAATAAATCAAGTAATCTATTTTCTGTGGGACTAAAAAAGGCTTCATTTATTTTTGTTCTTTTAGGCTCTTGTAAACCAAAATATGAATTTCAAAGACAATATTAATAGATTTAAAAATTCTAAAATCCCTAATT